CCTAAAGGTAAGTGAAACCTTCTTTCTCGTGTAGGATCGGAAAAGCACACAGCCGTCCATAGAACTTGAAGCCAAGCCGCATGATGGGCTAAGGGCGATTTACGATGCCGATCGGAGCCGACACGAGGATGCTGTGGGGGCCGCTAGCGATGGCCCTCTCCGGGAGGCCTCGCTTGATTTCAGTTGTCTAGCAACTGGAGGAACGGAGCCATGCGCGCAGAGTTGGGCTTTCTGCATCACCAACTCGGTGTCGATACTGACTTGATGTGTTGCCCCCTTTCTTATACCTTGGACATTGTGGAGTCCATACAACCTGCCCACCACTGCCCCAGACTCTATTTTGATGTCTAGGGGTCCTTCGTAATTTCCATAAGGCGCGCCTTTCAAGGATGCTCCCTTTTCTACATATAGACTTTAGTGGCGCCCGCTTTCCATCCTCTTTATTTCGAGTTGGTATCGGGTTTAGTTTGGTAGCCGGACCGCCCCTCCACGTACCATCTATCATCGTAACTCCTGTCCCCGCTAGCTACCCCGGACCCAACAACCTAGACTCTGTCACTAAGCTCTTCCCAAAAGAAAACTCGAACATTCGTCTTGGAGCCTAATCCTTGCATGTCGTAGAAATAGCCAAGTTCCTCTTTGTACGCGTAGTCACGCATCTTGGTGCGGACCAGGAGGTTTATACGGCCCATTACAGTGCGACGAAAGGAGCACTGGCCGACATCGTTGTGCTCAAGATGCTTAAACCAGTCTCGGGAATATCGACAAGATTCATCCATGGTCCTGTGCCTAGGGGATTATGCCCTTTTGGTGGTGGGTTTGGATTATACCCACAACACTGACACGGATCTTATCACCGAAGCATTAATTTCATCCGCCACCATCTCCTAAATCATTCTAGAAGAGGCTCTGTGAGATGTCTTAGACCCCACCATGAGTGTACGGGCTTTGAAAAACGGTATGACGTCAATGAAGCCGACGATGGGCCGTTTTCATGTGAGCTTGAATCCGACATGGCTTCCTCTAGAGGCACAAGCTCGACAATCAACTTAGCACATGCGCGTTTTCTTTCTTTGTGCTATGTTTGTTTCGTCCTCGTTCGCCCCGTCACGTACATCATACTATTCATCCGGTGTTTTTCGGACCGGCATGCATGGCCACTAGGTATAGGCGCGGGAGGTGTGAAAGCGGGAGGAAGGGAGAGAAAAAAAGTAAGGAGGGGCACATCCAAGCTCGATTCGATAGATAAGAAGAAGCACCTTTACCCCCACCATGAAAGAAAAAGCTCCGGTGTCAGATGTTGGTTCCCGTCCATGTCTCAACAGATCGCAGTGTGGAAGCGGGAAACAGTGGCACCTGTTTTCTTCTCTTCTCTGTGCCGCGATGCGGGAGCATGCGGGTCGTGAGGGGGGAGGGGCGAACTCACGGCGGCCTCTACAGTGTCTCGACCGGTTGACTTTGCGCGCGCGCGTGTGTGTGTGTGTGTGTGTGTGTGTGTGTGTGAAGAAGTTCACCGGGAAATCGATTGCGTGCGTCAAGCCGAGCTCCTGTTTAGCAAGATTCGATCTCGTTGGTTACGTTAAGAGACGATTTTTAAGATTCGTAATATATCCATTGGAACCCCCGCTTAGAATCGAGCACATCCAGCCCTGAGTAGAGTTGTGAAGGGGCAGAAAAAAACTCTCATCCGCACCCACAAAGGTCTCTTTTTGGTTCAAAGGCAGCGAGTCACCCCAGCGGGCTCGTGCAGACGTGTTGACGATGGCTCCATCGTTGGTTGCGCGTCTGCCTCGGTACTGCAAACCAACTTTGAGATGTCGAATTTTCAAACCAGCGGGACCGGAGCTGGACCTTTGCTCCGGCCGCGTTTTTTCATATTTCCTCTTTCTTTTTTGGGGGTTTTCCGAGTCCTTATCTGCTTTGGGGTATCGATGCTCGTGCATACAACCCCATGCTGCCCGTTAGGCTTCCACGGCTCGAATCTTCACCGAAAGACGGGCGCCCTAACCTTGTCTTGGCGGCACTGTAGACCCCCTTGACGATGATGGTGGAAAAGAAGGGCCAATGCAACAGACAGACAGATTCGTTGTGGCCACACCACGATCCTGATCGGCGGCTTGCAGTAGAACCCCTGGTTTACATCGTGAGCGGTTTATTAGGCGAATTATACTGACTAGGGGCCAAACTTGGTCCTATGGGCATGTACCGACGATTTCACGATATTCTTGATCATCTAGATATCTCCACCTCCCTTTTGTAGGCCGGTCGTCCCCCGACCTCGTCTCAGACCCTCGAAGGCACCGAGACATTGAAAAGAAAATGACAAAACCTTGGCGAGGGTACTACCACCACTTGACTACCTACAAAAGTTCAAGCAGGGTTGAGAAAAAGGGGGAGAAATAATACACACAAAAATATATATAAAAAGGAGAAAAATTGAATAAGTGAAAAGCAGATGATTCGGGGTGTGGGAGCATAGGAATACCTGCAAAGACGAGATAACCATCCAAACATTCACGTTGCTTCATCTCAATCAAATTAATCTCAAGCGGTGCAGAGATCTGGCAAGTGCATGTCAAGATGACGTCGAGCAGCAGCTCGGTTAGCACTTCGAATTGGGCAACAAAATGGTTGCCGAGAGGACAAAAGGGCAAGAGAACATCAGAAAGGCGGCAAAAAGGGCGCAAAGCAGAGAATTGGCACTTTATCCCGTGCGGTTGGTTTGAAACACGCGGCCCAGCAGGAGGAATTAAGAATAAGAAAAAAATGCAATAAGCTATCAAAAACGTGTTTTTCTCATGGAAAGTGGGTGACAGTCGCATGTTGCTACTCTGCCATTAGGTCTCGCTTGGGACGCACACAAGATCAATTGGCGACCCGTATCTTGATGACGCGAGGGAAAAGGGGATTTTGCAACCAAGAAGGCCGGAAACACAAGAATCCGGATCAAAAGCCCAATGGCCGCTTGTCGCCTACACTATGGAAAAGGAGAAGAAAAAACGTGTGGTCGCCCTGGCCCTAGGGTCCCGGACAATCATATGTGTCCGATCAACCGTACTTTCTTGCGATGCCGGCATGCTCAGTGCCTATGGAGATCCCATGTCGTATTGGCCGCGCCCCGCTTTATCCTGCCAGGTTCTCGACGTTTGGTTCTCCTCGAAGGATGCCGAGAAGAAGAGATGCGGAGGTGGAAGAGCACGAAGTTTCACTAGCCTCATGCATATCCCCAGGGAAGAAGAGGAGAAGAGAAAAATAAGAAAAAAAAGAGAAAAAGAAAAGGGGCCGAGCTTCGCTTGTTTGGAAGCGTTGCGGGAGCCGTTGTCTCGACCCGCGGCGCTACTGATATTGAATCTGAGAGGAAACCCTCCTTGTATGAGCAAGAAAAAACCAGCATGGGCTTCTGGAGGGAATGGCATGTGGCGGAAAAGGGTATGATAGGGACCGAGCTCATGCTGTGAATCGTGACGTCACGAAGCAGGCAACGTCATGCCATCTGCATGAAAGCTGTTGTCAATACCGGCAGGTCCAATCCCCCAAGCTCTGACCAATCAATATCCCTCAATGGCCATCAGTTGTTTCCGAATCGGGTAGTCTTGACTCCACTTGGCAAAGGTGATCTTTTGCTCTTTCCCAACGCTTTGCTCCATCTTCGTGCATTCCTGATGCCCCCTCTCTCCTTCCTTCCGCTAAAGTTTGTTCGGGCTACTTTTCTCGTTTCCTTCATTCCCCTATCTTCCGCGCAAAGGCGGGCGGCTCTCGGATAGAGGCCAAGCCCGAGAGAAGGAGGGCTGTCTGATAGGTCCCCTGCCTTGCCTCTCTTGAACATCTCTGGATCAATTGAAGGGGACTAAACTCTTTTTCTGGGGCGAGATGATGTATCCATTACTGTTTCGATCTGCGCCCATCGTACGAATTGGGAACATCCCCTCCCCAGATTCGGGTCATGGAGAGATTCTCCGACTGTGGGCAAACCGCACAGTCTCCACTTGCTGTGTTGACGCTCTGGATCGTTCCTGTTCAATGTTCTTCATATGCGCCCCTCGACCCACGCTTCGGGTTTGCACCTGATTCTCGTGGAGGCCCCCGACCCTCCATGTCCCCTAGTTCCAACCTTGAAGCGCTTGAAAGAGGCGAGGCCAGCCGGGGAATTTTTATCAACAAAAAACTGCAGATAGTCATGGCACAGTAACGGTTCCGGCCCGATCTGGTCGGCCAAACCCCCAGATCCCAGCTCCCCGCATTGTTGATACATCAATTGATGAATCTATGGATAAGGGATCCATCTTGCCATCCATTACATCTACACCCAGATGATACATTATGAGAATATACTGTGTAACCGAGATATGGATGCATAGATTGGTCCATCAAGGATGTCTGTGCTTGCTGGCGAGCCGTTTTTTGTTCCTGACAGCCGGGTTGATTTCTTGGCCGAAGAAACAAAATGGTCCGGATTCCTCTTCCCCTCCCCGCCTCTCTCTCGCCCTCTTCGTTCCTGCAAGTGTTTTTAAACATGCCCAAGCTCCCTTCATCAGTCCCTCGCGCCCATTTTCCTTCTCAATAGTTTTATCTCTTCGGGCCTAGGCATCATTTTCTCTCGTGTTTTCCGCGAATACCATCTCCCCCTCCTGCTTCTCCACATTAGTGCCGGGCGCCATCCACCACCACCAACAAGGCTCGTGTTCTTGTTCGGCGTTATCTAATTGACCCTTATCACACCATTGCTTGCCCCCACCTTGTTCACCCGCCAGCTTTCATCTTGCCTGGCCTGATCCATCGTAGTCGGAGCGCGCCAATTTTAGTTTCCGAAACCCGCACTCGTCTCGGTCCAAAGCAGCTCAGAACTGCACGCGTCCTTTATTCTCTTCTCCTTCCTCTTTTTCTATTCATTTCCTTTGTTCCTCCTCGTTTGTGTCTTGGCCCCCCCGCGATCGAGCTTGGTATTCGACTCCTTTTTCCCCGTCAATCATAATCCAAAGTCGACCCCTCCGCCGCCCACCATGTCTCTAGCCGAACCCCAGCGAGCCAGCACCCTCCCCGCCCCGCGCCCGGTGCGGCCCAAGTTCAACTCAATGCTCACCTCGGACAGGCTCCGGGAAGGCTCCCTCATCAGGACCCAGTCCTTCATGACGACGGGCAAGGTGAAGAAGAACCGCAAGTCCGTCTTCCGCGAGCTCGGTCTGGACGATGATCTGAGCGACGCCAGCTCCTTCTCCCAGTCCGTCTCCTCCGCCCAGAGCCCCGTGATGGGCGCGCAAAGGATAGCATCTACAGCGACATGAGCGAGTCCCCTTCCAAGATGTCGCCTCCTCAGTGGACGGCACTTGGCCTCGGCGAGGGCAAGAAGCTAGATGATGATAAACTGTATGTCGAAGAGCCCGCAAACATTCCTCCCAGCGGGGATGCCCTAGCTTCCGGAACGTGGCACTCAATGATAACAGGATCAGCATCTAGCAGACCAAAGGTTGACGTACCGGCCGCCGTCCCTGCTTCGACATTCTCGATATTAAACCGGTTTTCCGTGCTTCTCTTGATCATTGCCGCCGTGCTGCCGGGCTATGGTTTTCTAGCCGCCACGGCCAGGAAGACGGCTTTGCAAGAAGCAAGGGTCGACACATCGGTACCGCTACGGTAGCTGTGACACCCGCGGGAACCCTTCTTGCCTCTTCATTCAACCGCACAGCTATTTCTCCTCCGGAGTTGAGTCGCGCTGTATATTGTTCACGACTCTGTCCGCCACTGGATACAACATTGAATCCAGCTGGAACATTTTTGACACCATCTTAAAAGCCTTCCTCTTCATTTTTGTCATCACTTTTCATCATCTATTATTATACCTGAAATTTTATTTTTGCTTGATGGGATGGAAGATATCAGTGCTGCGGCGTTTAGGAATATCCTGCCATTTTTCTTGTTCACGATTTCCATCTTCACGATGCCTTGCACCCATGTACCCGGCGGGTAGGGGTTGAGCTTGGCGCTGAATTTACACTCGCTTTTTTTCTACAATCTGATAATGGAGTCATCACATTCGCTATGAGAAAACGACGGGGTTGCGAGGCGTTTGGTAAAGTTTGGTTTGCTACAACTACATGTATTTCAATGATGAAAGAGAGAAATTTTAATTTCTTCAACTTTTTATCGGCTTGTGCCATGGCTGAGATACAAAAACCTGCGTTTTACGCGATCCGTGTAGTCCCGGAAAGCCAACCTCGGGGGATTCTTGCCAGCGTAGTCAATGATGAAAGAATAGAGAGCTTCTGCTTCTCGCTACGACCAAATCTTCCCATCCGTAGGCGTGCGCGGGCAAGAGTTGAATTGTGAGTGACGTACCCTAATCCCAGGTGGCAAGAGATAACCTGGCCCAAGAATCCTCCTGTATAAAACCGCTGATATACCCCCATCGGACGGCCAGCCTCAAGACAGGAAATTCGGCCGAAGGAGACGCACATTTCGAAAAAGAAAAACGAAGCGAGAAGGACCCTGGAACCGGGATAAGGAGTATTATATGAGGTGGAAGCGCCGTCAAGGGCACGCAACTCCTTGGCGTCATGGCCCGCCCTTGCCCTCCTTTTAGAAGCCTACACCTATTGGCTTGGAGCGGAGCTATACGCCCTCTTGGCTAGATTAGCTATTCCTACTCTGTTAACGACGTGGGAAGTCCTAATTGGGTCGGGAGCACGAAGAAAAGGGGGGTGGGTGGTCGTTTGGCTGCGTAGCGAGGTTGGGTGATGCAAAAGAAGAGAAGAAAAATGAAGTTTTGGATCTATAATTGAAAGTCTATATATGTTGGGTATCTTAGGTTGGATGACGACATGAAGTTCTACGGATAGGAAGAACTTGTCGTATGAACTCCTTGAATGGGAGGTGGAGCTGGTTTCCTTTCACTTGGAGGGTCATGTAAGACCCCGAGTAGGTTGCATTCTGCTCGGTTGGAGAATCTGAGGGTTGGAGAATGTGAATGGTTCAAGCAGGCTCTAGCTGGGCCAGCAAATCGTCTGGTTTGCCCTGGGGTTTGTGAAAGAAGAATGAATATCGGTGGTGGATGAAGTTGAGTAGTCGTCTCGCCTCCTCGAGCTTGCCCACAAGGCCCAGGTGGCTGACTGCATCGACGCCCATCATCGCCTCTCTTCGCATGCGATCCGTGGGCCCAATCTTGTCCTTCTTCTTGGCTTCCTCGAAATAATCGACGGCGAGATCGTGGCTGGGAGCGGTAGGATGGTGAAGATGGAGATGCGCGACGGGGAGTTTGGTGGAAGAGGGATAGAGAAGCTCCGCAATATCGAGATACGAGTCGAAGAGGGAGGCCGAGGGCGAGGGTTTCTGCCAGGAGAGCGTCGTTGTCCTCCAGGCGACGTCCCGCCAGGCTTTTCCGAGGAGGCGGCCGTGACGCGGGTCCTTGCGGTACGTCTCGCTGGCCTGTATTATGGATTCGAACGCGCTATCCACGCACTCGACGCCGACCGTTTTGGCGCGGACGAGGAAGAGGAGCATGACGCGAGCCGCGGCAAAGGAGCTGTCCGCGACGGGGCCGTCGTCAGCCATCAACCGCGCGAGCCAAGTCCACACGACTTCCTCGCGGCCTTCTGCGACGAGGAAAGGCATGAAGGCTGCGACGAAGTTGGGGTGGAGGGCGAACTGGAGATTCCGATCCAGCCCCGCCGAACGGAGCCATGCTAGGACCTTGTTGGAGACGTCGAACCCTGAAAAGGCTTCATTGCTCGTCGATTGGGAATCGTCGAGAAATGTGCTTTGCGAGTCCTGTATCAGGTTGTGCTTTGCCTTGAGGCACCCTGTCGCGATTTGCAGCGTCATCAGGCCCCTCAGGGCGGCTTCTTCGAACACGACAATCGGATCTCGTTTGGTGACAGGGCTGGGAATGGTAGCGGGAGTAGGATTCCGGACTAAAGGCGGTGCTGCGGCGCGGAAAAGTGGACTGGATAGAATGGACGATAAGTGGTGGTCGGTGGGAAGACGGCGTCCACCGTCAGTGACGCCATCGACGCCCTGCGTGGTTGCCGCGGGGCCCGTAGCCGGTTGAAGAGGGCTGCTGGTAGTGGAACCTGCTGCTGCGGGCCTCTGCTCGTCCGGAAGCCATCCGTGCTCTTTATCGAGATTTCTGCGGAAGGAGGTGGTCACGGCATCAAGAAATCTTTGCGTTTGTTGGCGCGTGAGAGGATCTGGGTGGTGGATGGACTTGAGAAGAAAGGAGGGGTCGAGCTTGAAGCGGAGAGGGTTGGTCTTCAGCATATTCGGCTTTTGCGGATAAGGCCGCGAGGAACAAGAGTGCCTTGTTCCTGTACCTGTTCAAAGACGTTTGAGATCTCTATTCCAATCGACAATCGAATAATATGGGTTGTTGCGTTTCGGTGAACACCAGCTTGGCCTACCGAGCGAGTCAAGAATCGCATGATCATGAACCCGGGAGCTGGGCAGTGACGCCGCCGGTTGGTCACGTGATCAAACCAATACCGGCGCCAGCGCGATCATTGCGTGCTGACAGAGCTTTCCCCACACTATCACTCCCCCGATTAAGTAATCATTCCCTTGCAGGCTTGTGAGTCAGCGGTTTCCCGATCAAGATGTCATCCAGCATGATCATGCCTTCGGTCCAGAAAATCGTGTGCGAGGGAGTGTGAGAGCCTCTTTGGGCGATTCTCGGTTAAACCTTGCCCTTTTGAATCAACGCCCGTTTGCTCTTGACAACGGAAGCCCGGGGTACAAGGCTTTGTCTCTGGCTGCTTGCGACTAGGCTCTCAGAGCAAGCGATGGCTTGATAAGGTTTTTCAAAGGGCTTGAAATTATTACTAGCCACTAGCATTCAAAGTGTTTCCGGGGCGAGCCCTTGCAAAGAGTAACCATTCTCCCATGCTTTGGACGTAATAGCTCGAACTGAAGGTCGCGTGACATACAATCCAGGTGCAAAGATACCTCAGTACATCCACACTCGACAAGCAAGCGACCTGGGTTTCGAGGATCCGCTTCGACGGGAATGATATTATGGATGAACCCTACATTTTTTCCCCTTATACCCTCAATAGAAACTGTCGACAGCGCCTCCGAAAAGTTGAAATGTAAATTTGCAAATGTAAAATAGAAGAGAAGGAAAAAGGAGGGAATGAAGAAAATTCACCCACGACCAACCCGATGATTGGCTCCGCGGAAAGTACTTTGGGGGAAAATAACGAAAGTTCGGTTTCACCATGGATTGTTTGGGCGGCAGGCAGCATCAAGGACAGGAGAGAGAGGGAGAGAGAGCTTTTGCGCTAGTGTAAATCTTCGAGCGGCATGCAGGGCACAATGCCTGTGGACCCGGGCGAGGCAGCCGGCGCGACTCCTTTGCGCTGATATTGATCGTTGCTTGTTCTCTACGCGTGTTCCCGTCGCCACTGGGCAATTGTGCTTCGATGGGCGGACCACGCCGAATTCATCGACGGCCTGCCCGAGGCGACTTGGCGTGAAGATGCGACTTTGATCGTGACGCGTGCTCGAAGGAGAGCAGGGGAGCTTCCCTGCATGTTTAGGGGTTGTCCGTTCAGTCAAGTTGCTGGGCCTGGTAGCTCTGCGTGGTAGGCTGCGAGTACTGGGTACTTTCTGGGAACCAAAAAGAAACTTTGACAAGTGAGGCAGCATGTGCAACGGTTGTACTCTTCTAACTGTCATCACTTACCTCTTAGGTACATTTGGACCAGAACTGTGGTATATATGTACCTTTTCAGCCCCAAATCATCCGCCTCATCCCACCGCCCCTTGGTAGCGAAGAAGTATCGATGCAAAGTTTCGGTACTTCAATGCTAACACAGCAACGCACCACGCAGAAGCACCCGCAGCACACTGCACCGTGTATTCTCGTACTTTTCGCCTTGAGAAGCATCAGCCTTTCCCATCCACCATTTTTTCACCCTTCCTTCTACCCCAAACCACACCACCCTCCCAACCCATCATCACAAAACCCATCAAGAACGCTTCAGATTCGCGTCGGTCGCCGTGTCGCCCATTCTCCTTGGTGTGCTCTATCGTACGCCCCCATTTTCTCCTCCGAACCTTGCCATTGTATCCAAACCGACGAGACTGCATTGATCGCGAAGCTCGAAATTCTGTGCAGCGGAATTGGACCGTCTGCCCATCCTTTCCTTTCCCTTTTTCCTTCACATAAACATATACTTCGTCTCGTTCCATCATGTCCGAGACTACGACTCGGTCTGGTGCCTCTCGGGGACGGGGTTCCGGCCGTGGCGGCAGGGGCGGTTTTCTAGTCGGGGAGGTCGCTCGTCAGGAAACACTAATGGCGATAGCTTTGATGCTCTTGATACTCCTTCACCCGCTGCCTTCGATGAGGATGGCGACATCGCCGAATTGAGGAAGCTATATGGATCCAAGGTTCGCCCCATCAAGGATATGTTCGAGGGCTGGTCGGAAGTCGACATTTTGTACGCTCTCCAAGAGGCTGAAGGCGACGAGGGCCTCGCCGTCGAAAGAATCGCTCATGGTATGTCATCACTCACAGCCCTCATCCCAAGTCCTCTGCTACACCTTGCATCTTCCCTCGGCGGCCCTTGGATATTTTTTTGTTTTCTTTTTGCCCGATGCCTCGGGTCACCCAGCCTACCCTCACCAGCTCTCGAATACGCACCAGGCAAACAAGCTCAATACAACATCTTTGTCAATTTTGGACATGGTAACCCTATCTGGAAACCTGTGGCTAATGTATCTCTCTGTTTGTTTAGGTGCCGTCTCTCAATGGGGCGAAGTTTCCAAGTCGAAGAAGACTCGATCGAAGCCTAAGGATGCTGTAAGCGCGTCAGCCACGGCGGATACCCATTCTGGCCCTAGGCCTTCTCGTGGCGGCAGGATCGTGTCCGAGAGTGGGCGCGGCCGTGGCCGAGGCGTCGATCGGGGTGGTCGTGCTCCTCGCAGCCGACCCGCGCAACCGGCGACCAATGGTACCCGTAAGGAGAGTGGTCTCTCTGTGCCTACGGAAGAATCGAATGCCTGGGATACGAAGAAGAGTGGTTCGGACACCCGAGGCAATGCTGCGCCAGAGCAACCAGCTGCTGCCGCCGAACCCGCGAAGGCTGCCCCTCCGACCAAGACTTGGGCTAGTATGCTCAGGCAGGCTACTGCGCCTAAAATTGCCCCCAAGCCCAAGGAGGCTCCGGCTCCCAAGCCTGCCGAATCGCTTGAACCCCTCCCCCGTTGAGGTTCCCGCCTCTGTCGAACCTACTGCCGCCCCTGAACCCGAACCCGAACCTATTGAAGCTCCTGCTGTCGAGGAAGCCCCTGAGCCTACTCCCGAAATCGCTGAACCCCCGCAGAGTTGCCTCCTACCAAGGATGCGCTAACCGAGTCGAATCTTGAACAAGTCAATGACACATCTGCACCTGCCCCCACGGAAACTGCCGCAAGCACGGCCGCCGACTCATGGGCACCCGCGCCCGCGGACATTAGCACCGTTCCTACCCCCGCCCCCAGCCAACTACCAGCCAAACGCAGCCCCCTCCGGCTGTTCCTCAACCCGTCGGCTTTGCCGCTGCCACCCCGACAAAGCCTGCTGCTCGTGCCCCCACTACCAACGACGCATCCTCGATCAAGAGGAGGCTGTTCGCATGCCCGGCAACCGCGAGGTCGATCGTGCGGCAGTCCAATTTGGCGCCTTCTCTCTCAATGGAGGCGAGGAGGATGTTGACGGAGAGCGTGAGGAGGCCGAGACTAGGGCCCAGCCTCCCGATGACTCCCCGTCGTTCATCCTCGCGCTTCGCTTCCTCCCGCGGCCGCGCAGCCTGCGGCCGCCCCCGAAGCGGCTGCCCCTAAGCCCGTCGCGTCCGCTGCCCCCGCCAACGCGCCTACTGGTACGTGATTTTTTTCTTTCTTCCCGCGCCAGCGAACGATTTGCTGCGAGACCAAGAAGCTAATGTATTCTTTTACAGCCCCTGCTGCCCAAGTACAGGCTCAACAGTCGGTATCTACTCAAGGTATGAGCGTAGTCTTCTCCCCCGACCCAAGAAAAATGTCTGTATTTATTCTAACTTGTAATCACACCCATAGCCTCTCAACCCGCTGCTCAACAAGCCCAGTCATTTGGCCGCTACGGTGCACAGGAAGGAGCGCCTGGCCTCCCATCCCTTAACCAGCAAGGCGCGGCCGCTTCGAACCCGCAACAGCAGTACGAGAACTACCAGGCGCAGCAGCAGGCTTCGCAGGTCCCCCATTCGAGCGGTGCGTTCAGCTCGGCGCCCGGCGATTTCTCCTCATACTACACGGCGGACCACCAGAACCGCGGTCCCTACAACAACTACTATGGCCAGCAGTACGGCCAGCAGCACCAAGCGAGCCAGGGCCAGCAAGAGGGAGCTGGAGCTACCCAGCAGCCGCAGCCGCAGCGCGCGTTTAGCGGCTACAACAACGCATCGCAAGCCGATAACTTGGCCCAATACCCCCAAAGCGGAGTGGGCCTCCACAACCAGTCTCGCTTCGGGGGCGTCAGCAACGATCCTCAGAGCAGCGGGCACACTACGCCCAACCCTCGCAGGGGCAGCAGCAGCCCGGCGCGCAGGGCACGCAGCCGCAGTCTCACGCGGCTCAGCAAAACTACCCTTACAACAGCCACCCCTATTTCAACAACCCTTACTACCACCAGTTCTACCAGGCCTACGGGCAGGGCGGCTACGGTGGGGCACCCTACGGCAAGGGGGCGTGTACGGAGCACCGTATAATATTCCTCCTCAGGCCCCCTATGACCACAGCTCGTCCCCGCCGGCGGGTTCCAGTCTTCGCTCCACCGCGATAACAACGGCGTCAGCTCGGGACTCGGCGAGTACGGCAGGGTTGGCAGCGCGCAGTCGGGACACCAAGCGGGTCTGGGTGGTAGCTCGTTTGGCGGAATGCATGACACGTTTGGACGCGGACCCTCGTCGTACCAGTCTCAAGCAGGCCAAGGATTCAACGCCCAGTCGCAGGCGGCGGGCTCAGGTTCGGGCAACGATGACCTGAAGCCGTATGTGGACTCCAAGTCGGGCACCGGCCCCTCGCCCTCGCTTGGAGGTGCCCGACCCGGCTCGGCTACGAACACCACGCCTGCCGGGCAAAGCGGCCTCCCCCTCAGTCTAACGCGCAGATGGGCGGATACGGCGGCTACCCCAGCCACCTCCAGCAGGGCCTTCATGGATCTAGCGGATACGGCATGGGCGGCGCTAACAGCGCTGGCCAGCACGGCAATACGCCCTACGGCTCCTACGGGCAGGGTGGCTTCGGCGGTAGCGGCTACTACGGCGGCGCGGGCCAGCAGCAACAACAGCAGCAGCAACAGCAGCAGCGGGGCGGCTGGGGCGGAAACTATAACCACTAGAAGAAGGGTTTCCGACCGCATCACCGAGCTGAGAGGCGATCATCACGTAATGGAAGCCGATGGAGAAATGGTGCCAAGGAAGATCGTATCAGGACGGAAGCCTGACGCGAGGCGAACTAGAGACGGCGGAAATGGTATTGTTTTTTGTTCGATGATGGGAAAAGCAATTAGTAACTCGAGTCTCGCATGGTTTTTCTCTTTTGTCTTTTTGGGATCAAGAAAGAGGGAGCAGAGTGGCCTAAAGGGGAGAAGGGGGCGGGGATTTGTGCGCCGGTGGTGGTGGTTTTGATACACGCGCGCGTGCATACCACACGCCACACACCAAGCACAGCACATTACATACAACATATTCTCAGAGAACAAGGGGAAGGGAAGAGGGCCAAGCAAGGATGATTTGATCCGAGGAAGAATGAAGAAGGGAAGGGAGGGAAAAACCACCAAAAACAAGAGCTGGGAGGGAAATCATTTTTATGGCCAAACTCACAAGGACTGTAATACCGGGAGATATTTTGTTCTAACAGCTTTTCTGCTTCTTGTTTGTTCTTTCCAAACGGTTTCTCTCTTCCAATCAAAGAGAATGGGTTATCGGAGCTAATTTGTCATGTTCTTTTCCATTGTCCTTTGCGCTTTCTTTTTCCTAGGACTCTTTTTTCTTTCCATAGCATGCTCTGCTATTGTCACTGTCTCACTATCTCACTATCTCACTCACTCACACTCCCTCTCTATTGTTGTCCTGGGATTGGAATTTGTCCTGGGATTGGAATTCTTCCCTTTATCCTTTTCAGTCTTTGCTGTTTTCTTGTATGCTTGCTTCTGCTGTGGTTTCCAGGTTGGCATCTTGTTATCCTCGTTTGAGTGTCGTGTCTGATTAAAGAAAAAAAACAAACACCTAGTTTTGGGTCTCTCTTCCTGAGCAGTCTTCCTCAATGTATGTTGTCTTTAGGTGGAAGGTCTTTGGATTCGCACAAGTTTCGGTTGGTCGTTTTGCTACTGTCACAACAAATGAAGAAGGGAAAAAGTGGTTCGACCAAGATCAAGGGCGAGGTCTTTTCCGCTGCCTTTTTCACCTCGCTCCCTTTTCACCTCGCCAAGCCTTCAATATAAGGGACGAGACCCGAAAGAGAAGGGGGAAAGGAAAGAGAAGATGACTGGGGGTCTAAATCCCCACACCTTGTCAGCCAAGCTTTTGTTTTGTTCTTGTTGCAGCATACGGTCTCTTGTGTTTGTCGTCAAGTTGTCATTTTAGTCGTCTTCAAGCTGTGTTGCCTGGCCTTGAAGTTACTTGTGTATGCTACGACTACGAGTATATAATCAGAATTGCCTGTTGGCGGAGAGCAATCCAACCTTCTTTTCGAGTATGCTAGATTTCAGGAGTAGAGAATCTCACCATTGCCGTGATAGGATATGGGTGATTCATCACACGTATGGGAGAACTGGGAATAAGAGAAGATGATGGGGAACGCGGTTGTATTCCACGAGTAGGAGATGGGATGTCCATCTCTCTCTCTCTCTCTCTCTCTCTCTTTTCTACTCACCCTTTTTTCTTGTCCCTTTTCGTTTTTGATACATCCAAGAGTGATATTGGAGAACAATGAAAACCAGAAAAGAAAAAAAAGTCGTACATGTGTGTGTGTGTGCGTGTGTGTGTGTGTATGTGTGTGCATACAAGTCAAAGTGCCCAAAGCAAAAGACCTTCGACGGAAGAACCTGCCTCGTGTTCCGACCCGCAGCAAAAGCCCACGTCCGCGGCACATGCAAACTGCACGCATTCTACACGCGTTGCATTCTTCCCTCCCCCGCCAAACGGGTCCTTTACATGAAGACAAAGTGCGCGTCGGAAGCGGAAAGAAGAAGAAGAAGGTGAAAAAAAAAAAAAGAGAATAAAGACTAACACACACCCACACACCCCGGATCCGCTTACAACGTCGCCCCTCCCTTTCGCCGCCTATTGTCGTTTAATCAATTCCCGAGAGAGGAGAGAAAAAAAAAAAGGTGTTGACGAAGAACATTCCTCTTTAGCCGCAATGTCCAGCAGAATGGCACAGAGATTAACCCGTCAGCGAGGCTCCCATCCCTTCCTCCCCCGTTGAGGGAAGAAAGGAAGAAAAAACCTAGAAATCCCGCATTGAAAAGGGACTGACGCATACGGAACGTGAAAGCACAATGCATGGGGCATGAATACAATAAGGGAAGAAAACGGTACACGGGGCGGGTAGCAAGTCGTGCCATCAAATTCATCAAGGAAAAGAAATGCCGTTTTTATATTGTTGCAAAGTCATACAACGTCGCAAAGGAAAGAATATCTACATTGAAAGGTTCTTTTGCGCCCCGCGCGCACCAGGGTATTCGCAAAATCATTGCGCGCTCTCTCTCCGGTGCGTGGGTCCTGTCCCTTCCCTTCCCTCCTCGTTTTTTGCTGCTGTCTCACCACCCGCCTCCAACCTGCTTCCCGAGTCCGCGCCGTGAAGGCGAAAAAAGTCTAAGAAAATGGACAAGGCAGTGGAGAAGAGGAGAGGAAAAGGCCGAGACAAAGAGGAGAAGACCAAGGAGAGCGCGTGAGCAACTGCTCTGCTCTTGCCCTTCCGGGGGACCATCTAGCCAGAGACGAACCCTTCCGCGGGATTCGGCGCTTAGACGTCGACGGTGGAGCCAATGGGTCCGTGGCGGATGTTGGACCAGACGACAGCGCTGCAAAGAAAGTTAGCAGCCGCCTTCCTACAAAGTAGCAAACCGCCTGGAGTAGATACTCCAGGTAGTGGAAAGAGGGGAGTACGTACGCATCGGCAAAGTTGGCCTCGACGTCCGCGGGGACACCAGAGTCCTGGGCGCAAGGGCCACGGGCGGCACCGGGGGTACCCTCCTTCTCGGGGGTAGGTGGAGTCGAGCCACAACATGTTGGAGTAGTGGTCGTCCCAGATGGACATGACGAGCACCATGGGAATCCTGAGCGCGTCGTTGAGAAGGGGCCATCCACCAACATCGTTGAAGCGGTTGAAGTCATCAAACACCTCGAAGGCGGTGTCGCAGAACTCGGGAGTGATGGCCGACGAGTCGGGAAGACCCTCAAACGTGGGGGCAGGGATCTCAATCTTCTTGCCGTCCTGGACGAAGAACTGGGACATCTTGTTCTCCTCGAAGCGGGTGACGACGCTGTTCGGATCCGTGTCAGTCATCGAAAACGAAGCAGGCTAGGTTATACAAGAAGACAAAAGAAAGGGAGACGTACGTGAACTTCTTGCTGGTGTCGACAGTCTTGCCAATACCATAGAAGTCGGGGTTACCCATGCGGTAAGGGTTGTAATCGCAACCGTTGGCGTCGCAGAGACCGTTGTATCGGTCCTCCGAGTAGGTACCACCGCAAGTGTCGTTCTCGCAGATGTGGTAGTTGTTGTCCTTGCAAGGATGGGGGTGAGTGCGAAGGCGTGCGCGTTGGACTCCCTAAGTCGAACGTGTCAGTGAAAACCATGCTCCAAGCTTCCCAAAATTCCCAGAAGGGAGGACGAAAAAGGGAATCAACATACCAGACATCAATCTCGGCGCAGCAGGCACCCATGGCACCAACACCAGCGTTGGCGTCGTTGGAAGAGGCATCCCAGCCCTCAACGTTACCCTTGCCACCAATGAACTTCAAGTCACGGGCGCACTGGGCATCGCAGTAACCGGTACCGTACTTGGCACCAGCCTTGTTGCCGGGGTAGCTGGCGAGACCACCGTCCTCCTCCATGGCAACAAAGTAGAGAGCACCGTTGAGACCGCAGTCGAGGGTGGACAGATCAACGTCAAAGGTGAACTCGTGGTCCATGAGCTCGAACATCTGGTACTTGTCGGCTCCGTTCATGAGGTAGAAGCGAGAGCCGATGTTGGTGCCGTACTCGTGCTTGGTCAAGAACTTGAGGGTGAGGCCATCACCGCTGGTCGAGGCACCGTACGTGGTACCGTAGTCGGCACCCTCGACCGCGCACTTCTCAGCGCACTCCGCGCCGGTGCTGCAGACCGAGGTGACCCACTCGTTGCCGTCGTAGCAGTTGTCGTAGCCGTCGGTGGTGTGGAGCCAGCGCCAGTTGGCGTCAATGACGACCTCGGCGTTGACCTTCTCGCAGTTGGCTCCGGTGCCAGTGCACTTGGACCAAGACATCTTGGGGTGAGTCTCGCTCTGCTCCTTGCCGACCTGCTGGGCAGCAACCAGCGAGGCGAAGAGGCCAAGGGTAGCGGCGAACTTCATGATGACGGTTGAGGGGGGTAGACGAGGGGAGAGATAATGATCAAAGTCCGGGGAAAGAACAAAGAGAGTAAGTCTCAGAAGAGAGGTAGAGAGCGCGGCTTCTTGTCAGATGAGGTGGCCTTGGAAGCTGGAGAGAGAGCACCAGGGGAAAAGATATCGAGAGAACCACGCGGGGAGGATAGCCTTTTATAGAGACAAGTCGTCGCATACACGCGAGATCTAGCCTGCCCAAACCAGAGCCGTGCGGTGGGGATGGCCTCGTTGGCGACCGGGGCGGGGCGGCATCCAGGAAATGGTTCCGAAGCTCTCCTGTCGTCCCTCCCCATACCCCTTTCTTGGATGAGACGGGGCAGAACGTCCGAAATTGCAGGCCGGTGGTTGCCCTCGTTAATCGTAGGCCGATGTTCGAGTCCACGGGCGGCTGGATAGTTTGTACAGTCACTTGATTAACACTTAATCAAATATTCATGCTAACTAGGCCGGGCGACTGTCGGTGTCTCCCCATGCCCCATTCTCGGAGCCCGCGCCCGCGGTGCTAGTATAATTCGCCACAAGTACGCAAGTGGCAGAGCAAACCTATCCAAACGCCCCCTGGGGAAGAGGAGTAGGGGAAAAGGTATGACCTATGACCTCCACCTCCACACACTCTCCACTCCCCGCGCAACAGGGTTGGAGAGCCCATGGTTTCCGAGCCTGGGAGAAGGTGAGGGGTCAGGTTCGCGCGCGTGTGAGTCCATCTTTTCAATAAGCATTGATGAGCAAACGGGAACCCAATTCCGCCGGCTGTCGATCCAAATTGGAGAAGTGCCTGGGGTGTGGGGTGCGGGTGTGGGCGTGAGACCCGAGCCCACAAACGATGCCGCCCAACGTTGTTTGCATTTCCAGAGGGGAAATCCGGAGACAGACCTCGACGGCTATGAGGGCTGAAGGGCCGTCATCCTGCCAGCGGGAGATGTGGCGGGGCCCCTCGTCCTCGTGCCCTGCTGCGAACGAGGGTCAGCATCCCGTGTAGTATAATGGCCATAGTGTGAGTGGGGCTCGTCCATCCCTCTCTAGCCCGTGGGGAACCGAAGCGTGGAGGAATACCGGTCCAGATAGACAAGCATGGAGAAAGCAAGATGCAGAGAACCAAGCGCGGCGAGGTAAAAAAACGAGAGAAAAAGGGGGAAGAGGGGGTCGAAGAAGAGCCACCTTGTTTTGCGGATAATAGGACGGCCGGTCCCAATGAGTGGAACCCGCTCGGTACAAGATTGGGTCTGATGGGGAAGATCCATCAGCATGCCTCTTTGGCTGCAAGTGCCGTGCCTGCCGCATATCCACTCTCGAGCAAAGACGGCCTGTAATCATGGTGATTGAGGGCAAAGTAGACGGGGCATTGGGCCGTTGTTACTTGTAATCATTCGTGTAAACCTGGGTAAAGAATTCGATCGGGGGTGACCGTGTTGGCCATTGTCGTCCCTTTTGCGAATCGCTGGTGTGATGCCTTTTTTGTTTTTGTTTTTTGACGTCGCAGTTTTGGAGGGGTTCGCTCTTTAAGTAGAAGTGTCGTCCTTCACGCCAGCTTATTGAGGGAGCACAAGAGTTGAGGCTCAAGAAGAGCCTCTCTGTAACCGCAATACACCAAATATCTCTTGTGCCACCATCATCATCAACATCATCTCGACAACTCGTGCAAAAGAACGCGCACGACGAGGGGATTGGAATGTTCCATGAGAGTGTGCACACCAACAATCGTCCTAGTACCTCATACTTGCAGCTGCCGATCACCGAAAAGATCCTGGGGTAAATTGATAATCATTTTGGGGTGATGAGGATAAATTAAAGGCAGAGCGGAGTCCATCATGTACTTGATCTTCAGGCCACGCAGTAATTTGGCACCGAGAGACTTTCATCCCCTACCTTCATTGTTGTGGAGGGAGGTGGGGAGGATAAATCCATGGGAGCAGGATCCAATGACAAGGAGGGGTGGGAGGCAGATAAAGTGCGATGCGTTTGTAATATACCTGGGGAGGGAATAAACAGACGGATGGCCAGAATCTTTGAGAATTGTGGAGGCGAGGCCGGGCTGATGCGGGTATGACCTTGTCCTCAATGGTCCAACACAGGGAGGGTATCGTCGCTATAGAACCCAAGCTGTCTCTTCCAGTATGCCTAACTGAGGACCAAGCTCCTCGTGCCCATTCTCCTCCATCACTCCTGTTGCATTGGAAGACTACGGTAGTCTTTGACAGCCTCGGCGCTGCAGTCTAGCTCGCGGTTGAACTTGATGCCCGCTGAGTTATCGCTACTAGGTGTACTCGCACGAGAGACTTCGGCACTCAGCGCGGCATCCATCCGAAGTTGGGAGATTGAATACTTGAGCATATTATTACGGGTTTTGAATTGGCCTTGTCAATGCTGCTGGGTCGCTTAAAATGTGTGGGCCTTGAGATCCATGTACGAAGTAGGATGAGGGTCAGTCAGGTCTTCAGAGGAGACAATTAATCCCCACCCAGACGCAGCAGGAGAGAAAGGGAGTAAATGCGCAACTGCATTGATTAGCGGCCTAGGACTCGGAGAGATTCTTCGAGACGGCGGTTCAAGAGGATGGTCCGACTATAGGCTCATAAACCGACTAGGTTCGTATGACGGTCGAGATGTTTATGGAGCGCGAAATGGTCGGGTATTTTACAGTCCGTTGGACCAAGCATCGGCCAGCCCAAGATGATGCTTCCGTGTGCAGGGAATGTAATAATCTCAAATTGATTAAGTCGCGCCCAGGACTGGTTGACCAAGAGACTTGGACAAATTGTTTCACCACCTGACAACATCCTTTTTAATTCCTCTTCTTTATCAAATTGGTATCAAGTACCTCCCTCGGCCATGGCCACCTCGTCTGTATTCGCGGGGACCATGGCCCGCCCGCCTCGTCTCGCTGTAAACGAGGATCGCTTTTCGACGACCCAAGCCCTTGTCGAGATGGACTTGTGCGAATCAGGCCATCAAGACCGCCGGCGGAAGGCTCTCCTTTCCGAAGAGAAAGAACCCACCTTCTCCTTCTCTGCAGGTCCGGTGCATAGGCAGAGGCCATGCTCTGCCGCCGCACGCCAGCTCTGGGGCAGTCAATGGCTGCATTGGTTGGTGCGGGGTGTTGCCGAAACACCCGCCAGAGTGCTGGGCAACTTTCAATTGGGCAACCTCGGAAGGAATTCCCTTTTGATCAATGCCCTTTTTCCCCTTTTCTCCTCCTGTTCTTCATTGTAGTCTGGGGCAGCGACTCGTCGCTTTTCTCCTGCAAGAGGAGGGGACAATTTTTCCAACGAAATCAAGAGCTGTGGCTCCCTTCAGTCACGATACCCGACGTCTCGTCCGCGAGCGAAAGAAGAGAGGAGGTCGCAACAAGCTTCGCGGATGATGCGTGCCAAGGGCTGGGCGAGCCTGGGCAGTTTTTAACTCAAGATTTCCGGGCGACGAGTCTTGGTCAATTTGGGGTGGCTCCGCGGGCCTGGCAGTCGATTTATGGTGCATGGCAGTATGGCAATTAGGGGTTCGCCCAGGGTCAGGGACCCCGGGAAACAGAAAATCAATTTCTTGTTGTGCTTCGCGACACACACTTTTGTTCGAATATTCCGACATTGAATGAGCTTGGCCTTCTTGGCCTGCTTGGCTTCATTCTTGGCTTGCTTGGCTTGCTTGGCTTCCTTGGCTTCCTTGGCGCCAGCTTGAGCCGCGACTCTGAATGACGATCACCTCACGACATCTCGAAAGAAGAAGGATCTACGCACCCAGGATGAAAGAGAGGAAAGATAGCCATCCGCTCTTTCCACATCGCCGGTCGCTGCTTCTTTAGCAAAGTCCATGTTCGAAACAACACTACCAAACTTGATTGAATAGCTCAGGCCTTTCCACTTCAACTCACCCTTCACAAGCAATCGTGTCGGAGAGTCGGAGAGCGCGGCCCGCATTATACGATGGTTGCAATTGAGTCCCACTTGCCCTTTATTCGAGAAGGCGAAAACAAGGATGAGGCCAAAAGAAGGAGAAGATCAGTCTTGAAATTGACCTAGAGGGTTCCTGCTCCAAGGAATTCGTGGTTGAGCTGTTGCTGGATGCCATCAATTGGTGGCATTTGAGATAGCTTACATCCGGATCGTCAGGACCTGCTCGCTCGTAGCGCGGCCTGAAGAAAAGTCAACCAAAAAGTACTTCCAGGCCCATAGAGTAGTAGCCCCTAGACAAGAAGGATAGAAGAGAAAACAATTTGAAGAAAGATAGATCTAATGGATCTATCGAGGGGATTGAACGAGAGACATCAACTCCCTTTTTGCAACGACTTCTTAGCTCCTTGTCAATGATTGAAACAGTGTTGATAGACGGACCCAATATATCCGCACTGTGAAAACTTTAGCACCGAAAGGCACACCGAGAATGCGCCACAGGACGTGGGCTGGTGTGGCTAATGGATAAAATCTGCCCCTCCAAAATGTGGCTTGAGTTTTGTGCGATGCGCCACTTCTGATCGATGATCGATGACTCCTCGCTGTTGAAATTGTCGAATTCGTAGCAAGGACAACAGCATCCGGCGAGAGCTTCCAGCAACCCACCTAAAAGCGGATCAAATAGAGATCGAATTCCTTTTATTTTCGTGAATGCAGTGCGTAGCATACGAGCCATCGCCTAGCGAGTAATTCGACTCACCCTCAATTGGGTCCCCTGATTTTCTTTTTCCAGCCGCCTGTTTCCTCACCCCCACTAGCTGGGTTCCCTCACTCACCATGCCCCACGCTATCTCAGCGCCTTCCCCGGGGCTGCAGGCCATAATCCTTTGCGGCCCTGGCTCGTCGTTTCCGACCTTCACGGCGAACCCAGATGAGAACCCCAAGGCTCTGTTACCGGTCGCGAACCGGCCCATGGTGTGGTATCCCATCGACTTTTGCTACCGCATGGGTATTTCCGGTAAGCGACACGCGCCGCCTTCTTGCGCTTCCTCAAGACGTGGGAGAAATGGAGGGAGAATGCTAACTCACCAACGTGGCAAGACATCACCCTCATCTGCCCTCCTAGCGCGTTGCAGGCCATCACGACCGCGTTGAACACGGATCCGTTCCTGACCGCCCTGCCGCTGCCCCGCCCCGATGTGCTGGCGCCGCACGGGCTGGACCAAAACACCGGCACGGCGGCGATCCTCCGACTCCCCGAGATCAAGCAACTCATCACATCCGATTTCTTGGTCCTCCCGTGCGATCTCGTCTGCGAAGTCCCTGGAGAAAAGTTTCTGCAGGCGTGGATGACGACGGCGGCCAGCCTCTCCTACGTCCTGGGCGATAGGAGGCTCGCCGAGGATGACAAGGCGCCCCTCTTCAACGGTGGGCTAGGCGTTTGGTACGACACCAAAACCGCGAACCCCATAAAGGGCGAGGAGACCGACTTCATCGCGACGACGCCCCTCCCCGTAGTGACCGCGATACCGCAAAAGGGCTCCCTCTTGCCCCACGTGTCGAAGCTCGTGTACTCCATGCCCACATCATCCCTATCAGACTTGATGGAGGAGCGCGCCGGATTGCCCATCCGACACGGCCTCATCAGGAACCACCCGCGGGTGCGCATGCTCACCACCTTTCGCGACGCCCACATCTACGTCTTCCCTCGCTGGATCATCGACTTTGCACAGAAGAACGACAGGTTCGACAGCATCGGCGAAGACATCACCCAATGGTGGGCCAAGGCCGGCTGGGAAAAGGGCCTGGCCGAGAAGCTCGGGCTCGGAGAGGTGTTTGAGGAACTAAGCAGCGGATCTAGGCCCGCCCAGATCAACCCATCCGTACCCGCCACTCCCGCACGCGAGACTCCCCCAGCGAGCCCAAGAGCGACGACGTCATCCCCCAATCCTCGCCTACCTCCACCCCAACGAGCCGGAAGCGCCCATCATCCGCCGCGTGGATACCGCCCGCCTCCTCCTCAGCGTCTCGCTTCAGCTAGCGAAAGTGCCCTCGGTCGAGGAGGTCGGCGCCGAGGCCGCCTCGCCCTTTGCCCACCCCAGGAAGGTGGCCTACCCCGAGGGCATCAAGTCGAGGACGACCATCACCAAGACGGATTCCCTCATAGCCGAGCACGCCACAGTAGAGGAGAAGACGTCGATCAAGGAGACCGTGGTCGGGGCTCACTGCCAGGTCAAGGAAGGCGCCAAGATGCTGCAGTGTGTCCTCATGGACGGCGTCACGGTTGGGAAACAATGCAAGCTTACGAGGTGCATAATCGGCAAGCGGGCCGTGATCGGGGACAACTGCGTTCTCACCGACTGCGAGATCCAAGAAAACTTGCTTGTCGAAGCTGGAAGTAAGATCTCACCCACCCCGTTTCTACCCCTGCCCTTCTCCCCTTCTTTCCATATCCTATCCTGCCTTCTTATTCGAGGCCTCCCCTTTCAAAACTAGCATATACCCCATCCTTTTGCTTCCTCGCGTGAAAGCTGACTTTTTTTTTTCTTTCTTTTCTTACTTTAGCCGAGGCGAAGGAAGAAAAGTTTATGAGTTCGGAGGGTCTCGAAGCCACAGAAGAGGAGATGAGGGAGGTTTTAGAAGGCGATGGTTTAGCAGACGACGATGCCATCATAACTTAGTTGGCTCCTAATTTCACTACGAATGAGCAAAGGAAAAGAAAGGCGATAGAAGATGGGGAAAAGAAAGAAAAAAACAACCCAGAAACCAAACGGGATGAACCGCATGTCCAAATCTCTTTGCCGCCGTGGAAATAAACTGATATGTCGAACCAGATGCCTTGTAGCGCAAAATAAAGACGAGTTCGTCCATCCTACTACACATACATAGACACACGGCCAGGAGCAAAGATCCAAGGACCTTCTCAAGGTAAAACAATGACGAGAGAGAGAAAAACCGGCAAACGACTAGCTGAAGGCCTCCCGTGGTTCCATCTCCACGTATCGCACCACTTCCCGCAATGCAATTACCTGCCTCTCTAGGCGCAATTAGTCCCCGCGATTTTCTTTGGTGGGGAGTATCCGCATGCGAGGAAACAGGTGGAGGACGGGACTGGAGAAGGGGGGGGCCGCAAGCTTGGGATGTCATCGAGAGAGATCCAATGCTTTCCGCCTTAGACTTCCTCTTTTTAGCTCGCTCGAGTAATAAATGTGGGTTAAGAGAAAAATAACGTTGTTTAGTCCCAGACCATGTTGTCGTGTTGCGACAAGCATCTGACACTAAAAGAAGCCACCAACTTGCCGCCACCGACCAACTCCTCTTTTCTTTTCACCTTTTCGCCCTCATCGACCCAGCTGCGGTTTTAGGTCCTTGCTCGTGCCGCGTGGCACGTACGCATGGCGCGCGGGGAGCGGCTTAGACCAAACTCTTTTTTTCGCCTTTCCAGTATCCCAGGACGAGGGTCCTCCAGTTTACCTTTTCTTGTCTCCTGTCATGTTCCAGAGATCTCTCTCAGCTCCTCATCCTCCCCCGGTCCCCTCATCTCTATCACATTCTGACATTCCGACAGCCTGAGAGAGTGGAGGGATCGAAGCACGGAATTGGAACATGGCGCACTTGCTTCCCGTTTCACCTTTGCAGACTGGACATCCCCCTTCCCCTTTCGCCTCTTCGCCCTTCGCTTTTTTCGAGCGAGCGCCTGCTTCATTCCCACATTGTAGCTCGGCGGGTAGTAACTCTGACTGCGCGCACATCGGCGCGCAAATGAGCCCTTCTTCTTTTCCGCATACCCTCCCATGCGGGCCGTAATATGATGTTTGCTATAACCTGCAATCTCCTGGGACGGATGGATGGGTGGAGCTTGAGTAGTACAGGGCGACATTCTAACTATCGCGGGCAACTCAGCGATTCCACATGTCTTTCTTGTCCCCCACATGCGCCGCTTGTCACATCCGCACGCAGTCGTGAGAGACAGGCCACCCCTTCACCCCTTCTCAGGCTGAGGAAAAAGGAGAGGAGAGGTGCGGAAATACTCCCACCAACCGAAACTTACCTACTAAACGACGAGCATCTTCAGACTGTGGGCGACAAGTTGCCGAATGCTTGTCGTCTCTACCTCTAGCATAGAGGCACTCGTACGTAGACTCAACTAACAGAGAGAACCCTTCCAGCCCCCCCACCCCTATTGGCGAAACCCAAGGAGAGCCTGAACAAGCCTCCCTCTTGGAGGCGGAACTCAAACATCGTTACCATCAAGAGCAGAAAATCATTCCCAATCTGAGGCAGATAGATATCAAAGCCTAGGCGATCTCCACCATTCAATGGCTCAGTCCATGCCACCAAAAGCATCTAGATGAAAGCCCATTACTTGGGCTCCATCTCCCCGCGCCCCGAGCCCCGCGCCCCCGCTCGTGCTCCCCTTTCCCATCTTAGTCAAAGTTATGCCAGCCATTCCGGCCAAGGAAACTTTCGGGGTCAGCGGCCGGGGTGGGCGGGGTTTAACGGCCCCAACCTTCGAGTTAAAAACACAGCCATCATGTCCATTCCTAGCCACTGTTTTGACAGACGAACAAATCAAACCGGCAGGATCCCTCTTGGCCACATGCAGCCCACGCGTTGATTGAAAGACACGCACATCACCATACTTACTCCCCTCTAAAGTTTATATGAAGATGGGGCATAAGATGAAGGTCAAGGACTTTATACATTCACATTTCGTACAGGGCCGGCTTTGCATCCATGGCGCCCTAAAAATAACAAAAGAATGACCTAGAGCAAAGGACAAGGAGTGAGTCGGTGACAAGCAGAACAGATGGCTGCCGAAAGAATACCAATCATAGGCCGCTAGTTACGGGATGAGGGCACTGATGTGTGGTGCGCTCGCGCAAGACGCGAGCCCTTACCGCCGTTTGTGTCATCATGGCAGTGAACCGCAGACTCTAGCCCGCCTTGTACCACGCACTGCTTTGAGCCATTGGGGCTTGGTGCCAACCGCCCACATACCCTCATGGCAGAGAGAAGACAATTATATCTCGATGTAGTCGAATCCTAGTCGGGGTAGTCCAGCGCGGCTATGGCAATATTCCGCGTTGCAACGTAACTGTGAAAGGGAGAGCCGGGTCTGTCTGCAGCATCCAGCTAGTACCTTGGGCCGGAATGAGACTGATGCGAGAAGGCTGCGGTGAGAAAGAAAGGACAAGATGTATCTAGGACTATTGGATCGAATGGGGAGGTGATAGTGATGCCTTCACACAGTAGTCGGTCTAGACTGCAATGCACGCTCTGCTGCGAACGCCTCCTCGTAACTATTGCCTCTTGAAGTCAGATCATCGCATCGAGGGTCAAGGGGCCCGATGCATGCCGCTCTCTTTCAACGGGCCGGCATCACCTACTTTGTCCCCTTCATCTAAACCCTGGACCCTGCCAAGCCTAGGTCTCCCATCCTTTTGCTTTCCGAGCTCGATTGGACAGGTTGCGTGTTTGTCGAGGGACATGGCACGGCGTTGTAGACTCCGTTTCATGGACTCCGATGTCCCCTTCCACTAGCCCTCCACCCGCCCCCTTCCTCACAGATGAGGCCCTGCCATCGCGGCTCAAGGAGTCTAGCACCATGTCGTGTAGCCATAGTATCGTTGGATGTCAAAATCCATTTGGCCACGGGGACATTCCCGAGGAAAAGTGGAAGAAGCCTCCTGTTGCTCAAAACGGAAAGACACATACTCTTGACATGCAGCAGACAGCTTCTTGCTCTTCTGTCTGTCGGCGGCACTAGGACCGCCTTCTTGCGGGCGTTAATTGAGGTTCGGAATGTCTCCTGCGACTGCGCTCTCCGTTACGAGAATATGTGGCAGGCGAGATTACAGGCAGTGACGTGACAGCATCACGGCACCTAGAGATGACTAGACATGAGAGCGGCCGTTGGTAACCCGGTTTTTCTTTTCTTCTTGTCCCACCAGCATGCCAAACTCTCCGCTTGGTGCAAGATTTGAAGTTCGCGCGCTGTGAAAGTACAGGGTACGGTGCGGAAAACCGGGTCCTGGCATGGAAGCCTTCATGGCACATGTCGAAGCCCCTTGTCTAGCGTGAGTCTCAAGTAGCACACGATCCTGTAGGCACCACGACCTATCCGGTGGATGGCTTTTTTTTCTTTTTTTTTTCCTTTTTTTTTTCTTTTCCCTCCAGATTTAGAGGTGGGTTTAGACATAGGGATTCAACTAGGCTGACCACGGCTCCAGTTGCTTAATTGGCTCTTTGAAGAATCCGTGGCTGGACTTATTTCTCGCTCTGGCTCTTTCCCTATTGATGGTGGAAAATATCTTTTGAAGCCGGCTCAAAGTTAATGGCCCTGGCATGGTCATCGGCGAAAAGCGTGATGTTAACATTAACTTGCCAGCAGTTGCGGCAGAGTCTGGCCAGTGTTATTAGCGGGGCACACGTGTTCGAATGAAATGAAGCCTGGTTGCTTGGACTCGAGGTGTTTGTGGTGCTGGGGCAGCATCGATAATACAAGTAATAGGGATAACAACCCTCGAAAACGTTGAGTAGTATTTAGCAAGGTTCCGTGACCTTGCGCACCCTTGTCGATCATTGATGATTGCCTTCTCTTCCCCACACCCCTGCACGTTAAACTCAGGACGGGTTTCAATGAGCCGAGTAATCGGGACGGGCTTGACAAAAAGCAATCTCTCCAAATCTCCTGTCGTAATAGAGCATAGCCCTCGAGGCCTGTGGGTCTTATCCATAAAGGGAAGAGACTGCATCGTTGTATCTGCAAGCTGCAGACGAAAAGGTGGGGACCGAACAAGCAAGACATGACCTCCATGGCCAGCCAAGTCGTTCAAGAACGCAAACCGAGCCTCGAGCCCTCTCGACGTAGCACTTCGACGTACTTACCAACCGCATGAGGCCCGGTATGTAAAGTTTTCTATTGTCACCAGAGCGCCTGGGATTCATTGATAGCGGGCGCGCTCAAGGTAACTTGATGTCGATTTTGCCCAAATATGCAACTTCACTCTTGACCCTCGGGCTCGGTTATTCTGACAGTGACATCGCGGCTCGCAGAATATGCGCTGCGCGCCTGAAGTTCATGATGATGAGCGGCGCGGGCGTCACGTCACGCGCCGACGACTGCAACAAGAGGACCCCGGTTTGAGCTCCATTTCGTAGTTGCCGGACCCCACGAGGAACTTAGCAAGCTCACTCACCAGTCCCACGGGCTTGCTGAAATGACCTTCAGTTGTTGCAACATAATTTAGTCATCTCTCAATTGGCTCGAGGATCTGCCGTCTTTGCAAGAAGCAGGTACAACATAGTACCCGTCTCCAGCTGAGCGGGACACATAGCGCTAGCTGGGCGAGCTAGGCGCCGGGGTCGTCTAGGCCCACATTCGCAGTATCAAGTTTCCTTCCTCATCACGGCTCTGAGCCGCTAACAGAGCAAATAGTGGCAGGCGTGCGAGTACTCGGCTGTGGTATCAACCACGGCCCAGCTTACTCCGCATCACACTATCATGTGCAGCCGGCGGATTGTATCTTCGACATTGGGTGGGAAGGCCAGCTGGGGGCCCCATCTCGAGTCTAAAAAAACATTGGGCTTAAATAGTGCTTCATCTCACTATTACTAGGCCGCCCGAATAGAAGAGGAGTAACGCTCTGGCGTTGGCGGTGTCCATGGTGTGGTGTGGTGTGTATATCTCGCTGGGGGTGGTTAGCCGTTCACCTCCACTTATTTGTTGGCGGTCGGGAGTGGCGGGAAACCATCATTCGCTGAGTTGATACTAACTGCTTAAGAAACTTGACGGCCTCGAAAAGTAACGCTGAGCCATGCGGAACTGCGATGCTTCATTGTGGGAGACTGGTACAAAGCTTGGCCTCAGTGTTAAATGCTAGCGGAAGCAAACATTAATCAATTAGGTTGGCCTACGATGTTGGGCTTAGTTAGGGTTGGGACGAGGCAGCCCTCCATACCGTACTAGGCTTTGTAACCCGAACTGTGCTGCTACAGCCCACGGGCAGCACTTCCCCCACAAATATGGTTCTTTACTCGAATCAAACACGGTGCAGGCACTCTCACTAAGACCAAAGGAAGGCGCTATAGGCGTCGTGGCTGCGACTCCAACTGCATCGCCTCTAGTTAGTTCAAGGTTGTTTTTCCGTCATGGGTATCACTGGGACGATGCAGGTTTAGACCTAGCATACTAACCCCCACCTATCTCGTCAATGGTTCATTCCTCCCACCTGATGGATGAGGTCCGCTCCTCTCCTTCTCCACGCCGATAGGTTTGTCGAGTAGATGGAGCCGATAAGATTTACCAATGCCCCCAAGCCTTGGGCATAGCAAATCCAAGGTGCTTCCAGACACCCTCTCCGTCGTTCGAGCAATCTTTCCACGATTGGCGACCATTCCTGAACAAGCAGGAAGTAGGCTGGAAAATGCCACCTCGTGAGCTTGAACACGACTAGGAAGCGACAAGGCCCAGCTCGCCCACGAGCATACGTCTATCCCAAACTATAACAAAGCCCCGGTCTATGCCTCGATGTCGCTGGGGTTCCAGGTGCCGTGTGGCTTCCTGCCAGTGCTTACCATCAAGAATTTCACGCCACGGACACGCCCCTCCCTTCTTTTCACTTAAGCGCCCTTGAGAGGAGAGAGGATCTTGTTTCGGTTGATCAATAAGAGACATCTTATTAAAACCGTAATTCATAGATGTATATCCTCTCGGTGGATTTAAGGAAAGCCTGAAAACGCCCACCTGGTCGCAAGCTATGAAGGGGGAGGCACGACAATGGCCCATGGGTCACACAACATTGATGTTGGTGTACGAACTATGCGGAGAGAGTCCGTCCCTTGATGCTACTGTCCCCTGGGCATTAGTCCTCTGGACATCTCTAGTCATTTCTTTTTTTGTTGCAGCCAAAGCCATCTACGAAGTAGATAGCTGTTATCCTCGCATGTTATCAAGATTATGGGTGGTTGATGCTTCATTGATCTTGAAATAGAACGTGCTTACTTGTACATCGTCTGTTAGTTGCTAATATGGTATGTCGGGGTACGCGCCCCTAGCTAGTCCATGGATGCACTTAGAGCAGCAAAGGCCAAGAGGAAAATCAATCTGATGCTTGGGCTGGCCAAATAAGAAAGGGTAGCATGGCAACGTCTCTTGGACAAGGGAGGGGGTGTGTGGCCTGGCAACGTTCCGCCTCACCCCTGGCCGCTGACCATTGACCCTTCCACACCACTTTGGGGATTTGGCTCAAAAGCCTTCGATGTTAGACGGGTCTGCAAACGCCGATCCAGCCACGGCTTTGCTGCTCTGGATGAATGTCCCAGAGTCCGCCCTCCCCATTTTAGAGTTCAGCCATTTCACTACTAAGCTACTGACATGGCCGCACTTTGGATGCATATAACATCACGACATTCTCGCTGACCAGATAGATGCCATTCTCCGATCCCACACCCGTTTCTTAATGGTTCTCTTCTCGAGCCTACTTGGTCACCAGCTTGCCCTCAATACTTATACAACCTAGGGTGAGCTGTGCCCTGCACATCACTCTATAGGGTATAACAACCTTCCGCCCTACTCAAGTGACTCGAAAGCACCCGCTGCGCCCTACCAACCCTCCCTTAGCATTCCAGCTTCCCGCCCCCACAGACCTTTGCAGGCCAATACGATTCACCATCAGTTTCAGGTCTATTTTAACCTCCGCATTTATAAAGACAGACGACTGTTAACTCCCGGTCCCTTACTCCAGCAACCAGTTCCGTGCAGAGACTCCCACACGCCGATCTGACTGTGTTTATATATAAAGGCGGCGTATAATCTACCATCTTTGGTCGTCCCTAGTCGAGAACCGCCTGGTATCGACCTCTCAACCTCGCATCGCCAGCCGCCTACGCTTTCTAGTTGATCAAGGAAACGTCTGCAGCAACACGATGGATACTCTCACGCTAACCTCGCTCCCGCTGAACCCGCTGCTACAGGTAGCGGATATGAAGGAGAGCTCGAAGACGGCTTCAGAATGTCCATCAATGGGCCCCCATCCATGACGAGAAGCTTTTCAACAACCTCATCTATGTGCGAGCCCTTCAGCCCCTCCTCAGCCCAGTCGTCACCACAAGCGCACGTCGAAGTTGAAACCCCATACGGGTCGTCAATGGCCTTTGACTTTTCTCCACCATCAGTCTACGGTACTAGCTACTTGGATCCTGATCTCAAGCCGCAGATGGAACGTGCCGCTTATCTAGAAACCTTTCTCCATGACGGCTACCCGGCGTTGCAGCGCCGGACCTACCCTGGGGAGTTGGAAAGCTATTCGTTTGACTCGTCTCAGCTGCTAGACCCAGCCATCTCTCAGCCTTTCGCAGCACACGGCGGCTCGTTTTCCTCATCTTACAACGGCTCGCTCATGGATGCTGAAATCAGGGCGGCCACTTTTGACGCTCCGCCTTCAATCAATGCAGCAGTGTGTATCCCCGAGGTCTGCGAAGTGTCCATGTACGCTTCTGGGGACGCGCTGGGTCGCCTTCCGCTTGGAAATACTCCTGAGCAGTCCAGAGGGTCATTTGGCTCGTCCGATTCCGAAGTCGCGCCTTGTCAACCTTTTCTCTTTTCTAACGCGAAGAGCATGGAGCAGCCTGAGGGGAGTGGTCGAAAGTTCTCGCACGAAAAACGCAAAAGGATTGCTTTGCGAAGCGAGCCGAGCAGATAGCCCGGAAGACGGCCAAGCCAATCCAGGTGGCAGAGAACGACTCTCAAGGCGAAGAGGGACCTTCGGTCGGGTTCCTCGAGATCAAGAGGATCAGTCCCGGTGGTTTCACGTGCGGGATTGACGGTTGTGGCAAATCCTTCAACAGGAAGGAGCATCTCAAGCGACACTTCAATACGTATGTAACTGAGTCCCGTCTCTTCCCTCTATCTGCTTGATTGCGGCTAACAAGCGAAAACAGCACCCATGAAGAGAACCTCATCAAATGTCCCTTTTGCAAGGAAAAAACGAGAAACCTTTTAACAGACACGATAATTTCAAGCACCACATCAAGATCCACTCTCAACCGCGTTCTCACGGTAGAGTAGAATACGTTCCAGAAGCTGCCGCCTATTACCGAAAGCTGGTTGCGGAAACCAAACCTCGGAAACCCAGCAAGAAACTCTCCAGACCGTGAAGGTCGCTATCAGGTTTCGTGTAGCGACCTTATCCACCTTTTTCCTCAAGAAAAGAAAAACACCAAAAAACTTTACTTTCCCACCTTCCTCGCCCATTCTTACTATGGCTCGATGGACTTTTATACGATTATAATCATTGATTCCCCCATTTTTTATTTTCACTTTTTCTGAAACTTTTGAGTATTTTCTTTCCCGTGTCTGTCCGTTAATCACGAAGTTCTTTGGAAGTTTTGGATATACACTGGAGTGGCTCTTTTTCTTCATTGTGTGTTGTCACCCCCATTATAGTATATGTATGTCTGGAGTTGAGGGAGTGGGTTTTTGGCGTTCTTCAATATTGGCCTGGTGCTGCGAGGGATGGGATAGCCCCAAAATCTGGTAATATTATTGAGGGCTGCTGGAGTACTCTAGAAAACGGCGCTGCTTTGGACAGGGAAGAAGGTTGTCTTTTTCCTCGTGGCTAGAAATACTACATGTACCTGAAGTCAACACGCCGTTGCCACTCATCTCCGTGAACTGCGTAAAGGATCCCACTACCTTGAACACTCGCCTTGGGCAACTACAAGGCAACTAACTGACTGTGTTTACGAGCTTTGTACCAAAGTACTACATGGAGAAGGTTATGAGAGTAAAGGGCAGGGATATAGACAGTGTCACTCGAGCATCATGTATGTCAAGGAGCAAAGAAAAGAAGAGCAGACTAGGAGAGCATCGAGGGGAGATCGACAAGGATACTGACGGGAGTTTGTGCGTCCCCTTGGCCCCCGTGTCCCCTTGTCTGTTGAGAATGGAGTCAAAACTCCCCGACCGGAAGGGGTGGTGCATTGACTTTCGGAGGCTTGAGCTGTGACGAGGTATTTAAGGCTCTCATCGGATGAAGGACGCCCGTCAGTCAATCTTTTCCCCCTCGTGCCCTTCTTCCCCCGTACCCTTACCCGAACAAGAGAACCTGGCCCTTGACAAACACAGGGACAATGAGAGAAAAAGAATGTCGGGGAAAGAGGAGGGGCGATCTCTGTCGGACACGGGCCGACCTGCTGTACGAGAATGCCGAGAGGGGCGACCCTTTTAGGAAGGGGGTGTGCGTGTGTGTGCGAGTGTGGATGCGAGTGTGAGTGTAAGTGTGGGGTGGGGGTTGGAGGTTGGGGGTTGCTGGTTGATCTCCTCGGCCCCCGAAAGGGTTTGTCTAACGCGCCAAGGCTATCTACACTTGTTGGCGAGGAAGAAGGAATAAGGGGAGGGTATCCTTCTCTCTCTCTCTATCTCTCTTTTTTTCTCTTTGGCTTCAAGAATGGGAGGAATGGGCATCGGCCATATCCTAACGACCGTGGTGTGCGTTGATTCGAACACGTCACAGCCAGGGGAGGGTTCCAGCCAGTCGGTAACCAATGAGAAGACATAATTTTAGGCTTTTGTTCGCTAATTTTGTTCGTATCAAACGCCCCCCTAGGAATGCTGGAGGGTCACCCCGGAGTAGACAGGGATTGAAGTGAAGGGGGCCAGGACGGCGCCTGCAAGATGCTGCGGTTGGCCCTACGATCAATTCATGTAGGGTCGCTGGCACGTTGAGATTGGAGATCAGTCAAGGTCACGGCGGTGGACGTGCATGTGGATCAATTGGAGGGGGCTGAAGGCATTGGCGTGCGACGCTGTTGCTTGAAGTGAGGATGACTTTCTCTCTCTTCTCCTTTTCGTAGGAAAAGTTTATTTTTCAAGGGGTTCGTTTTGCGGGGGTTGGTCCTTGAAATTTGTAAATATTATTTTCTTTTCGGATCTTATTTTCTTCGCCCTTGCTCACGAAGGTAAACATACAGTACAGACGGTGGCGGGTATTGGACGAAGCAATCCTTGGATACGATCCTTCTGCCTGCCCTTATCGTTAGATGATTTTTCTACGGTTCCTTGAACTTGTCTCTCTCTTTCTTTTCCCCGTTCCGCTTGGATTTTAGGTAGGTGTATATGCCGGTGTTGCTAATGCATTCGTCACACGCCCTAGCGGTGTTCTCGGCCGTTTGTGGGGGCTAGAAGGGTGTGTGTGGGAGCAAAAAGAACAAACACAAGCCGTTTTTTTCGGCACAAGGAGGCGCGTGGGGAAAGAAAGGGCTGGCCATCTAGCTGTCTGGTCGAGAGTTGACAGCGCGGATATTCATCCGTAGCGTGAATGGTCATGCAGACGTGACCCTGGGAGGGTGTAGACACAGCCAGTGTGTGTCACGCGCTAGCGTCTTCTCTGCGGGTCGCGTCAACGGACTGCAGGTCAACGGTTTAAGCCCATGAAAAGGACGGGGATGGACGGGGATGGAGGGAGCGGAACGTGTCGAGGGCGTCTCGTTCCTCGACCATGTGCCGCGGTTGTGCGGAATGAATAGTGTGAAGGGTGAAGGACAGAGCTAGGTCAGACTTTTTCCCCCTCTTCGTTTTTGGGGTTCCTTTTTCTTTTGTCGAGAGGCAAGGAAGGGGAAGAAAGGAGAGGGGTAGGGAGGGGTGTAGGTTTCATTGCGGATGTGGGAGGTGAGGTGTGATGTGGGATCTATGGATGCACCACGCACGTTGAAAACTTTTCTTTTTTCTGAGATCCTGTTGCCTTCCATCTTCCATGCCGAGATTATGCGCAATCTGGTGGTGGCGTTGGGGGTGCTGCACGAGGGCTTGGCTGTCAGTTAACCGTCACCGTCACAGTGACAAGGGGCAAGCACGAGAACGGATGCGGGCTCGGTGTGGGTGTGGTTGAATGAAAATGAAGGGCAAGGCTCAAGTTACATTCAAGAGGACAAGAATAACGAGGCTTGATATGGAGCGGCGGTCAATCAAGGGGCGGGGAGGGGGAGGGATTTGCCTCAAGTGTTGATGCTGCAGGGTCCACTTTCCCCTTCTTTCCCATTCCTCTTCTTAGATTTGGTCATAGATATATTGAGACATTGAGGAGCGAGGGTATGCCAAGGGGGCTCGAGCCCGTCTCGACTAGGGTTGGAGTGAAATAAAGGTGCGAGAAGGGGGCGAGTGGACAGTTGACGAGGGTTGAGGTGGTTTACTGAATAGGCAGGCGGCACATAGCAGGGTCTGCGATCAATTGATAACACAGGCTGGAGCATTCAATTGTTTCTTCGCCGAAAGGTGGGTCCCGCAGATCGGCCGTGGCATCGGGAAACGAGGGCCCGAAGCCGTGATCCGAGTGGGGTATTGATTTTGGCCAGCCGTGGGAAGGAGCATTACGTGCCTGTCAAGCCTGTCAAGCCTGTCTATAGCACACGGACACGGATGTGGGGGCGGCCCCCTCGTTCTTGCCTGGGGTTTAGCTTAGCGTACGAAAGGGCGACGAGCTGATCTCCCGAAATGCAACGCAGCATCGAGGTGATGGGATATATCTCCACACGTCCAAAGCTGGAAATATTTACTCAAGGACTTTCTCTTGGAGGAGACTCGCCCAAATCGACGGTTATTGCTTCCAGGCTCAAGCTCCCAAGTTTCCAGGTTTTGTGGCTTAGTTCTTGGCGATGGAGCAGCACTGTCGCCTCCCATTTTCTGAGGCCCCCTCCTTCGTTGATGTGTAAGCGTGTGCACCTGACAGCCAGTGACGAAAAGGCCGAGGAGAAACACGACGTAGATCTCCTGCGAATCCCTTCCTTCCCCGTGAGTATTCTCCCTTCTCATTCTCCCATACTTGTGGCAGATGCGGCCAAGATTCACTCGCCCGCCATCCTGTTTTAACCCAACGGCGCGCGCGTACAAGTCCTACCCCGCTTCGAGGGCCTGGATTGAAAGGAGCCTCTTCTTCGCCGCCTACCGAATTCCCGTGAGGAAGACTTCAAAGTACACGACACTCGCAAGACATAAATAATCCAAAGTTGTTTTGCCTCCCAACCGCCGTTGGCCGGATTGAGAAAGGTACCGACTGGTTTTCCTTATCTCTCATTTGCCGCACGTTCTCGAGGTGCGTTACATGTAATGTAATGCGCACGGGATTGGCATAGCAAACAAACAAAAGAAATTGAATACTTGCTCTCCTTCTCCGCCGGCTTGACCAACGGGTTGGTATCTACCTTGTACATTTTCATCCTCCTCCCCTTTTTCTTTTTCTTTTTCTTTTTTACCTTGAGCTATCTCGCGCTGCTAGTCTCGTATCCAGAACCGACTAGGCGCGTCATTCCTTGCGACGCCTCCGTCGAGTGGCGGGGTGCCGTTTCCGGCTCTGCATCTGCATTCTTTCTCTCCATTCCGCCTCACACTCTTACCTCGTGTATTTCGCCGTTGTGCGCGCGCGTCTGCGCCTGCGCCTCTTTTTTCTTACTTCTTTTTTATTTCGTTCCCTCCTCTTCTTCGAGTCTTGCTTTGGCTCTCTGCGCGGGTGTGCGCGTGCGTGTGTGTGGATCTGCGTGAGCGTGCGAGTGAGTGTGTAGGGGTGGGGGTGTACCTTTACGAAAAGAGAAGCCAAACAGACAAACACAGACATTTTCAACCGGTCAAGAGGTTGGTTGGAGAGATTCTTGACCCGAATTGGGCACTGGGAAGGGTCTCCCGGTCGGATCGCCTTACTTTGCGAGCATGGCTTATCAACGATTCGCCGCGGAAGAAGGGCCAGGAGCCGGTCTACCTTCTTACCAAGATGCCGTCGCCGCGAGGGGTTTGGGTTGGTTAGAGCTTGTGGCTCCGTACGTCTCAACCAGGGACTACATGAGCCTCTGCCTTGTCAGCCGCCGCTTTTACGACGTCTTCTGTCCCAGGTTATGGAAAGACCCTCTTGTGACCATGAGGGTCCTGGGGTTAGATTTGAGCAATGGTTAGTCACTTCAGCCCAGATCCCACGTTGTGTGCCATCATCCCGAGCCTTGTGCCCCCCTTTTCTTCCAGCTCCCTCCTACCACTGTCTCCCGGACTTTGAATGGCCGCTCTTTGATCAATTTCCCAGTCTGCTCAACTTCCCCTCCTACCCCTTGATACATTACATCTGCCGGAAGAAGAAAATGTGCATTCCACACAAGGCACGGCGTCCCTGAGATTTTGAATTGCTAAGGCGTAATCACAATGGGGGTAGATTTTAGCTGGTATATCGCCTTCATCTTCACGCGGGCACCAAAAGTGCGTCTGTCGACGCGGCTACATGTCTTGTCTTTAGACTTTCGCCAGTTCGCCAAAGCCGCATACCACTTCCGTGCTGAAAGTCCCATTACGGCCAGCCTCGCCGCGATCCCAAACCTATTTCCTAGCCTAGAATGCATCCTTTTGGATGGACATACCGAGATCGAGGCCCCTCGTATCTTCCGAGGCGGCTTCTACCCTGCTCGGGGCCAGGGGCCTGTGCTCCTGAGCCTAGCCGGGTGTGAGACCCTGGTTGAATCAAAGACCCTCGAGAGCACGTGGGCCTTCCCGGTCAAGTATCTCGATATATCGGGCCTTCCGGGGTCCTTGCGCCCTCTCATTCATTCCGCTGACCGGTTCCCACATCTTTGCGTCTTAAAAGCCAGGAGGCGCGAGCTCGGGCCCACCGATGCTAATGACCTCGTGAGGGCCTTTTCGGGTACGCTCTGGAGCCTAGACTTGAGTGATAATCCCGTACCCGATGTGGTGCTACGAGTGTTGGCGCCCTCGCTGATGAAGGGCAAGTCGTTGCGGAACGACAATTATTTCGCGGCTGAGGGGGCACTGGATACCTCACGTCGCGAGGGCAGTAACGTGTACGGTCCGTTTTACCACATCAAGGAGTCAGGTTTCAGTGATACCTTTTCCCACCCTGATCGGTACTTAGCGGACCCTCCAACCTATTTTCCTGGAATGTACCTGGATGAAAGCCACCGACCAGAGGCCGTAAGGGCGAACGGCCGGACGCCTATCAAAAATGATTCCATGGAGTTTCTGAAGCAAGCCATCTTGGGAGATGCCTCGCCGGTTGCTGCAAACGCCGCACTCTCGGCCGAAAGGGCCCGCCCTACTCTCTTGAGTCATCTGCATCTCTCCAACACGAAAGTGAGCGCCCTAGGAATAGAGAGACTGGTGAGAGAGTCGCCGGGTCAGCTGGAACTCCTCGATTGCGACTCTGCGCAGCTGAACATTGAGATCACGCGGCAAAGCAAATGGCCCAAGTCCACAAAACTCTACGGCATGTTGGGATCGTCCCACGTGTTTCGGCCAGTCTTCTCCTCAAACCTGTCCGAGTTGAGGGTTCACCACTCTCTCGTGACCCAGATCCCCACTCTAGAGGCTGAGGGGCTCTCGTCGCTGCACCGTCTCTGGCTCGCTGAGACGGTCATCAGGCAAAGGTGCGAGATGGCGTATCCGCAGGCGTTCGTGCCCGACATGAATCCCCGCATTACGTCTCTCACGCTTACGCGTATTCCGCGCCGCTCTTCGGGTCCCCTAATAGACAAGATCGTAGGCTTGCTTCGGGCAGCAGCGGTGCAAGAGCGCACCATTGCCGAAGCGACCACGTCATCGTCGCGTAGGGCTCCCATGATGCTTCGGGGCTTGCGACGAATCTGTCTCGAGTTCGAGGCCGATCCGATGGACGACCCGGGACGGTTTGCCACCTCGGCGGATCTTGATGCGGACGGGGTTTTAGACTTGAGGCTGGATGCTGTGAGCTTAAATCATGGTGAGACCGCGGAAGACGCTGATGCCCGGAAAACCGGTGATGCCGCGTCGCCTCTTCGCACGAGCCACGATGCCTCTACGGGGGCCAGCTTCTCTCGTTACGGCAAGGAATACGTGCAGTACACGGCGCTGTGGGGATCGAAAAGTTCCGAGGCCAAGGTGTGGGTGGGCAGCGGCATCAAGAGCTCGAGCCCGGCGGTTAATGCCTACCAAGAGCTTGTTCGGCGCAAGGAACCTAGCAACCAGCACCGGTATGACTACCGGCGCGTCATTGGGGCCGCGTCACCCGCGCACGTCGCCGCGGGCGTGCCGGCGGGCTCTTTGATCTTTCTCGATGCTTGGGAAGCCATGATCCTCCCTGAGGCCGTGGCCGCGGCACCGCGGGAGGAGGCGCTGGCGAGGATGAAGGATGTGTTGACGGAGCTGAAGAAGTACCGCGTCGCGACGAGGAATGCCTACGCGGCGGAGAAGGCGAAGGCGGAGAAGGCGAGGAGAGAGGAGGAGGCGCGAGTGGGGAAGATGGGGGTCGCGGGGCCGCGGTGGTGCCCCTGGGTTCGCCGCATTACTTTTACACGGGGCGGTGGAGGTGATTGCAAAGGATAGCCGGACGCACTATCATGCTTCAGAGTATTGGAGGTGAGGTGGATATGGCCAGGGTGCCTCTGAAGCCTCACTCTGGGCTCTAGTTAAATGTAAGGGAGGCGAGGAGATGGTCGAGAGATGGATATGGTATTAACGAACATTGCATTGATGGTTGGAGACATTTGGCCCATATATTTCTTGTTTAATAAGTTTTTGCTTGTATGCTCAGCTCTTTTATCTGAGGTTTGAGGCCAAGCTGTCTCACTGCAGGATATGATTGACTATGTCTCTGAGAATTTACGATTGTAAGTGGAGGTGAATCGGAAGTTTTCACCCACAATACCTGATCGGCCTTCTTTCAATCTATAGAAAGTGGCTAGAAATATGTTAGAGATCATATCGACATGTGCAGAAGCTCTGTGTGTGGAAAAATACGCTTAATAATCGGCAGCTGGGGTGGTTGGGGTTCTCATTGGGGGCCGACCTCGCCCTTGGAGCTCAATCCTTCCGCTCCGCTCCACCCAAGCTCGTGCACCTTGCCTCGTTCTCTCGAAGCCAACTCTCAACAGTTGCTTCTTTTTGACCTTTTATCATAGGCTGGCGCTGCTCGAAAACAAGCAATATTTTTGTTTTCGCCCTTTCCTTCACAACACATACACACAATCCCGCTCTCTCTCTCTCTCTCACAATGGCCTCGACCGACGCCGAAGCGGCCGCCCGCACCCGCATCGTCAACCACATGAACAAGGACCACCAACGCGAGCTCTCCCACTACCTGCGACATTACTCGAAGCTCCCGACGTGGCGGGCGCGCGACCCGGTGATGAAGGACATTTCGACCGAGTCCATGACCATCCAGAGCGCGGACGGCGCGGCGCACCAGATCCCCTTTGACCCGCCCATGGCGTCCCTGTCCGAGGCGCGGAACCGCGTGGTGGCCATGGACGGCGAGGCCCGCGCGGGCTTGGGCCTCGCCGACGTGGATGTGACGGTGTACGCGGCCCCCAGGGGCTGGCACGCGGCCGTGTTCGCGTCCGTGGTGCTGTACTACGTCGTCTACTTTAGCAAGCCGTGGGAAGCCGGAACCGGATCCGGAACCGGGCCCCTCGCGGGGTTGGCCGAGGCACAGCGCGGGTTCTGGGACGCCGTGTTCCCGGGCGGCGTGCAGGTCATGGGCCAGGTCGTGCGCGCCATCCTCTGGCCCGTGGTGGCGATTCACTTGGTGGAGATTTCGGTGCTGGACCGCACGAGGCTGACGCCGCGTGCGGCGCTGGTCGGGGTCTGGTGGTTGTGGGCGGGGAGCTGCTTCTTTGAGGGGTACCCGTCGTTTTTGAGGTTTGATCAGTTGGTTGCGGAGAAGAGGGCGGCGAAGGAGGTCAAGGGGGCCAAGGGTCGCTAGGTTCGGCTGATGGGGAAGGCTGGTCTTTTGGGGGCAAAGCGTTTTTGTGGAGGACTATGAAGATTGAATAGGAGGGATGGTTGTGCGGAAGGGGTGGTGGCCTGTATGAAACTCTAGTAATGCTATAATTCTAATGGTAGCTATTTGCAGATAACGAAGTCATATCAACGCAGCTCCTTTGAAGTTCTCCCGGTGGTTTACACGCGGAACGAGCCCGTTAAAAGGCTTCTTAGAGTTGGGTGATGCGATATAAAGCCCGGAATCTGTCTAAATTCTTCCAATAATTCCCAGCTATCAGATGGAACATTCCCTCCTTACAATTTCAAAACCAGGAGCTCGCCCCCAAAAAATCAATGAGTTCTGGTGGTTCGGTGAGCATTCGGTCAAGGAGGCAAGAATTCTTCGCTTTAGTGAGGAAGTGTGGCTTGACCGAGAGTGGTGGGGCTGGTGATTGAGTTTGTGGAGTCGTCCACTCCAACCGCAGTGGCAGCTCCTCGATATAGTGAACAGGGGTCGTACACGTGACACTCACCCCACTACACTGGTGGCTCGCGTGCTGGACAGCAAGCATTGAACATTGAAAAAGCAGCCCCACATAGGACTCGCTGGTTGGCCATTTTCGCAAAACCCTACACCAAAAGGCTGGTGTAGGTACGTACCTCAACCCACACAACCCATTAATCATTTTGTGCGAAAGAAGAGAAGTCGGATCTTTTTTCCACTCCCTCCCATTTCTCCCCTCCTCCATCACCGACAACCACCGACCAATTTTCTAAGATTGCCCTTCTGGTGAATAACATCCAGGTTCGTATGATTTCTTCGTCAAAGACTCCTCTCATCGTTTGCCAATTGTGGTATCCAAAGCTTTTGGTTTTGGATCTGCCCTCCTTTCGGGAGGTTTTGACCGGGTTGAAACTTTGCGTCTGGTCCAGGCTGCATCGCGAAGACCCTCCCTCTGGCTGTTGGGGTGATGTTGAATCTTGGAGAAAGAGCCAACAGCCATGGAAAACGGAACCCCAGTTTCGAGTCCTCACAATAAGGAATCTGTTGGCTAACTGGTATATCCTTCATTCTCTTTTTCTGCAGACACCGCAATCATGGGTATTTCTCGCGACTCCGCCACAAGCGCTCCGCCTCCGGTGCCAAGCGTGCCTACTACAGTCCGTGAACTCCTCCCTCCCCAGATGGCCGCAGCTCCCTGCGTGCCAAATATATAAACTCCATAATCTTTTTGTCGAAAGCCCGTATTGGCCTTTCTTCTTCGGAAGGAAGCAGTACGTTCTGACCTCTGTCAACAGGAAGAAGCGCGCTTTCGAGGCCGGCCGTCAGGCTGCCAACACCCGTATCGGCCCCAAGAGGATCCGAACCGTCCGTACCCGCGGTGGCAACCACAAGTACCGAGCTCTCCGTCTCGACTCTGGTAACTTTGCCTGGGGCTCCGAGGGCTGCACCCGCAAGACCCGTGTTATCGTCGTCGCCTACCACCCTTCGAACAACGAGCTTGTCCGAACCAACACCCTGACCAAGTCCGCCGTCGTCCAGATCGACGCTGCCCCCTTCAGGCAGTGGTACGAGGCCCACTACGGCCAGCCCATTGGCAGGAGGCGACAGCGTGCCCAGGCCGCCAAGGAGGGCAAGGACGCCGCCGAGGACGCCAAGAAGTCCAAGTCTGTTGAGAAGAAGCAGGCTGAGCGCTACGCCGCCGGCGGAAAGGTCGACCCCGTCCTCGAGAAGCAGTTCGAGGCTGGTCGTCTCTACGCCGTCGTCTCCAGCCGTCCCGGCCAGTCTGGTCGCTGCGACGGTTACATCCTTGAGGGTGAGGAGCTCGCCTTCTACCAGCGCAAGCTCCACAAGTAAATCAACCATGTATCTTGTTTACTTGTAAAAGCTCCAAGCAATGGAAAAAGGAGATGTATAAGGTAGAGGACAAGATGGGGGAGGTAGTGGAGGAAAAAAACTTGACCCAAGTAGAATGAGGTATAAGGAGCCTGGCTCACCTTCGAGCAACAAGTGGCCCTTGGAGGAGGATAAAGTGACGAGGAAGGGGCACGAGAAATTCAAAGGCGGTGTTTTTTTCCCACTCGGTTTCTGGTTGGGTGTTTTAAAGGCTTTTGGCATTTTATTGTGTCCCTCGGCATACCAATGGAGCAAAAGGCGCGGGGAAAAAACCCACGAGTTCTCAAAAACGAACCAAGACATGATTTTTATCTTCTTTCCACACCGCAGCATCTCGAGAGACCAACAAGAAAAACCCACGTCCTTAGATTTTCCCCTTCCACTTTCTTCGGAAATCATGGCCCACCCGTAGCCTTTTTCGCAGTGATTATGGACCGTACTACTTCGCTTCCTGCACCTCGAGAACCCATTGAGGTCTAACGGTAAACCCAAACGTGATACCTTGGTACCTTCCTTGGACATCTCGAAGACCCCATTTGGACCCACTCCACACGACATGCCAACTCTTGCCTCTCGCTTTCTCGCCTCGCCCACCATCCTGCCTCGTAAACGGGCGTTTTTCCTCGGCTCCCGTCATCCAGCCATCATGTCGAAGCTGCCTATGAGAGGAAGATCCCTCTCATGACCTTAAAAGCCAATTTCAAAGCTGACCCTACTCCAGGCGGCGATGGCTCGGAAAGCCGAAAGCGTGTCCCACCTCCTCCGCGCCCTCATACGCCAGCGACACGGCGAAGGGCTGCGTGGCAGCGCAGTCTCGTCCATGTAAGAAGGATAGCAAACAGCCCAACGGCCCTATGACAGTTCATCCTCTACACGGCACTTTTGAAGAGTAAGGCGCATGGACGCGGTCTAGACAAGACCGGCGTCGGGTTCGGCTATACGAAAAGAGGCCGTGAGGATGGCCTTTTACTGTCGTGCCCCCTAGGGGCGGGAGATTGGAGTCGCCGTGCATACGCTTTGTTATCGCTGCAGATGATATTGCCCAGTACAATCATCCGAAGCCTGCTGAACACCGAACCTCTAGCCTATGACCTTTTCGGCAATGCAGCCCGAGGATGGAGATGCCTCTATGGCCTCGATGCACTTGTCCAATATTTCTTTTTTCGCTGCCTCGTCCTCTGCTAAATGCAGCCACTCAACGAATATGAGAGGATGGCAGGATGACGGGTCGCACAAGGAGCCATGAAAAGCGGGGTGTGCGCTGGCTTATGACTTCTCTTTTTGGGGAGCAGGAGAGGATATGGGGATGAAGGCTGCAAACTTCCTCCCCCTCCCCGGGACCCAGGGGTTAGAGAGCAGCACTACGAGGGAATAAAAGCCATGCCTCTCTACTCTCGACCAGAGTCCAGAGGCTCCTCAGCTCCTCAGCTCCTCATCTCCAACGCGGGTAACAATGGCCATCTTCCTTTCTCAGCTTCTCTTCCTCGTCGGATTGACGGCAGCCCAGTCGGGCAACGCTCAGTGGAGCGATTTCGCCGACAACTTTGCCTCGGACCTTGCACCCATCATTGCGCTCTTTGGCGAACAAGTCACCAAGCAGTTCCTTAGCGAGTCAACCAGCTTCCTAGACAACATCATCTTTGGCGTCGCCCCGCTCGGTATTCTTACGGCGGTCGTCTCGGTGATTCGGGTGTACGGGAGCGCCTCGCTAAGTCGCTCGTCGGAAGGGCTCAGGAGCCTCATGGTCTGGCCGAGGCCGAGCTATGCTCATCGACGAGCGAGGATGTGTGCGAGTTGTGGTCGAACGGAGGCATATGTCGCGTGTTTGGGCGTCCCAAAATTCTCGAATTCTCCTACCGGGAGGGGAACTTCTATCCCTCAAAGGACGATGAATGGGCCCAAGAACCACCACCGCCGCCGTGTGGTATATTTAGCCTCAGAAACTGGTCATCGGGGGTTGGAAAGAAAGGAATCCTAGAAACGCTGACAACGAAGGAAGAGTAGCGTTTGCACCGTATCCCAATCTATCATTGAACATTGGGATCCAACCCGTTTCCACCTGGAAGCTCTTAGCTTCCGCAGTTTTCGGGGTTCTCTTGCAGCTCAGCTTCTTTGGGTATGCCTCGTGGGCTACTTTCTTCAATGACTCCCTGTACGATGACAAGGCGTCTTTGCCGCCGCTCTGGTCATTCTGTCTCACGGTTGTCGGGACAGTATTCATTGTGACCAGCATGACGCTATGCGCCATGCTGATCGAGCGCAAGTCTGAAGAGCGAACGTTTTTCCAAGATATCGGCAAATCCGACTCCTCGACCCTTTTCTGGTTACAGCGGGGTGGCCAACGTATCGGCGATCAGGTATTCAACACATTTCCTTATTGCCAAGAAAGCAGCAACTACGTGACCTCATGGAGAGCGGATCAAGGGTCGTCGAAAGCGAGCAGCCACTCCATCAACCATCATTCGGTGGCTCTCTCCACCGCTATCACGCTCGCTTTGCTAGGGTTCGTCTTGCAATTCATTGGCTTTCGCGGCCTACACGGGTCGATTGCGCTATATCAGCTGGCATGTACGTTGTGCATGGCCGTCTTCCGAGCCGTTATTAGAAGCAAACGTCTTGGCAAAGAGAAAAATGAAGCAAGGAGCCTAGGCAAGATCTTGGATGGGCACGAACTTGACTGGCAGGCTCTCAATCTTGAGCGGCTTGATAGACTGGCCCGCCAGCACAATAAAAAAGGGAAAAAGACTTCGCAGCTGGGCTCGGCAGAGGTGGGATCAAGTCAGATCTGTCCCCCTGAGACAACTACTCCAGGAGATGCGAGTCTCACCGGTAAGTACAAACATAAATCAAAGGTGACATTTGGGTAGCTCAGGCTTGCTAATCATGAAAGGAAGACAATCTCGAACCTCTGTGGTTTCTTAGTTCCACCCTCTCCCTGACAAGCCTGACAAGCCCGGCAAGCCCTGTCTGATTAAAGGCTTTGGAAGTCTCGACGAGGCTATAGCCTTCATTAAAAGCGAAGAGAGTCCGCAGCTTACGCCGAACAAAGCGGCCCGGATCCTATACTATCGATCTCGTCTTGCGTACCTCGCGAGCGAGTCCGAAATGCCGATTGAGCCGGGATGGGGTACAGAAGTCCATGAAATGGCCGTGAAACTCCAGACTTTGCTTGAGGAGTCGATGGGATATATATTTTCAAGCATAGGCATGCCTGAAATTCGAAAAGACGTAAGATCTCTTGTTTGGCAAGCCACATGTGATTTGTCGTACTTCAACGATACAACCCCGCCTGCTTCATTCCCTATTCATTTCCTCATGAACTTGGAGAACAGCCGATGGAGGATCAGCAGGAAAACACTGGAAGCCGTTCTAGGACTTTAGTGGTGGTCTTTGAACCGGCGCGGCTGTTCGGACCGGGCTATGATCAAGGCCATCTTGGTCCCCCACCAATACCTCTATAAGAGTGGTAGTGCCAATGGTGGCATCTGCGAGCTGATCAATCGCTGGATCGCGCAAAGCCAAAAATACCTTTGAAGCGGGTTCCCCAGCCTCCGAAGCACCACCCAACCGTTCTTTCAATTCCAGCAACGGACGCCCTCCGCCATAGTGGGAATAAACCTCCGGAATCTGACGATGATGGCCTCTTAACTGTAGAGACTAGAAGCTCGCTGTTACAACTCATTGCGCAAGATATTTTTACCATCTTCATTGATGACATTGCCGATGTTCTAGCACCACTGCAGGGCGTCAATTGGCGCCAAAGCCGCGCGACCGTGTCAAACCCTCCTGGTCCTCTTGATGAGCAGCCATATCTAGAACTTATGAACACCCATGTCGAGTACCTAGCGGATAAGCTAGCTGCGGCTGGAATTGGATCCAAGGAAGATGCTCTGATGAGTATCGTACCGGCCCTTGCCATGAAATGGAAGCTACCTCTTCTTGAAGAATCTCTGAATGATTTACTATTAGCGGCCAGTACTCATAGGCGGTCCGGCAGGTATGAGCTTGGGCAGGACCTACTCACCATTCTACTCAACTCGAGAGACGCTCCATTCAATCATAGGGTGATAATGGCTATGGGCCAGCTTTATCGAGCAGCTTGCCGATCACTAAATCAGACGGACCACTACCTTGGCGTAAATGGCTTTGAGAAGATGATGAGACTAAAGTTCAAAGAGGGAGCCGAATCGTTGGGAAGCTTGGATCGCTACAAAGGGCTCGGGGAGTTTTACTCGGAAGGGGCTAGGGCAATCCAGAGGGGCTCAACATGGGGGATCGATTGTGAGTGGTTGTCCGTGAAAGAGATGTTGACGATTGCGGACAAGACAGACCTTGCAAAACAATCAAATAAAGAGCTTGTGAAGCTTCTCAAGTTGGCGATTGAGCAGGGTTGTCCAGAGCTGGTAGAGGATATCTGGACCGCCAACGTGAAACTTATCCATGAGGAGGACGACGAGGGCCGCACACCAATATTCTGGGCTATTGATAAGCATTATTATGATACGGAAACGTTTCGGACCCTTCTCGAGTGGCTGGGGATACCACTGGATTTGGCCGACCGTCGTGGGACGACGCCACTTGCGTTTGCGCGCAAATCGGGCATTCGGGGAGCAGCGGACCTCTTGCTCCAGCGGATGAGTGATCTGGAGGCCCGCAAAAAGACGGGAAACCCGTGGCCTAGCGGCTGGTGTAGAAGCGCTGTCTTATCACAGGCCTGCGGCTGCTCAAGTCGGCAGTGAAGACGACCACATCGATCGAGCCTGATAGGCAACTTGGCATCTTCTAAACCATGTCGCTTTTCTAACAAGGGGACAAGACACCTGCTCGAACAGCTCAAGGCAGACGGGGAGATGTATCCTTGGTCTTACCGGAGCAGCACACTTGGGATATGTCTACCTTCGTGTCGTACGCCGCACGGCTAGTAAATAAAGGTGAATAGGTAGAGAGAGAGAGAGAGAGAGGAGAGCTGTGTTTGATTTCATAGTTGAATGCGCAAATTTGGGCAAATTGATTCGTAAGGAAGAAACGAAGGGAGGAAACACTGATTGAGAAAGAAAAAAGAAGAAAATTTTGCGTGTTTGAAGAGCGCTTGAGTATCGTTCTTTTCGTGCCATTGTGTTTTGGCCTCCCAGATGAGATGAGAAGATTAAATTTAATACTATGCTTTGCTCCTACCTACTGCGCGGTGCAAGGGAGGCTTTGCAACCCCTCATCCATGAATCTCATCATTCTCTGCATCGTATCGATATCGTTAGCAAGACCAGTCAGTTCGAGTGCCATGCTGCCCTCTGCCAAGGCCGTCAACGCATTATGTGACACATTTTTTCATCATTCTCACCAAGGGACACAACGGTTTGAAATCAATGACCCGTCTATTTCTCTGAATGATTCTGTATGGGGGCCCCCTCCTACTAGAGTTCGGAGGCAAGGCAAAGAGACCCAGTATTCTACATGACAAAACAATAGCGATAAAAACTCGAAAGAATCAAAGAATACGGTAGCACTGGAAGAAAGGACGAAACGACACCTGTCGGTTCGAAACAATTTGGACCAAAAGCGCCTCCTCCTGCCTAGTCCGCACCCGAGACCCCTCCCACATCCCTTTTGGCTGTGTACGCGAACCCCGATAGGCCGTTGACGTGTTTTGATTGATTGTGTTGCGTTTTCTCTGTTGAAAGAGCAATTCTAGTCTCCATGTGGTAGGATCTCTCATCTTTTGCTGGCTTTAATGAAGAAAAATAGGCGAGGTTGATAGATATCCCGGAGTCGGCCTGCACTCCGTCTCCGAGGAATCAAGAGGAATAGGTGGTAGTTGGAGTAATGGTAGTAGCAGTAGTGCTACGAGTAGTAGTGGTGAGTGCCAGGGTTTGTTTGATTGCCGATGAGAGGGTTCCATGACGTGAGGAAGTTATGGTTGTTTGTTTGTTCGGCCTCGGGGTGGGACGCATCAATGGGAGAGTTGGGAGCAGGTAGCTTTTCTTGCTAGGGCATGGTTGGTTGGATTGCTGTGCCCTCAGCGACTGTGCGTAGATGAGCGTCCAACGTGTAGTTGACCAAGGCGAGGAGACGAGTATCGAACAGGTGTCGTGGTGGCCTCTTCCAAAGTCGGTTTGATATCTTGCGCCAGATCCATGGCATGACAAATGCCACGCGGCAAGTAGATGAGAATGATGGGGAAAGGGAAAAGAACAAAGAAATGCAAACAAGGGGAAACATAAAAAGAAGAAATGTAGAAGAAAAGAGAAAAAAAAAGGCAGACCAGTAAACCCCAAAGCCAGTCCGTCACCGCCTGTCCATCCGTCCGTCCATCCATTCCTCCAAACATCCATTAGTCCATCCATCCATTTGTTCAACCCTCGCGATGCTGACCCGACGCGGAATCGCATCTGACAGCCCCTATCCCCTCACCACACCACGCGCACTTTCCTTTCCATTCGTTTTTTTCTCTCCTTTCCTTGGCACTTCAACTTCACCACTCACACACCACGTGGGCACTCATCGGACAGAGCCTTGCTTTAGTTTAAAAGAGATCGACCAGTCTACGCAAATCCAAAGTAATCGCTTCCGGCTGTGATGGCCTTGAGCAACTGCTTTCGGAGCATGTCATAGCTTTCGTACTCGGGAAGGTCGAGCTCTACATGGGGGACAATCTGGTTAGCAAAATGGACGTAATAAGACGAAAGTGATAAGATAAAGCTTTGTGACTTACGGTTAAAGCAAGTATGTGAACTAGGCAAGCGTGTCTTGTTGCCATAGTCCCGGTGAATGTTGAATCGGTTGATTCCGTTCATGCCCTCGAGCTCCTTGAATCCGTTCAAGGGCACTTTACTGGTGCCGGTAACGAACTGCAGCAGCTTGGCACGCTCTTCCTTGTCAAGTGAGCGGACCGCGCGCCAGAACCACTGGATTTGGGGCGACGAGGCCGTGTAGTTGTGATATTCGGTGTTACTCTTCCAGTCGTCCACCTCGATATCCGGCAGACCCGAGATGAGAAGCTCAAGCTCCTGCTCGTTGAAGATGGAAATCAGGTCCGCGGGGATAATGTCGTGGAAGCCCTTGAGGAAGTGCTCCATCTGCTCCCTGACCGAGTTCAGAAGCTTGTGCTCCACCACGAGGCGCACGTACTCGTGCTTGTTCTCCTCCGTCACCGCAATGTTGCGACCGTTGGGAATGAGGTCCACCACGTTGACTCGGCCGAACTCGTCGTCCTCCACCGAAAAGGTCTCCGTAATGATCTCGGTAATGTCGTTCTCCAGCATCCAGACGAGCGATTTGTAGTAGTCGGGGTCGAATGATTCCATATCCTTGACCGACACCGACTTGCCCAGGATACGCTTGTAGACGGCACGGCTAAAGTAGCAGTCCAGCACACGGTTTTCGTACAGGGCCTTTCCGATGACGCGCCCGATAAACTTGAAGAACCGCAAGTGCTCGTCGTTGATGCCGCTGAGCTTGTTGGGGTGGAACGTCGTGCGGTCCGAGGACACGGGAATAAAGAGCGCGTAGTTGGGGTTGAACATTTGTCGCGAGAGGACCTGGAACCACTCTCGCGTGACGCCGCCCGCGTCGACACCCTCCTCGCCGTGGAAACGAATGTTGAGCTTGCCGTACTTCATCTCATCGCCGCTCTTGAAGTAGAGCGACTTGAACGAATCGTGGAACACGTGTTCGCGGCGGACCGAGAGTTGAAGAGGCTGGTAAGACGTGCGTCCGTGAGCGCTCGTGCGGGCGTGCACGCTTCGGCTAAAGTAGTTGCGCTTATTATCGAACTCGAGGACCTTGGGGTTCTTGACAAGCAGTTTAAACGGTCCCTGCATGAGCTTGGGGTTGTTGCGCACGAGCTCGTTGAGGATGCGACGGTGCTCTTCCGTGAACGAGAAGAAGAGCCCCGCCATGGGCGACTCGGGAGGAGGGCTCGCGAACACAAGCTCCTTTCCAAGCTGTGGCTGGGACGCCTGCGGGCTCGACGCCGTGTTCTTGCACACCGCCATCAACGACTCGATGAGGGGAAGGAGAATTGTTGCGACATTGAGCATGTTTTCGCGCTGTCGGATGGCGAGCAGGCACGCGCTGAGCTTCTCCCACATGGTGGAAAACGTGGCGTGGTGGTAGAGCGACGAGATGAGATCTTGCTTCTCCGTTTCTCGGCTGGCCGCCGCGCCGCCTTGATCCTCGCCTGCAACCTTCTTGGTTTCGAACAGGTGATCGAGGGCAGTGAGCACGCGCAGGAGCTTGTTCTGCTCCGAAGCGCCGGGTGAGAACTTGGCAAGCGCTACTCCTTGAATTTCCGTGCCCGAGGTCGCCTTGGTGATCTGGGGTAGGAGCTCATCCAGATCCGCCACAATGTTTTTGCTGAGCGCCTGGGCTTGCTTGACGAGTTCCTGTCCAAACACGGCCTTGGCGCCGGGAATGGCGGACAGGTTTTAATGGCCGCAATGGTGTTTTGGAAAGTCTTGGAACTGCATTCGCGAGCGACAAAGATCTTGATCACTAGAGTGAGATTATAATTGGGGATCACAGGCACCTGCATCGTGCGTGGTTTGGGCTTGGCGTCGTCTTCCGCCTTGTCCTCTTGCTGAGTAGACTCTTCAGCAGTACCGTCCTCGGCCGCTTGCGCCGCCTCGTTGTCGGGAGCGGCCGCGCTGGACGAGCCCTCTCCTTCGGCTGGCTGCTTGCCCTTTGACTTTTCGGCCTTCTCAGCCTCCGCTTTTCGCTCAGCCTCCTCCGCTTCTTTGCGTCTTCGCTCGAGATTCTGAAGGGGCAAAGTAAGACGGTTAAGGAGGTCCGCCAATAGACCCATGATATTGGAACTCTCCATGACTATCTCTCGGTCGAGAAGGCTGAGAAGAGAGTTGATGGCGTACTTTTGCGCCTTGCCGTCCTTGACCTTTGACTTGCGGCTGAGCCCACGCTTGAGCGACGAGCCCATGATGTCGTGTTCAGTCAGGAAGAGCCAGGGGATGTGAAGGTTCTTGGTCGACAGGTCGACCAACAGGTCCAGACACTGCTGGACAATGAGCAACGGGGAAATTTCTGAGTGCGTGGGCATTTGCGCAGTCGCCGCAGGGGTCGAGGGGTTGAGGGCCGTGAGGCTTCTCTTAACGCTCTGCGGGGTCCTCGTCTCATTGCCTTCTTTATCCTTTGGCTTCTTGGCCTTGAGAGAAAGCTGGCCAAAGCTCCTTTCGATGGCATCCATGTCGGTGCTGCCATCCTGGAGAATCTGGAGGAGCGTGCTGATGACCTCGAGCCGGTTCTGGCGGTTCTCGCAAATGTCGGCAAAAATGCCAAACAGGTAACCTCGCGTATGGCCCTGTTGAACGATGAACATGAGGCGGAGGAGAGTAGCCACGCCGGACTTGTCTAGCATCTGGACAACGGTCCTGCGAGTAACCTTGTTGTCTCCCAGCTGGCCGCCCGATGTGGGAGGAACCACGGCACCGGGAACCGGAGGACGAGGACGGCTGGTCGTCACGATGTTGGAACCTCGCACGATTCCGTGGCGGGGCTGGCTGTTGCGCTCTGCGAGAGCTCGGGCCTGGGCAGCCATCTCGGGGGCAGCTGATCGAGAATTTCCTCTCCCTGGTCAAGCAAGACTTCATCGCGAAGATCGGGAGGCAGCGTGAGAAGAATGCTAGCCGCATCCATCTCAGTAGGGACGGGTACAATGCCCGCGGTCTGAGCCTGCCGGCGCTGCTCCTCGTCGTTTCGGCGCCTCTGCTCCTGGCGTTCTTGCTGAATGATTTCGATTCGCAGCTCGGCCGGCAAGGCATCGAGGAACTCTTGGAAGACCTCGGTCTGCTCGCCCGTGGCGGAGCTCTCTTCCCGGGCCCTCGAACGACGACTGCTGACAGTCTGCGCGATGACCTCTTCACGGAATTCTTCGGGTAGAGCCGCTAGGTAATCGGGGTCGATTCCAAGCTCTGTCACATCAACCTCTTCGCCCCGGATGGTAGTCACAACACGGCTCTGCGCAGTCGCGTCGTTGCCTTCAGAGGAAGTGGCAGGCGCAGCAGCGTCGCCTGTCTCAATTCCCTCCATCGGATGCGTGGTGGCGCTTGGCGCAATTTCGCTGGATCGGTCGGTATTGCGGGTAGACGGGGAGGCGGAGGATGACCGCGACGTGGAAGCAGACCCTGCGACCTCTTGCCTCTGCGATTCGGCGGCGGCAGCCGCGGCTTGCTGGGCTCGTTCGGTCTCCGCGGCCTCGGCAGCCTTCCTTGCCTCTTCGGCTCTCACTTCCTCTGCCTTGCGCTCTGCCTCCTCCCTCTTCAACCGCTCCTCCTCCTCGCGCTTAAGACGTTCTTCCTCCTGCTGCTTAGCCTTCTCAGCATCGGCCTTCTTCTTCTGCTCAATGGCGGCAGGAGCGAGTCTGTACATGATTTGCGGAGCAAGGACTTGAGTTCGGTCAACGTAGCGGGAGCCAAGTAGCATGGTTGCTTCTTCATCGTATCGCTCCCGCGTGATTACGGGATGGAAAGCGACGGCCTGTTGAGGATCGGTGCTGGCCGAATCGCGGTGACTGCCCCCACGATGATCGCGAGACGAGACATTGTAATCGTGGCGGTCTCGACGTCCGTCATGGTAAATAGGCATGGGAGGGCCACCGCGGTCGCGAGCCCAGGATACATGAGATACTTGGGGAATCGCGGCGATAAGATCATGAAGAACGGCAATTGGTCCACCATCACTAAATGCGCGCCCGGGGCCAAATAGATCCGAGTGGAATCTGAGGGCGAATGAGCTGGGCTGGGCGCCAGAACGGGGATGCTTCGCGCCCGGCATTGGAACGTCGGAGGAGAGGGTTGGTACCGTCATCGCCATTGGCGCCAGAATTACCGGATCGGGCGTTGCTTCGATGGAGGTAGCCGTACTCGCCCAAGTCGCGCCCTGGGTTGAGTGTCCATGTAGCGTCAAAGATGTTTGCGCGGTTGCGACGGCCGCCCTGCCCATGTCCGGCGAAGTCTGGGGGATGAACCATGAAGGTGTCCCATCCCAACGCAGGCGGCATCATGGCGGGAACAGGGTGAGGGTAATCCTCATCGTGGAAGAACTCATCATCCTCAACGTCGTCGTCATCTTCCTCATCCTCTTCGTCCCTACCATCATCGACGTACCCAGCGGCGGCATCTTCGTCGACGTCATCAGGGTCAAAGTCGGGTCCACCCATCATCACGCGAGTAATGTTACCCAGGATCTCGCCATCAGTGATATGATGATGGTGGTGGTGATGATGATGGTGATGGTGATGAAGTTCGTCTTCTTCGAAATCGGCTTCCTCAACGTCATAGTCGAGGGCTTCTTCGTCCTCGTCTTCCGAGTCAGTCGTACTCTCCCAGTCGGGGTTGCCGTCATCTTCCATCATATCATCTGCTTCGGCAGCAATATGTACTCGGTCTTCCTCTTCCTCCATATCATCAGAGTCCATATCCTCATCGTCATCGTCACTATCTTCGTCGTCATCATCCATGTCGTCGTCATCCTCGTCAACAATGACTTCGAGGACAGGATCTCCGTGAAGCCCCTCAATCGGCCCGATATCGCGAAGCTCTTCGTCTTCGTCGCTAACGTTGTCCTCTTCGTTGCTGTCAAGGCCATCTTCTTCATAGTCCATCTCATCGCCATAGTCATCGTCATCGTACCCGTCATCGTCATCGTCTATAGGGGTCCAAGTTAGTGGGTCGTCTCTTCGCGCGGTATAGAATAATGACAAAGCGAAAGTTGAGATAAAATAAAGAACAAAAAGGAAAAAACGTCACTTACCCTCATCCTCATCCGAGTCATCATCCGAATCATGAGGCTCCAACATACCGAGTGCCGAGTTACGATAAAGGTCAGGCGTCTCCTCACGCTCGTCATCAAAGTCCGACAAGGAGGAGGCGGAGGCAATCTCGTCGTCAATATGCTCAGGGAGTGCCGAGGCTGGGATAACATTTGAGAGGCTAAGTTCCTTGGCGGTTTCGGTAAGGATTCTCAGGACGCGCAAGATGTACTTGATAACTCTCCGGACGCCAGGATACTTGAGGTCAATTTCCGCGATGGACGAGGTAAGCTTGTCCAAGTAGTGTTTTTCGTACATCATGCGGCGCAGCTGGGAGTAGGTGTATGGATTCAGCACCTCATTTTGGCGTGGGGGCCGTGTTCCTTGTCCCTGTCGCCAATGATGTGGCACATCAACTCGGCAAGGGACTGCATGCGAGCATATCGGGAATCGAGAGATTCGTCGGGGGTTGAGGTTCGCTCGTATGCTTTTAGGATCGTGTCGAGCACGAATTTACGCACAAAGAGCAAGTCCGGGTCATCTTCATACTCAAACCGATCCCTACTTCGCTCGAGGGGTTTCTCTCCAGTCTTGTTGACAAGCGCGACAAGGACGCTTTGAGCGCGGCTGGCCGTCGCGAGCTTCTTCTTGGCTGCGAGGCCGTCGGTAGGAGCGCTGAGGCTGTCTTGACATAGGAGGTCAATGAGGTAATTGAGGATAAAAGAGCGAGGGCGGACCGGCGTGTTGCCGAGCAAGGGGGCGCTTCTCCTAAAATTGATAAACTCAATCTTTGTACGGTTGTAGCTTTGAAGGAGCTCTGCAAGGGAGTTGAGGAGGAAGCAGCGATAAACGAAGATGGGATGCTCTTCAGACTTAAAAATTGGCTTTTGAGGCTTGCTATCCTTGCCCTCCGCGCCGCCCGCGCCGTCATCAGTGGCCGCCGGGGAGGGGGCACTTTCGGCTGTGGGCGGTGTCTCGCTAGGAGCGGTCGCCTTGAGGTCCTTCATCGGTGGCACAGTCGCGTCTTTATCCTCGACTTCGCGGTAATTAATGAGTTCGCAAAGGAGGAAGTGAACTACACCGTCAGGGTTCTCGACGATAGGTAACTTGGATTCCTTGGGCGCATCTGTCATCTCCTTGTCACCAGCCTCGGTAGACGGCTTGATGTCATCTTCAGGGGCGGTCCCCGAGGAAGCCTTGCTTTCCTTCTCGCTATCCGAGCCATCGGAATCTGAAGAGCTAGAAGTAGTCGATGCACTCTTCAAAACTAGGGTCGGCCCGTTGCGAGGGGCGGTCAGCTCTGGCGGTACCCACTGGTCAAGCTTAAGCATGTCAACAGTCGTCTCGACAAAGAGGTCTGGCGCACGCAACGCCGTGCTAGCGAGGTGGGAAACGTAGCTGGCGACATCCGCACGACGCTGACCTCGCTGAGAGCTTTCAACTTGGTTCTTGATCTCCGCTTTGAAAATCTGACGAGTGGTGTCCTCGTCTTCAACAATATGTCGCAAAATAACCATGATCCACGAGTTAATCCTGGAGCGATTTAACCTATCCGCGCCTAGTACGGAGAGTTGCTTGACCATAACGAACAACCTCTGCAAATTTTTCTTCTCGCCAAGCTGCTTCGCCACGGCGGTCTCTCGGGAAAGGAGGACGAGGACCCTGAGGGACGCAGTAGCAAGGACCTCGTCTTTGCCGATGCGTGGTAGGATATCGAGAACGGCGTCGAGAATCTCCTTGCGAGACTCGGCGGTGACAATGGCCTCGCGGGCGGTGAAGACTGGTGGCGTAATGGGTTCGTCCTCCGTTTTGGGAGGCGTCCACTTGCACTCTCGGGGCTGGGCATCGTGCTGCAAAAGGGTCTCGAGGACTAGGAGGATATATGGGATCCAAGCGGGCAGCTCTTCATTTGAGGGTGTTGGGGAGACTTGCAAAAACCTCAAGTACTCGTCAACCTTACCGCGCAAGGTATCAACGTTGCACCGGAAGAAGTGCTTCTCTTGGAGCAGGAGAGCAAAGAGATGAGCATAGGAGGCAATGCTCCGGCTGTCGGCAGCTTGTTCATCGCCATCAGGCACCAGAGACGAGAGCGCATTAGCTAGAGTAGCGCCAACCTCCTCCCTAACATCATCGTTGGTATCTTTGGTAAGGACCATTGATTTGATCAACTCTGAAAGCTCAATGGCAGAGTTGGGATGAGCCCGCAGAACGTCAAGGGATTTATCAACGAGGCCGTCTCGGAGATTGGCACGAAGATCATCCAGCTCTGACTTTGGATTGCTTTGCTCTTCCTGTGGCTTGTCTTCAGAGGGAGCATTCACGGCGTTATCCGTGGAGCCTGAAACTTCATTAGAGCGAGAAGCAGATTCCCCGGCACCAGCATCGTCGTTATCTTCAGTGGCTTGAGAAGAGTCATCGTCATCATCGTCGTCATCGTCTTCTTCCTCTTCCTCTTCCACAGGCTCCACGCCAGCCAGGGCGGCGGCATTGTCTAGCTGGAGTGCGTAATCAATAGACATGGATTCCGACGTCGAAGCGTCCGCATTCGGACGGTTCTCCCTGGGGGTTGGCGTGTAGGCATCGCCTGCAGGGATGGGGTTTCGCGGGCCCGCTACACCTGCCTGGTGAGCCTTGCAGTACTCGCCGGCAGCGTCAGCGTTGCCGTTGGCACGATACAATGCTTCGGTAGCCAGATCTTCCGGATACCCAGCTTCCACAAGCGAGGTTAGCTCACGAGAGACATTGGACCAGTCAAAGGCTTCACGCGTGGCCTTGAAGATGGAGGTTTGCACCTATAACGTATCAAGTTAGTAGGGAGTATCAATGAGGACGTGGGTGGTACGAGATGTACGCGACTTACCTTGTCGGCATTTCGGGGAGATGGTTCAAATTCCGCCGTGGAGACAAGGTTGAGGATCTCAACAACGAGCACAAGAGTCTGATCAGACACAGTCTCCACGAGCTCAGATTGCCACAGCTCGTCAATGACGGGGAGAACCAGAAGGCGAAGCTCCACGACGAGTTGCTGAGTAAAGGGCGAGTCGCGAACACGGTCCGCACGGAGTTGCAGGTTATACTGGTTAGCAGATTCAGTGACGTGCCTTCCGTTCGCAATCAGGACATAGAGATCGAGAATCTTCTTCATGCCAAACGAGGCAACCTTGGATTTGGTAGAATCCTCGCTACCATCCGCGTTGTCCGTATTAATTTGTCGAATGAAGGCTCGGAACATGGTGTTGAGCACGCCGAAGCCGTCACGCTCTTTAAAGGCCAGCAGAACGGGCATCACAAGTTGGACAGCGGTGCGCTCGGTAGGGCGCGAGGCTACAAATAAGCGGGTATGTCAGTTAAAAAATTTCCGAGTTACAACTCTATTTTTTCTATCACTTGAACTTACTATCGATGAGCATCTCGTGAATCGTGTGCATCATAATGATCCAGTAGTGGTAGTCCTTGGATGTGGGCTCGGGTGTATTCACGGAGGGTTCAAGGTAGTCTAGCACAGACTCGGCCAAGGCTTTGGCGATATCGAGATGCCTCGGCCGCGAGAAGCCGCCTCGATCGCGCCTTGGAAGCAGAGCTTTCCCGAGAGATTGGAAGAGCGGGTAGGCTGTCGGCATCATTGAGTGCAGGAGCAAGCGAAGGGTATCATAGTTCTTGAACCTGATGCTAGACATCTCTGCCTGGTCCGGACCCTGCGATTGAGCCCCGGCTTCGGTGGCCGGTTGGGACTCCTGTCCAGGAGTAGCGCTCACTGCACTACCAGTCGGAGGGACCGCTCCAGCAGCTAGAGACGAGGGTGGCACGGGGCCTCCAGAGGAATCGGGGGCAATGGGTTCGATGAGGTCCTTATCGTCAGTCCCAGGGCTTGATGCGCGTCTATTAGACGACCAATGACGGGGACAAGTCCGTGATGAGCGGACTCCTCGAGCAAGCTAGCCCTAAGCAGGGGGCCAAGAGACTGGATCAACGAGACGTAGTAATCGAAAACGATGACGGGGTGAAGCAAAAAGCTGCTGGATCGAGGGGAGGGCACGAAGCAGTCGCACAGGGTCTTGATGAGCGTTTGTGCGTTGAGCAAAGCTCTCGCGATTTCCGAGCCCTGGGCCATCTTCTCAGTTGTCTCGGCCGACCATTTCTCTGCGGCGGCGGAGGTGACTACAAGGTCGGCTTGAAGGAATGGCGCGAAGAACGCTTCATCCCCGTTGGCCTCTTTGGCAAGGGGGCCGAGACGGTCAATAGCCGCTTGGGTCCGTCGAAGAACGGAGGGGAGAGCAAGCACAGGCGTATGCTCGACCAAGCCGGATATAACATGCTGCAGGGTCCGCGAGGCGGGTTCTCTCCAAATGTATGAGACAAGCTTGGGGACTCGGCAATGTCTAGAAGCAGCTCGATGCCACCTTTGTTGATGAACGCCGTCTTCAAATTCGAGTTACTCAGATAGGTTGTCAGAAAATTGCTCAAGGCATAGACAAAAGGTTCGAAAGGAGGCAGCTCAGAGTCGACTTCCGAAGAGGCATTAGCGACGTCTGAGGATTTGCCCTCCGCCTCGGGCCCATCCGACATGTCAACGTCGGAATCGTCCGCCACGACTTTAGGAGGTTGAGTTGCAGAACTGGCCTCTCCTCCCCGCAGCCCCGCGACGATATCTTTGTTGGCTTGAACAGGCTTCTGGGAAGAGTCGAGTACCTGAAGCTTGACCCCGTACTTATCAACCCTCGCCTTGTCTTTCCCAATGTGGCATACCCGAGCGACCATATCGATGGCTGCATTGGCGATGGGCAAGCGTAGAGCGGGGTGATGACGAGCAAGCTCGTCGAAATGGCGACCGAGGGCACTTGCTGAATCATAGTCGGAGTCGATACATTTAACATGAGCCGAGCTTTCAAAGATTTCGAAGTAACTTTCGAAGACCCTCGAAGCCACGACCATTCTCAAGCCAGAATTATTTAAGCAAATAGCGTTGAGGACAACAGGAATCACGGAAATGGCTTCGAACGAGGCCAGAATCTTGCCAGCGGTAGGCGAAGACCTTGGAGCTTCCAATGCATCTTGGGGCGGCGGGTGCGGCCGGTCATCGGCATCCACCACGACCGAGGTATCAGTCGATTCCGGGCTATCGGGCTGGTCGTCTGCATCGGTAGCCTGGGTGCCTTCGCCGGTCTGGGATTCTTGCTGGATGCTTGGAACGGGATTTCCAGTCACGGCAGTCAAGAAAGCGGTGATGAGGCCAGACTCGGAAATCGCGGCGAAGCTTGTAGGATCATTGTTGATGAAGTCGCTAAGAATGGTGCTTGCGCTGGTCCAGGGATAGGTTCCAAAACATTTGGCTTGTTCGATCACAATCCGCAAACTCTGCAACAAGTCCGCCTTGTCCGCCAAGTTTCGGAGGAGCCTGTCAGCATTCCCGCCATGGCTATACCAGTTAGACATAATATGATGGATGAATCTGAGCAGAGATCGCAAAGTCTGGTGATGGTAAAGGGATATCATAATCGATCACACTCGTGTGAAACTCAGATCCCGTTCCACTGCCCTCCTCCGTCAGACGACAAGACTCTTCAACGGTGGTAACAGTCAGCTTGGCAACGGCATCGAGACCGTGGGCGCTGAAAAACGCCTCAAGACCATGAGAATATGTCCAGATCAGGGTGTCCAAGAACTGGAGGATGGCGGGATGATGGCGCATCGCGATGTTGGATCGGAGGCCCAGAATCTCGACGAGTACGTCCATGAGACCCGAGGATAGCATCTCCCCGCCAATTTTCATTCCGGGATTCGCAGTAAGCTGCGACGCGAGAGAAAATAGGTTGCTTCTCCACTCATCGATATCTGTGAGGCGGTTCTTGGCATCCGGTTCTTCATCCTCTTTCATCCCCGCAACGGCCGTTCGCATGACGTAGAGAAGGATGCCGTGGTTAACAGTGGCGTTGAGGGCGGATACAACATCCCCGAACCGAGAGCTCAGACCGGATAGCGTTTCCAGAAGAGACAGGGCGATGGACTGCAGGGGAATCGGGACAGGGTCCGAGCCGTTGGTGGTGGGATGAATGAGATCAGCCAGTTGATAGGCGAGCTGAAAACGGCGGGTCTCATCAATGTCATGCCGAAGAACCTTTTCTGTGAAAACAGGTTCCGGATGGATGTTAATCAGGTTGAGGATGGCCAATAACCTCACAGCCAATGCTTGCTGTCGGTCCTCTTTCGAGCCTACGAGGGCCTTGGCCACACGGAGTCTATGTAATAGCTCATATCCTGACGCCTTAGGAAGGTCAGGAGGGGCCTGTGACATGAGAACATGGAGAGGGGTAGACTTGATGGTAGCACATGATATCTCGTAGGTCTTCTGAGAGGAGGAGCGCCCAGCATCCGCACCAAAGGGAAGCCGGATGCGCGTGCGGGAGAGGGAGACTCTTCGGTTGCGTGAGAACGACCAGCCTTAGGCGACGGCGTGTTCATGGACGAGCTCCTTCTCAAAGGGGTCGGGGTGCTCGGGACAGAGGTAAGGCTGTGGCCCGGGCGGCTGACACTCTTCGGCTCCCCCTACGGACTGAGGGTAGTAGACAATCTTAACATCACCCCAGCTGGTCCATTGAGAGGGATCCGACGACGCAACAGCAACCAAGTCATTCGCATACATGGTCGCCGCATTCTTCGCATGTGAGGTCGGCTGCGCCCTCTCTTTGCCTTTGGACGAAGACCCAGGCGTCGCAGTCGCCGGGAAGGTGTCCGCTAGGCTAACAATGGGAGTCCGTACAAAGGGCATCGCTAGCTGGTGGACTGAGTCGAGGTCGATGTTGTAGTGGTTGGCAAGAAGGGCGGCAGTGACTTGCTGCTGCGGTGTGTTACGTCCCAAACGCTTGAGGGAAGCCTGGTATCGACGAGCAAGCTCTGACCCAACCCTCAATGCGGCCAAGAGGAGAGGCATGGACGTCGTGTTCAGAACGTGATTTAAATGCGCACTACTCGAGTAGATGCTCCGATTCCCGCAATTCTCCAGCAGCATCCGGGTGAAGGATAAAACGGCCTCAAGAAGCTGTTCATCACCAGCTGGGCCGAAGCCGGCCTCCTTCAGTGTAACCGTCGTCCAGACCCCGCCATCGCCGGCATATTCGAGATCGACGGGGATATTGAGTAGGAGGTCCGAGGCGAACTCTTGAGTCTGAGGGCCCTTTTCGAGATTGTAGGTAGCAACGAAGCACTCGAGAATATTGTCGAATCTGTTGAGTAAAGGGATCCAGTGGAAAAGGTCACCGCGCGGGAACGGCCATCTGGAAGGGAAGTCGGCAAGGGCTTGGGGCAAGAGAGGGAGCGGTACGGCAACAGCGGACTTGACGAAGGCCTTGAGCCAAGGAGACTATAACAAACAAGATACGGATTAGCAAATCAAGGTAAAAAGAAGGGGAGGGAGGCAAGGCCATCGTTAAGAGAACCATCATCAAGGTCATCGGCAACGCGCACCAATAGATGTTGATGATGGCTGGGTTTAAAAGGTCATAGTGAGGATCCAATACGATGAACATACCTGTGTCTCCTTATGCTTGGCCTGCATCTTTTGGTGATCTTCATCTTTGCAGTTGATGCGGCAGAGCCGCTGTGAAGGAGAAGGGCAGGCGAAGGCGTCCCCCACCACTGCTACCCAATCGCAACCGGTTTTTTTGGGGGAGGGCAGCTTGACTGAGAACGCAGGACCGTCCACCACGAAAAATGGTCGACTCCCGAAAGCGAAAAGGCTCGGCTGCTCGCGTCTGCGAATGAAGCGAAAAGAGCACTTGGCTGCTCGTAGTAGATGTACTACGATCTAGTGGGCGCGTTGGGCGATGATGCAGCCCCCGAAGCGATCAAGGTCAAGCCGGAGAAGGCGATGGTTCGATCAGAAGGATAAAAGTCGCCCCCAAATCCCAGCTATCGACAGAGTGCTGAAAGTTTTCAAGCTCCTAAATATCAGGGTGCAAGAGAGTTGAAGGTCGAGAAGGAAGCTCGAGAAGGTTAAGATCGAGGGACGAGTGCAGGTCGGCCCAGGAACAAAACGTCAGTCACCGAAGCGGGAAGGCTGTAGCTCCGAGCAGGATGAAGCTCGATAGCTATTGTGAGGGGTGTTGTGGCGGCGAAAAGGAAGCAGTCGTCGTCTGGTCTAGTACAAGTGCGTGGGTAAACGAGAAAGAAAAGATGACGGCGAAGAAAAGATGCGTATCGGGGGCACAAGTGAGCGACAGACGAAAACCGTAGTATGTGGGTAGATGTTTGAAGAAAGAGGGATTGATGTTTGGTGCTAGAGGTATTTGGAAAAGTCGTCACCGGCCGGATGCAGGCGTCACAAAAAGATGGTGAGGTAAGGCTGGTGGGTCTTCTTTGGGCAGTTTGGCAGTTTGCTCGTTGAGTGCGGATGTGCCTTGGCGGGGACTGGTGAGGGACTGCGGCCAGATTGAGCCAATGGAATGCTCCATCGCAAGGCAACCGGCACAGCAGCAGAGGAAAAGGCTACAACACAACCAGACCTAGAAACTAGCCCAGCCAAGGGCGCGCCTTCCTCTTGGTGGATGGGTAGGGTAGGGCCAAGGTAGGGCCAAGAGGTACCTGATAACCTGACTGCCCGTCGAGAAATTCCAAAGTACTTCCTACCTAACGAGAGAGATGAGGCAACAAGTCGAGGACATTTCTAATCGCCAAGAGCTCAAAACGCAAAGAAGACACTCAGATCAACCGGAAACGGTGACGGTCAGCCCACCAAACGTGGCCATTGACAACAGAAATAGATACCCAAAATGCGCCGTAATCAGAGGGGACTGAACCCATGAACTCGTACAACTAAGCAGCAGCTAGAATTCTTGCACCATCTCTTCACCATCTCTCCATCTCGCCATCACGTTCTCCCTCAATTTCCGTTCATAAATTCCATTTACTTCCATGCGGGGCGACCGATCTGGCAAGACCAGGAAGCATTTTGATATTATCCAACAGCCAGTGTAATTCCAACTCCGGGCAGTGTCAAAGTATAATTGGATAATACAGAGTCGAGGTCCTTTTTTTTTTTCTTTTTCGTTTGGCAACTTGTCAGTGTGGGCTTGAGGTTAAGTACCCGACATCAAATCCTGTAGACAACGAGCCTGGGCTTGAGCACGTATCGCCATAATGAATTCTAGCTCGGTCAAGCCTCTGGGCCTCGGAAAGGTGATGAATAAGCGACCAGAACTGCGGCTCTGACTATGATATATGCACATAGAAAGTTCCATCCAGAGCCTGGTGTACGTTTATGTATGTACGAAAATGGGTTTGGGAGATGGCACTGGAAGGCACGTTTCATGAACTGGCACTATCCCATAGACATTCACTGGCTGTTCGTCACTGGCGGAAAGGAGTATCTTACGGATGTGTGTTGCTCGACCTTCACAATTCTAATCATAGGTCTAAGGAGGTCATGATAGCCCCCGCGAGGAGAGGAGAGGACAGGCTCAGATAAACTATCTAGCCGGGGGACGCTAGGATATTGGGACTGAGATCCAGATCTTTACAAGACCGGAGTGATCTCGGAGATCTACAAACCTGGTGTCGCTCCCTTGGAATGTCGTGTGAACCTCCACAAAACTCTCAACCAGAGATAGGGACAGGATCGGGAACTAGACCGTAATATCCAGCTCGTAGACATAGCAGCACTTGTACTTATGGTGACACGAGGTGGCGGAAAGCTCTAGGATAAGCTGGTCTTGACAAAATGGAGGGCGCAAGATCAAAACATCTATCAATGTCACATTTTCTAAGATCTCGATCCATTGGGACAACCAAGCCAGGAGGCGCACCAGAAAGGAGTCAAAAGAAACAGACTGTGATCGAAGAGTCTTGAGATGAAAGGTGAAAGAAGAAACCCAAATAAAAGGAGAGACACACGTCATGACACAGACAACTCAAATATCGGAAGACGGGATTAATAGCAAGGGTATCTCGCAGTCCGGGACCAGGTGGCTTGACGGGAAGCTAGCTATAGACGATAATATGTTCGATGTTAAAACACTCCATAGACAATAAGATTTATGGATAAGACGAAGAAGGGGAGGAAGGGAAAGGACAAGCCATTCTTCGATACATGATTGCTCACGAAACGTTAGTCTGTACGCCTCCATGTAGTCCCCGCCTCTCTAGTACTATACTAAGGCAACTCGGGGTTTCTATCTCTACCTTCCTCGTGGCTAACTTTGCGCAAAGAAGAGGGTGACCTTGAGGCGCGGAACTCCCAAGGAAGGCCAAACCTCGGTCGTGAGAGAGGAAGCCTAGCGAAGCCAAATCAGGGCGGTTAGAATCACATCACCCCACAAGCAACCACCATGAGCAAAATCACGTCCCTAGTCAAACGTTGAAGACATCTCCATCCTGGGCAATGCGCTTTGAAAAGTCCCCAGCTGGAAAATAAATCGTGGGCTGAGGCAGCATAATGCATGAAGGGCAATTAGCGCGCAAAGGCAGGTAAGATTTTACGAGGGCTGGCAGAGTCGACGTCTCGCGCGTAATATTGTGCTGGGCTGGTGGCTAAGCACAGGACGGAGAGCAGTCATCAAGGATCCACGGATCCATTGTTTGTAATAATAGAATAGCCACCTTCGAAGTGGCGTCGGGAGCCCAGAATGCACCATCTCTTGCAGGCGCACTGAAGTGTGTCATCACGGGTGTCTTTGATGATTGGTTCGATGGACCCCCAGCGAACGGGTGGATTGGAGTGATATAATACTGATCCAGCGCGTGTGGCGAGGGTTAAGACTGCGGATTTACTTGTCTTGTACTAAGCTCGAGTGATCCGAGGCTGATGAACCAGCCAGCTCAATGTTCTATTGCATCGGTGCTAGGTCTCATAATCCTTCAAATGGACGGACGTGACCGTCTGACGGCCTCAAAGCTTTCCCCCACCTATCTTAAACTTGGTTTGTAATGTGCTCTCAAAGAGGACTTGTATCGAGGACGATGATATTTCCTGCGTATGACTGTGCATCTCACAGTGTGGCTGGTATGGAGCTGCTTAATGGTTCTATATTACTACTACATGTAGGAGAGGGCGAAATCCGGGCTCTCTAAATCCATAATATACTACATGTATGGAACAGAAAAGAACATGAGAAAGGGGCGAGTGAGGAGATCCGAGCGACTCAAGCAAGAATTATTCAGTACTTTTAAGGCCTGTCACGTAATTTAGGCCAGCGTAGCATCAAGGGCGGAAGGTGTGGAGTCTTTCCAAAATCCAGGCCTCACTGCTCATTAACCATCTCCATCCCGCGGACGGCTTAAAGCCAAGGACCAGACGGCCTCAGTAATAGCCCCATTCTTGCTGGGGCTGGGGGCGGCTGGGGACCCGTTCCCCTGGAACCCCCTGAGATTCTAATACAAGTAAAAACAGTTGAACGAATTGATATCGCTGACTGACCAATGCACAAGAGCTTGGTGAACGCGCAAGAGGGTGTATTCTCGTCCATTGTTCGGGTCTCCTTGCGAACTTGTGATGAACATGAAGATAGTAGTCCATGGAGCACAACTCCATATTATCCATCCACTCTGGAGCTTGAACACTCCAGTTGTTGCGTGTCTGTGTGGGGCGGGGTGTGAAAGGCCCCAAGAGGCAAGTCGAGAGAGACTACTGCAGGTGAAAAGGAGGACAGGTTTACGCCACCACTCTGAGACACTGGCGTATTTCTGCTCCACCAAACAACTGCGTTCTGTTCCAGGTTGGGGAACTATTACTACTTGAAAATAATAGACAGCCAGCCAGCGCTGCACTCCATGATCCATCCCCAAACCGCCAAGTAGGTGTTCCAGAATATACCTTCAGCTGTACATGTCCCCACGCAGGGCTCGTCCTTGCGCAGCAGGTACCGAATCCCCACCACCAACCATCTGGATGAACGATGAAGTTCCTGCCTTCTCTCTCGCCAGCTTCACTCGAACACGAAGTCATCAATGATCCTATGTATTACCGTACAGTAGACTGAAATAGAAGTACCGGATAGACGTGGAGTGGCTTCGTTACTTTGCCTCACTGCAAGTAAATAGGAACATTGAAGGGCGTGTGTTGTTGTTTGTGGACCAAGTAACTGAGTGACCTGGCCACTATTATCCTTCCCGCGATAAGTGCACTGCACTCGAGCGATCAATACTTGTGCATGTCGATATGTATGTCTTCAATGCTTTCAATCCCATCTCCCTGGCCGTGGACGTTCTTGCACCTCCCCTGTTAATTATTACGCCTCCGTCCAGGAAAAGGAGCTGGGTTAATCTATAAACCCCGCCTCTCATTCACTTCTTTGCCTGTCTCCCACGGCCACCCTGCTGTCATTATTTTCTTCTCCTTCTCGAATTTCCCCAACAGATCTAACCCCTGACTTGTTCGCTGACCGACGATACCCACAATTCTTCATGGCAGCTGTTTGAGCAAGGCAAAGGAAAAGGCCACATAGAGGTTGCAACACCCGCGCAGTGTTGGACCAGAACTTTGGACTAGAACCCGTGCCACGAACGCGAACCGCCAAAACGCACCAACACACGAACGCCCAAACACACACGAACACACACGAACATTCTTTGCCTCGAACCAGCGAAACCAGTCGGCGGCAAACAGAGGTGGAAACCCAGCGAAATCGAGATAGTGAGAGAGAGAGAGAGAGAGAGAGAGAGAGAGAGAGGGCGAGAGAGAGAAAAAGGAGAAGTCTCCCGTTCGGCCACCACGCGACCATAACGAGAACCTTCCCCTCGGCTAGATTCCCGCTGCCATGTCGCAAGTCGAGAAAGCTACACCCACAGAGTCTATCGCGCAGGAGCGAGGAGACGATTCCTCTTCCGTGAGCATGGAGGACGTTGTCGAAAAACAGGTGGGTGCGAACACGGCTTTTTTTTCCCTTCCCCCTTCGCTGTCGATCTCCCTTTCAGAGTGCCTGCGTCCTGCCCCCTTGTGATCGCTCGCTAGCTTCGCCAACCCTGCCTGCCTGCATCGGCAGCTCGCCGCGGTGGATTGACATAAGCAGGCCTAAAGTGAAGGGGGCCACCATCCGAAAGAGGAGAAAAAGACCAAGAAGACAGCCCGGCGGAAATCATTGGACTGGAGTTTTTATGGGTTATTCTAACCATATGCACACACATGCAGGAATACTTCGAAGGTGTGCCCGAGACGGCCTCAACCCGCTCCCTGACACAGCGGCCATCATCAACAAGCCAGCGCCGCGCCTCTGACCAAGAAACGAAAAACCCCCAACGCGGAAGCCACGCCCGCTACAGCCGCCGACTCCCCAACTCCCGACCCGACAATCGAGAGGCCAGCAGCCCCAGCACACGAGTCAGTTTCGGAGAAGCGCCGTGACTCTGTCCAGTCCAGCCGCCTCTCCGACACCTCAAATCTTGACAACGTCAACCTTGACGACGATTTGGGCGCCCCACAAAAACAAGGTTCGTTTGGCTGGCCTCGCCTACCGGTTGTAGGCATAAATGATTATCCAAGGTGCATTGACTGATCGCCCATTTTTGTGTATCCGTATAGAGTCCGAACCTACCAAGAGCCACGTCCCCAAAGAAGCTTCCAAAACTCTCTCACTAAGCAGCATCACCAACGCCCTCCCTTCGATGCCCTGGTCCCCATCTGCGGAATCCACGTCGAAAAGCCCTATCCCGTCACCGCCAGTTCCGTTGTCTTCGACATCTCAATTTACCGCGCCCCTCCCCTCGCGCAAGCTCACGAGCCCCTTTTCCTGGCTCTCCCGTAACTCGACCCACAAAGACGGCAACACCTCGCCCCCGCCTCCCAGCCCTCGCCGAGGAGAAATACGGCCAGCTCTATCGCCACCCTCACGAGCAACCCCGAAATGATGCTCGGCAGGTTGGACGAGGAGGAGAATACCGGCAGTGCCCACGGCACGAGCCTGAAGGACCGCTTCAAGCAGGTCCGAATGAGAGAGGAGGCCGGTGTCTCTCTGCCCACGATTGACGATGTCCCGCCCACTCCCATCGCCCCAAGTGTCGCGAGCATTGCCAGCAACGAATCGACAGACACGGGCGGCAAAATCCTTGCCCCAGGCACCGTGTCTGGAGTATCCGCGGGGCCCTCCGCGATGACAGAGGCCGAGGTCGACTGGGATCTCTGGCAGAACGTGGTCTACGAAGGCCCCGCCGCCGTCGCTCGTTCCAGCGCAGATGACCTCAACCGGGCCATCGCCACCGGAATTCCCAGTGCCATCCGAGGCGTAGTATGGCAGGTCCTTGCGCAGAGTAAGAACGACGAACTCGAGAGCGTGTACAAAGAACTCGTCGCCCGCGGCACGGAGAAGCAAAAGGACCGCAACAGCAACGGCACCTCGGTGAGCGCCTCCACGAATAGCTCGCTCGCGGTCCTTAGTGACCCAATTGCGTCGTCTGGATCCTCGGTCCACTCGGATCATTCTGGATCCACTGGGGCCACGTCTCCTCGAACAACCATTGAGAAGCCGCTCACGGAAGCGGAGCGAAAAAGAAGGACAAGGAGGATGCGGCTGTATTGCAAAAGCTTGAAAAGGTGATCCGTCGGGATATGGGGGCGAGGACAAGCTACTCCAAGTATGCCGCGGCTGCCGGCCTCCAGGAGGGCTTGTTTGGTGTTTGCAAGGCGTATGCCCTCTACGACGAGGGTGTGGGATATGCGCAGGGGATGAACTTTCTCGTGATGCCCCTGCTTTTCAATGTAGGACAACCGCTCTTATATTTCCTTTCCTGCACCAAACGTGCAAGCGACTTTGCGAAGCTAACCCGTTCTTTTGTTTCTAAACGCAGATGCCCGAAGAAGAAGCCTTCACCCTTCTCGTACGACTAATGAACCACTACAATCTCCGCGATCTCTTCATTCAAGACATGCCCGGCCTCCATCTTCGACTATACCAATTCGAGCGGTTACTTGAGGATCTCGAGCCTGCACTGTACTGCCATCTCCGCCGACGAAACATCTCGCCTCACCTCTACGCCACGCAGTGGTTCCTGACCCTTTTCGCGTACCGCTTCCCACTACAACTCGTCCTCCGCATATACGACTTGATTTTCTCAGAGGGCCTCTCGGCTATTCTGCGGTTCGGCATTGTGCTAATGAGGAAGAACGTGACGTCTTTGCTCGCCATCTCCGACATGCAGCAGCTCACGACCTTCCTCAAAGACAAGGTCTTTGACGTGTATATTGACAAGGACCCCAGCGCTGGCAGCATTCTCGAGAACGGGTTCTTTGGAAGCTCGAGCTCGAACCTCGACAAAGAAGTGTACCGGGCAGACCAGCTCGTGCGGGACGCGTGCGAGGTGAAGCTGACCCCGGAGCTTCTCAAGACATATACGACGGAATGGGAGGAGAAGACGAGAACGGAAAAGGAGCGCGAGACGGAGCTGGAGACGCTCAGGACGACGAGCACTAGCCTCGCGATCAAGCTCCGGAAGCTCGAGGAGCGCCTGGAGGCGGCCGACGGCGAACAGGCCACGATGGCGACGGAGCTCGTACACACCAAGGTGGAGAACGAAGAGCTCAAGGACGAAAACGAGAGCCTCAAGGGCCAGGTCAAGGAGCTCCGAATCGTCATCGAGAAGCAGCCCGAAGACATCGAGAAGGCGTGGAAGCTGGAGAGGGACGACTTGATGAAGAGGAACCAAAAGTCCACGACGAAAACCAGCGGCTTGAGCAGGAGCTAGCTACTCTCGAGGAGCAGCTGGTGGCGACGAAGATGCAGTATGCTGAAGTACGTGGTTTATCCCCTAAACCCCCACACCCTTTGACACTTTGTTCTCGTAAAGGGGAATATCGCAGGCTAACAGACATGTTTCCAACAGATCAACTCTCAGCACGAGGTACTAAATCGCCGTTGGACCGATCTTAAGCGCCAGTTTGCGTAGGACCGGCCCCTTTGCTACCCAGCTTGCTCAATACCGATCAGCCGATACCTGTTCCTAGCCCCGATGACATTATATTTCAACCACCACCAGCTGGTTCGGTTTCTTTTCTCCTTTGTTTTCTTAACATAAAAAAGTCGATCCCCGAGGGAAAGTTTTACGTCTTATGGTTCCGTAACCTTTGTACATCCCCCATAACCTAGTCTACCCTTTGGTTTCTCGATTGGCCCAGCAAAACATCCCCACCAGCGCCGACATCGTGGGGCTGTCCCGCTCCATGGCGGTCAGATACTGCCATCCCTCCCCAACGAGATGCTAAAGGGGTTGGGGTTGAGGGTATGAGGTTGTTTTTATAGAGATACTCCAATGCCCGCATGAGTCCTGTTTTCTTTTTTTAATCGTTATTTGCATTTTCGAGGCCTATTCAGTCACATGTATGTTGGGACAGATGAAGAGAAGACGGATCGCGAAGAAAGGAGAGGGAGACGCGGTCGAAAAGCAGAAGAATCAAGAATGGTGCATCTCAAGGGACGGCTTGCATGGATTATACAGATGACGCCGGGGCACCCTTGACATAAGGGAAGTGCGATGAAGAGCACGGCAGAAACATTGATGACACTAGACCCAGCCAACATGAAGAATGCCCTTCTATTTATGAGAGAATAACTAAGGTATTAGAAGAAGAGGAGATTCCACAACTGAGTTGCTACCGAGGTACAGGGACCTGTGAGAATAAAGGGAGCCAATGCACCTCCAAGACAACAGAAATGCCTGCAAGGGAACTTCTTCCTCTAATAGATCTTTTACCTAATTGACTAGCTCTCATCTGGTGCACTTGATCAATGGGCCAATCTATAAAACCATTGTCTTGAATTAATCAGCATTGCCCTCCCGTTCTGTGATCTCCATTGAGAGAGCAAGCGGGAATATCTGCCGGAAGGCTTCGACACCCTGGTCACTTTACCGCAAAGGTAAGAGAGAGAGAGCAGTATGAGGGGAGGCTGGAGGCATACCATTGCCAAGAAGCGAAAGTAGCCGGAGCAGCTCATTCTTCTTCTGGAGAGCCGAAGACTGATATTTTATCCCCCAACGGATTTTCGGAAGGCCCCACAGTCCGCATTAGCGCTTCACAAACGACTGCCAGCAGGTGCCAGCAGCACGCGCTAGTGACAACTCCTCATTTCCCGTCGTTTTCATAGGTGGGCAGCGACTCGGGGTGTGTCGCCTCACCGAGCAGCGCGGCCGTGGTGGAGTGGAGCGTGGAGCCGTACGCTGTTGCACGCTGCCTCCTTCCTAACCTGAGGAGGAGGACAACGCCACCTCATCACTAATTAAGGGAAGGCGAGTCCCTCTCACAACCTCTTCCGACCAAATCTGCATCCTCAATCTTCAAATGGGGGCGTACTCAGTCGTCAGTTGTTGCGTTCAAGCTCTCACTTTGTTCCTCGTAACGCGCCCACCGTCCTAGACATCAAAGGCACGCCGGCTAGGGCGGGCGAAACAAAGAAGAAAAAGTTTTTCTTTTCTTTCTCTTTTCCTTCACTTGTTCGAGAATCAGGACGCAATTTGCGCTGCTGTCCAAAAACGCGCGACATAAACGACCACTCAGCAACAAAGCCCAAAAGGGTAACAAAAAATTAAAAGACGTGGGAAAATCCCTCCCGCCCTCAACTACAGCCAGCAAGTCTTGTTTTTTTTTTGTTTTCTTATTCTCTATCAAAACGAAAGGCGGCGGGGACTTTGATGCAGGAGCCTGACTCCAATTCGTTTCGGTATTATCTCCCACCCTTACTGCATGCAAGTGCGCTTGCCCTGCATCCGCGGAAAGGGAGCAGCTCCTGTTGAAATCTGTTCTTCCTCGGCTAGGACATTCGCTTCCTTGACCTGGCTTCCGGCACGGCGTTGAGCTCTTAGGGAAGGAAAGGGGAAGGTCGAGTGATAGGTCAGCTCCGGGTGAACGAGCAGCACATCCGACGGCGCGGTGGAGAAGTAAGACCAGCAGGGTGCCCAGTTTTTTTTTTTTTCTTTTCTTTCACTCGCGATCGCAGTCTCAGCCTTGTCGCCTCAGCCCTATGACCAGACCACTGCGTCGACCCACCCGCTTTAACGCGTGACCTCAAACCTACGGTCTCCCTCTCCGCCCTGACTTTCCTCTATCCTTCTACGTGCCCTTCTCCCCCGGCCTCAACCGGCTCTTTTGGTCTCGTGGAGCGTTCTCCTTCCTTCACCGCCCCAGTCTCACCACCATGGGCACGGCCATGAAGAACAAGGAGCCCCCACCAGCCCGGAGGTCACCACCAAAACGGTGAGGTTAGAGGGAATCGATGATACCGATATGGTCGATGACCATGACCATGACCATGACCAAGATCACGACCCGGACGGCACCGGTGGTGATGGTGACAATGACCCGGCCAAGCCGTCGCGAAAGCGCCAGCGTGTTCGGTTGAGTTGCCTCGAATGCAGGCGCCGGAAGCTGTCGTGCAACCGAGCGCTCCCCTGCGATCGCTGTATCAGGAGCGAGACACCTGGCCGGTGCCAGTACGAAACGAGGTCTGGCAAGGTCATCAACGCCGCCTCGGATTACAACTCCCTCCCACCGGACTTCCGGCGGCTGGACACGGCCCAGTCATCCATCCGCGAACGGGACCACGAGAGGATCCGCAAGCTCGAGCACGAGATTGTTCAGCTGCGGAAAGAGATGTCGAGGCAGCGCGGCTCTCTCGAGGGTAGCACTCCCTTGGCTACCACCTCTCCGTCCACTCAGGCTGGCGAGCAAGAAGCCGCCGTTGACGAGACGCGCATTAGCGCTCAGAACCTCCCCTTCGGTGCTGAAAAGGGAGAGCTTCGCTTCGTCAGGTTCAAGGAGTTCCGCACCAGGTTCCTCGGCCCCCACAGCGCCGCCATGGCCATGGCTGAGCTCACCGGCCTGTCACCCTTCATGAAGGAAACGGCCGACGAGCTGCTTAGGTCCGTCAAGCTCCATGACCGTAAAGGCAAGGATCGGAAGAGGCGCACAGAACTGCGCGAGAAGCTGTCCATGGAGCCTGATCTTCACCTCGAGTCCCTCTTACCCACCAAAGAGGAGTCGGATGCTCTCATCACCGTATATCTAGACATCTTTGAGCAGCTCCACCGCATCATCCACATCCCCACCTTCCGCCGCGATTATGCCAGATTCTGGGACCCGCCGGAAGCTCGCCCGCCAGGCGCTAGACGGTCTGCGTTTACCGCCCTGGTGCTGTCTATCATGTCCATCTCATGCTGCCTCTACTCGCACCCCACCATCAAGTTTGTTGGCATGATGTCCGATAACCACAGCTCCGCGGTGAAATGGGTGACGGCCGTTGACGACTGGCTAGCACGCCAAAGTCAAAAACACCGCAGACTGATACACTACCAGATCGCCTGCCTTCTTTACCTGGGAAAGAGAGTCAATACCATCAAGAAGAAGAGGTTCTGGACTGGTGCGGGAGCCCTCGTTCAAGACGGCATTTCTCTCGGTCTCCACCGCGATACGCGCCACATGGCCGGGAAGATGTCGGCTTACAATCAGGAAATGAGGCGTCGTATCTGGGCAACTGTCCAGGAGCTAGACATGCAGGCCTCGTTCGATTTCGGACTACCCACCCTGCTGAGCCAGGTGCACTACGACGTCGCCGCACCTTCGAATCTCGACGATAACGAGTTCAACGAAGAAACGGTCGAGATCCCCCATCCCGGCCCCCAGACGAGTACACCTTCTCCTCCTACCAACACATCTCCCGCCAGAGCCTGCCCTTGCGTCTTGAGCTGAGCCGCGTCCTTTACGGACCCCTAACCCGCCCACCGACTACGATGATATTGTCCAGTACACCAACAACCTGATGCGCGAGATTGATGCCTTGCCCTCATGGGATCAGAACTCGGGTCCTGCTCACAGCTCCAAGAAGCCGATCCTCGCGTACACTCTGCTGCACATCCAGCTAAGGCAGTACATCCTGCCGATGCATCAGCAGTATGTCAAGACGGGGGCCAGCACTGCGAGCGACTCCACGAGATACCAGTACTCGGAGAATGTGTCGTACAACGCCGCGCGAGACATCGTGCTCCTGCACGACAAACTCTACGAGCAGGGAGTTCAAGCGCTCAACTTTTTGCGAGAAGACACCCTGACGACAGCGATCAAGTTGTGCAGCGTGACCATGCTGCAGCCCCAGGGATCCACCAACATGATTATGATCAACGCGCGACACACTGTAGAGCTCATCGAAAAGTGCATCGCCATGAAGGAGGATCGCCTACTACGATCGGGAAACTACGAGCCTTGGGGTTTCGTCTTCTTGTACGGAGCTCTGGGCTTGCTCCAGGCCCATCTCAACCTCAAGTCAGGGGCCGACGCAAAGGCATCGGCCATTGAGAAGCTCAAAACCCTGCAGAATAAGTTGAGCCAGGTCCGTAGACTAACGTCACCCGACGATCCTCTTGAGCGCTCGATGAGCTCCAGCTCCATTGGGCCCAGTGTAAGTGAAATTCTTTTTCTTCCCTTGTGATTGTTCCTTGTCTTTGTTGAAAGAGAAAGGATATGAGGATACGCAGAGAATCTTGGCTAACCCTTAACCCGCTCTTTTCTTTTAATACAGCCTCCTATGATGACCTTCCAGGCCGCTACGGCCCTCGGCGCACGCGCTGGGCTTGTGGGCCCAACCACGCCGGGAATGATGATGACACCAGACTTTCCGGTAAGTCCTACGTCCTTGACGATTCAAGAGCACGGAAGACTTACTGACTGGACGCAGTTGCAATCGTTCCCCAACAACTTTGACTTCCAACCTTTCCCAGAACAGTTCCTTGGTGACTTTTTTAACCTGAACGTTCCCGAAACTTGGCCTTTTAATGGCGTATGAATAAAACATACACACACCTCAATACAAAAAAAAGAACCCGGTGATTTATGCGGAATACATGATGATGGGGACGGGCATGAGGGGGCAAGACTTTGATAAGCCTAGTATGATTTTCACGCTTTTGACATTGAATTTCCTTGGTCTAATTTCTCCTCTACCATATATGTTACTTTTGGCTCTACTTTCCTCTCTTGCATTTGCTTTTCTGTCATTTCCATCAATGTCCGCAAGCTCATTCTCATCATCTACCGCGGGGTCTCGGGTGGTTTCGTTGTCGTTTGGTTTTGAACACAATCTATGTAGTAATGACATCCTGTTTTTATGGGGTTTTGCTTTGCTTTCTAGCTCATCATGGATCGTTTGTTCTCAAGAAGGTCTTTTTGTTTCTTGGGGAGAGGGAGGGTTTCAAACTTTGAAGGATAGTAGCGGGTTGGCGTACACCTCAACTCGAATCGGCCTTTCCTACGGCGTGGTTGCTCTTGTTGCATTTACCGGTGCTATTTAAGCACCTTCGGCATTGCATTTCTTTATCTTTACCCCCGTCTTGTTGGCGTGGGTTGCTTCTAAGGGAAGGTATATAACACATCGAGTGCTTAATATGATTTGAACGCACATGTATATCTCGGAGGAGAAATAAGAATGGGGAGCAAGCTCCTTTACAGTTGAATTCTGCTCGACAGTCTTGTACTATTCTCTCTCACTCACACATACACACATTCTCTCTCTCTAATAACTTCTAATCTTTTCTGCACGTGGTCATACTCCATTCCGCAACCGTTGGTCGCCCGGGACCCGCTCCGTGGATGACGACCCGGAACAAACGAGGGAGCGATCAAAGTCCGTAAACACGTATCAATTCATAGAGGCGGGATCTCTCGTGCCGGAGCCCTAACACCGTATGATTATACCAACCCGAGAAGTCGGTCCTATCCGCGGGGAGCCGGAGCGCAGAACTAGAAAGAAAAAAAAAAAAAAAAACAAGCAAAGGGTGGATGGTGGATAGGTACGGTACACGACATGGGAGGATCTACGAGGCGGGGAGCTACTCCGGCGCGTTTCGTCCTTTGGCGCATACCTCTCACTCGACCCGAGCAAAACTTGTTTCCCCCTCCCTTCCGCCACGGTCTTTGCTTTTTTGTGAGCGGACGAAGGAGGAGGGGTGTTTTGGGGAACACATGTCGATACATATATCCCACTACAAGAATTGCCGGATCGCGTCCGGTGTGAGACTGAGACATTCTCGATCTACCTAGACTTTCTTATTTTACGCCACGAGGCGTCTGTCAGACGCGAGACATGTGCTCTTCAGAAGAAGAAAGAAGAAGAAAAAAACCTCGCGGCCGCTCGGCTGGCTGCGTGGAGGGAGATCCCCCTTCCCTTCCGTCTTACCCCTTGGTTGTGGAGATAATTGCACTCCTTCGCATTGCGCAAACAGGTCTCCATCCGCTAACAAGAAATTTCTACAATCTTCCTCAGGCTTAGTTTTTTAATGGCGCGGGAGGCGCAAGGTCCCTCTATTTGGGCCGCTCGAAAAGTACAACCGCCAATCTTCCGTCCCCTCCAAGATTTTTGGTAAATGTGCTAATTGAGTCCGGCGCATTGCTCCGTTGGCTTAGGGGTGGAGCTTTGATGGGCTCTATGGGCTCTATGGGCTCTACTCAGGATGATCGACACCGTGGCCCAGTGTTGCGCCAAAATTAGGCGATCGGGCGCGCTCTCCATGGTGGGGAGAGGAGTCGTCAACGCGTGCAAAGAGGAGGCTGCGCGAAGGCCTGTACAAAAGGAACAAGGAAGAGGAGTAGTAGTTGAAAGATGGATAGTAACTAGTCTTCGCAAGGGTAACTGCCCCTCCACCCTTCGCAATGACAGTGATGCGGGACAAACGACATCCCCGAGTGCGCACATGTCCTTGATACAGAGTTATCTAGTTGTAGAAGGGCTGCGTTTGCGTCAGCTCGAGATGACACGCCTGTTTGGCGATGCTATATTATGCGAGTATTAAGGCAAGTATGTGTTCCCGCCCCCTTTCCCAGCCACGCACGGGTTTGTGGGACGGCTTGATATTGCACGGCATCGCTCAATGGGCTCACTTTGGAGTTTCTTCTGGAGCTGAGCGTCGTCGCTAAACCTCGCAGGGGAGTGCACAGCGTTTGCCCACCCATTTAATACCGAGGCGCCCCGAGCGGAAGGTTCGAGTCGAGTTCTTTGCCGGAGACACACTCTGTTCTTGTCCTCCCATACTTTCTGGGGACGACCCTGAGTGTGTGCTCCAAGTTATTAAAGTTGTCAGCCCGCCGTTTTTCTCAGCCTCGCCAACAAGAGGCTTCTGCCTCGCTCGAGTATTTGGTCTCGACGAACGAGGGCAAGTATTTTAATACAAAGTACCTCGGTACGTGCGGGAAAAAAGGGACAGAAAAGGGAAGGCGATGTGGCTTGCAGTTCGCGTCGGGGAGGTTCGAGAAGGGGGCACGGGCTTGGGCAACTGATGATGTGCGCACTGTTCGTGCTCCTAGAAAAAGACACGAAAAAAGGGAAGAAAACCAGCCAAGCACCAATCGCTACGCCAGCGTCGCGACCCGTTCTGCGGTCTCCAAACTTCTTTCGATTGGCGGGAGGGATCCGTGCGGCGTTGTGTTGCAGCGACATGAGCGTGAATGCATTCTTCAGGGGTCTGAGCGTTGGTGATAGAGCAGACCAAGAGTGGGGATTCGTGAAGAGGGACGTTTTGGGAGGAGCCAGAGCGAAAAGTGACAACTTGAAAGAAACGATTGCTGGTCCGGTCCACTCTTCTCTGGATTCCTCTATCTCACGTTTCTTGGTGAGAGACTCCTCCTCTCTTTGCTCGAAAACCGGTATCGCGCTTCGGATGAGCAGCCCTCGATCCTTAAAAGAAAGTTCCGCGACTTGGCTAGCCAAGAATGGAATTATATAATGGGGAAATTGGAGAAAATGGAATCCACGATGTGAGGAGATGTTGGGTATTATTGGGACATGAAACGGCCACACGCATTGAAACAAGACAAGCCGAGTCCACTGGCAAGGATCGGCAGGCAGTCTCTGCAACATTCTACAAACCCATCTGGTGTTCCACTTGATACCACCTCTCGAAGGTCCTTGCTTTTTCCTTTGAGTTGTTATTTTTTTCTTTTCTTCCATCGTCTTGTTTGCGCTGTTTGCGCCCCTCGGGACATCCATCGACATGGGGTTGGAGTAACATTGGATTCATACCATTGATCAAATTTGAAGAGCCATCAATGATAACATATCATCAATTGATAGATGTCGATTTCAACCCCTTCGTTTTGGGGACATGGATGCAGACCATCCGGAGCCATTGCCAGGTTGCCCCATTCTGGAGATTGGCCGAATTGCCCGTGCTGTGGTGTGTACCTGGATTATTACTCGACTATCCGAGTGGCTTGCAGAAGCCAGTGCTGTGTGTGGTTCTGGAGCTGCTTGCGCTGCATCACTAGCTCAAGATCGAATGATGGGACAGGAGATCCTGATACCTACTTGTAGACAAGGATACGTGGATGTGGCCCATTATGCTGCCTCCATCCACCCTCAACAAGTCAAAGAAGGGATTAGATGCAAGCACTTTCTGCGCGTGAGGCCGAGGTGTCGAGTCGATGAAAAAGCGGCGGAGACACCAATGATTGCTGCATGTGTGTATCAAATACGATGGCTGGCTTGGCCAGCCCACTCGAGCTGGAGAGCCCAGCTTGGCTTTCTCACCCCGGTGATGCGGGATTGTCTTAGATGAGGTACCCCAGTCCCGGCCTGGACCAGGGGCTGGTTTCGCTTGAAGAGCCGGCGAATTGATTGATGGATGAATGGGGCAGGAATTGAACATTGTGGACAAGAGCCCAGAATTGCTTCCAGGAGCGGTAGGCAATGGTCGAGGACGGGTTCCACTCCACTAAAAAGAAATTGTCCGTGGCTCTAGAAGGTCGTGAACGGCCCAAGTGATCCGCTAGATTCAGCCCACTTCCCTCACTGAGCAAGCCCTGACCCCTCTCCCTGGTACATTACTTTCCCTTTGCTTGTAGGCTCAGCGTTGACTGTGTTGACTGTGTTGTCTGTGTTGGCTGTTTGCACCCTCCCCCTCCCCTCCCTCTCGCGCCAAAAAGGGGGAAAGAGCGAAGAACCGGAGAAAAGCAACTGTCAACGGGAAGGTTCCAAGGGCCCCCAAAAAGGAAGCAGCCTCGATCTCGCTCCGTTACCATCGAATCCTACCATTGATAGCTGCTGTCGCAGACACGAAGCAAGCTTCAGTTCCCTCTCTCCCCCTCCTTTCAATGTCGTTTGTGCCAATTCACTCATTTTGATTCAAGCTCTCTTTACGACACCCGCTAGACTCTTGGCTTCACCCGTTCCCTTTCCACGCTGGCCTTGCACATCCCCCGAAAAATAAGCGCTCCCTCGTCGTGACCCTGACCCTGTCTGCCAACGAGCCCCGGCCCGCTGCCCTTGTACGAGACCTCACGATTTTGGACTTCCTTTCCTTTGACCACCGAATCTCGTCCTTTGCCAATCAGTTCCTAGCTATCGATATCGCTTGTGGGCATACGAACCCGACTTTCTTTTCCTCTCCTTCTTCTCTCCGACTAATGTCCTGTTGCTCCCTATGTATTGCTCGACCCTAGGGCGCAATCAAAGCATCACCCCCAACCAGGAAAAAAGTTCGCGAGGAAGGGTGGCTTCCTGCCACTTAGCCCGCGCCGCCTCCTCACCTCCACTCCTACGCAGTACACGAGTCTTGCTGAAGCACCTCATCAATTCGGCCGCGGCTAGGAGACAGCTGACTGCACTGTCCATTGTAATTGAACTGATCTAGAACCGTCCGCTTTGGCGAGAACGACTGCTCACCGCGTCCTAGGCCAGCCGAAGCGATGCCTTGGCAACCTCTCCCTCGGATAGCATTCGCTGTCGCGACCTATCCCTTTACCGCCTCCACGCCGGCCGACTTGCCCCTCGAGATCGGCGATGAGTTGTACATAATAGAGGAGACGCCCGATGGCAACTGGCTGCGCGGTTATCTGGTCGCGCCCCCAGTTTGCTTGCCGGTCTCACCTCGGTCAAGGGCCAGACCCTCGAGGCCCGTGTATTTAGCGGCATCTTCCCCGGAGCTGCGTCGAGGTTAGGGAGATGCTTGGCGAGCCCGACGAGGCAGATGAGAATGACTACATGAGCGAAGGCGACAACTCGAGAGCGGACATCACTGCGGGGAGCGACTCTGCGAAGAGCGGACTCAGCAAAAAGAAGAGGGCCCTGGACCGGCGCAGCTCGCTAGAAGCCAAGTCAGGGGCGCCGAGGATAAGCTTCGCCTCCTCTCACCGCACCCCTTTCAAGGAGCTTGCAAACGGCACATCCGGCGCGACCCTATCGATCCCTATTCGTCGCGATCCAAACGAACCTCCCCACCCGCGCCGGTGCCCATGTTGAAGATTGGCGATGAAACCCCGACTTCGGCTCACGAACCTTTAATCGACGAAATCGCTTCCTGCCTGCGCGAATGGCATTCGACGAACCTTCACGAACTCCTCCTCACGCGACAGTATTCCAAGCTCGACAAACTCTCCCACTTGATCAATTCCCTCTACTTTGCTCGACAACAATTTCTCCACAATGTCCTCACTGCCCACGAATACGAGCGGCTACGCGAGAAAACGGTTTGGGACCTGGTCAATGTCAACAAGCTGTGCGGCGGCGAGGTCATCGTCCGTGATCCTGCCCAACGTGGACGGGTGCTCACGGGAGATGACTCGGTTGTGGAAATCACTAAACTACAGACCATGATGAGTCTCTTGGATGAGCCTCCGCAGCCTGTAACCGAGCTGACGGCTTTACACCACCTCATGGTCGATGTCAAGGGCTTCGCCGGCGCGTCTGCGGATGACACAACGCTCGAGCTATATCTAGTGGGGAAACCCTTGGGCGGGCCTGCGGCAACCCTTTCGGAGACCTTTTCCGTCAAAGTACCGTCGGGGGATTCATCGGAGCCAATGCGAATAGCGCTTTGATGAAGACCCTTTTCACCGACCTTTCGGCTCAGGACATTGGCGATGTACCCTCCGCCGAGTCAGACCTCTTCCTTGTTATCAAGGTGCGCGCGAGGCAGCCGATCGCCGCCACCAACAACCCAGCGTCGCGCTCCGGAACCGGTCTCCATACCCCCTTCTCGAAGGACTCCTCGAAACCGCCTGTATCTTCTTCCAACGGCAAACAGTCGTCTCGACGCAGCCTCATGTGGAACAAGGGGTCGCGGACGGCCTTCTCGAGAGGACAGAGCACGCCCAAGATGGAGACTGTTTCCGAGAAACCCGAGGGCGCCCGACCACCTACAACCGGCGTTGAGAGTCGCGATGGCAGCTTCCCGCCGAGCACCGCGGGCTCGAGGACGCAAAAGTCGTTGGATGGCAACGCTACCAGCTCCTTTAGTGCCACCCGCACCATAGGGATTGGGATCCTGCGCTTAAACGCCATCATGAAGTATGAGGAGGAGGTGGAGCAGGTTGTCAGCATCTTATCCCCGGCCCCGCGCTCTAACCAAGACGGAGCAGAGAGCGGCGAAGACTGGGACTCTCTCGTCCGAGAACTCATGGGCAGCCAACCGGGCCACTACGAAAAGTCTGCCCGATCCGAGAGGATCCAGCTGATTCTCAAGGGCTTCAACAGCTCCGATGCGGACAACCTCATCCGCTCCACACCTACGCTGCTCTCGGGCATTGGCAAAACGAACAAGATGGGCTTCTCTGGTGCGCCCACGAAGCCCCGATCCGATATTTACCTGACCCTCGACAGCGCCTCCCTTGCGAGGCAGAATCTGCTCTCGAGGTATGGAGGAAGTCCGGTCCCCATCTCAAGTGCCATGCAGGGCACTAACCTCCAGGTCATCTTGGAGGCTCGGCGGTCTACCGGGGAGCGGGTAGAAAACTGCATCTTCCCTTCCTCCAACACCGAAGGACTGACTACGTGGAAATCGGTTGCGGTCGAGCGTGGGGAGGCGTGGAAGCAGACTATACGTCTAAGGATAGCGGCAAAGGACGTGCCTGATACCCACATTGTCGTGTTCTTGTCCGACGTGCCTAACACCCCCTTTGCCGTCGCTCACATACCCTCTGGGACAAGCGTGCGTTCCGTAGGGACGGACCCCACCCGTGTCTTCTTTACAAGGTTGACGAGTTCACTTCGACCCCCAAGGCCGGCCCCTCGGGCAAAGGCGGCTACCTCTCTCTCCCGTGGAGCGCCCGAGGCAAGGATGAGCAAGCGGAAGTAACGGGGCCGGTTGCCGCGCTCCGTGTCGAGACCTACCTGTGCAGCACCCAGTTCTCGCAAGATAGAGTCGTTCTGGGCCTGCTCAAGTGGAAAGAAGCGAGGGATGAGATTCCTACCACGTTGAAGCAGCTCATCTTCGTCCCGGAAATTGAGATTGTCAAGCTGCTCAACGATGTGCTGGACGGCCTCTTTGCCGTGCTTGTGGAGTACTCGGGCAACGGGGAGTACGAAGACCTCGTATTTACCGCCCTCGTCAGGGTTTTGGGCATCGTGCACGACAGGCGTTTCAATCTCGGACCCCTCGTCGACCACTACGCCGAGACACGCTTCAATTACCCCTTTGCCACACCATGCCTTGTTCAGTCTTTTACGAGGCTTTTGGAGAAGCCGACCGAGCCGGAGACGTCCCGCAAGCTCCGCGCAACGTTCAAAGTCGTACGCCATATTCTCAAGTTCATCACTCACGCCCGCGGCCAGCAAAAGGCCAAGGAGGCGCACCTAGGCATCACGGCCACGACACCCAGCTTTACGCGCAACCTCCGAACCATTTTCAAGGCTCTCGACGCCATGATGCGAAATCCCGCTCCGACCCTCATCGGTAGTCAAACCCTTGCCGTGCAACACTTTCACACTTGGCTACCCGAGCTGTCAGGTCTCTTGACGACGGAAGAGATCCTCCACATCGCCATTGACTTTATGGACTCGTGCGCTGGGGTCAAGGGCAAGTTGGTGCTGTACAAGCTGATTCTCATCATCAACTATTCCAAACTCAAGATCTTTTCGCAGCCCGAGCAACGCTCTGTTCTTAGCGCCAACACTGTCCGATGGATCGCACCGCACTGGGGCCACATCGCCGAAGTCACCGAGCAATGGCGCGAGCAGGTGAGGCTGTGCTGTTCGGTCGTGGCGAGCCATATTGACTACATTGGCAACGAGATTCCCGACTATATTCCCAAGATTATCGACTCTTACCTTGTCATCCAAGCGACACCGCGCACCTCCAAGACACGCCTCTCCCTTCTCTTCCCCACTTCTTATCCCTTCACCCACAAAATCCTGCCCGAGCCCGTCACCTTTGACGAAGCCCTCATCGAACTCTCGGCCATCTTGTCCGCGCTTTCCACGTCGCCAGCTGGCGGCATGCAACTGGAGCTTGCCAACAGTGATCTGACCAGCCTGCTGGAACAAACCCTCCGAGTCCACCTGAGCATCCTATCGGGTGAAGCTTTCCCCGCCGAATGGCTGAGCATCCACATCTACCACCACAAATCTACCATGCGCACGCTCCAGTACTTGGCCTCCATCATGCTCGAGTCGTTTTTGCCCGACCCCGATGAGGCCGAGAATTTCAACACGGAGCTCTGGAAGATGTTCTTTCGACGTTGCTCAAGCTGGTCGGAAGCTCCTCCCTTGCGCTGGAAACGTTCCCCGAGCAGAAGCGCAGGGCTGTGTGGAAGATTGCTGGTGATGTGCGTGAGCATGGCGCAGAGCTTCTCCGCAGGACGTGGGGCGCGATTGGATGGGAGACGACGGCAGACGAGCGGGAGCGCTTCCATCTTATGAAGATGGGCGGTTACCAGGTACAATACGTCCCGACTCTGGTTGGCCCGATTGTTGAGCTGTGCCTCAGCGTCCACGAGGGTTTGCGTAGGATGGCCGTCGAGGTGCTGCAAACCATGATTGTGAGCGAATGGACCCTGAGCGAGGATCTTTCCGTCATCCAGACGGAAATGATTGACTGCCTCGATCAGTTCTTCAAAACCAAGCCCATGACAGAGAGCATCCTGCAAAAGCTCTTTGTGGGCGAGCTACTAGAGCGCTTCGAGTCGCTCTCGCAAAACCCCGGGGACTTGGGCGAAGCTATTAGGGAACTCATGTCGACGGTGGACGAATTCCTCGACCTCCTGGTCGCCGTGCGCAGCGGTGATGGTACGAGCGAGGCGACGCACCTCATCAACCGCCTCCGACTGATGGAATTCCTACGGGACATGCAGAAGGAGGAGATTTTCGTGCGCTATGTCCACCAGCTGGCAACGCTTCAAGCGGAGGCGAGGAATCACGCCGAGGCCGGCCTAGCGTTGAGGCTGCACGCGGACCTATACGAGTGGGATCCTACGAAGCAGGCCGCACCTCTATACGACCCCGACTTCCCTATCAGTCCCACTTTGAGCGCAAGGAGCGCATCTACTTTGACATGATTAAGCATTTCGAGGACGGGGAGGCCTGGACAAGTGCCCTCGAGGCGTACCGCGAGCTCCAGGTGCAATACGAAACCAACGTGTTTGACTTTGCCAAGTTGGCTAGGACCGAGAGGGCGATTGCCAAGATTTACGAAACCATTGTCAAGAGCGACAAGCTGGTGCCGAAATACTACAAGGTCGTCTACAAGGGCCTCGGGTTCCCCGCGAGCCTTCGCGACAAGGAGTTCGTCTACGAGGGAGCGCCCACGGAGAGGACCTCGGCCTTTACAGATAGGATGCAGGAGCTTTACCCGGCGGCGCAACTCGTGACGACGGGCGACGTGGACGAAGTGGAGGGCCAATACCTCGTCATCTCGTCCATCACGCCGCACCGCGACACCACACACCACGTCTTCCAGAGGGCGCGAGTACCGCACCCGATTCGTGACTATCTCCTCTCCTCACACCCGCAGGCGTTTTCGGTGTCGACCAAGCGCAGTACCAGCGGGCCAGTGGCGGAACACTACTCGGAGAAGCTGGTGTACACAACGGCGGAGCCGTTCCCGACGATCCTCAGACGAAGCGAGATTGTGGGCACGCACGAGATCAAGCTCAACGCGCGCGAGACGGCGCTGGAGCGCACCACGCGCAAGACGCAGGAGATGAGCCTCCTCGAGAAGCGTGTGGTCGAGGGCGACCTTGAGAGCGCACGCATCCTCTTTGAGACGGTGGCGACGTCGGTAAACCCGGTGGCGGAGAACAGCATTGTGCGGTATCGACAGTTTGTTCCGGTGGCCGAGGTCGAGGATGAGGCGGACGAGGAGGTGGAGTTGGATCCGCAGGACAACGCGATCAAGATGGCGTTGGTGGACCACGCGTTTGTGCTTAGGAAGTGCTTGGCCACTTTTTCGAGGAGCTCTATTGATGCCTTGTCGAGGAATCACGAGGAGCTGCAGAGGTGTAAGTCTTTCTCGGGGTGATGGGTGATTTGAAGTCATGTGTGCCAACTTGCTAACTCTTTTTTTTGTTTTTCCCACCACAGATTTCGAGAATACCTTTGCCCCCGAGATAGAGCTCTTCATGACGCCCCAACCCCCACAGGAGGTTGGCTCGCCCGCTTCAATCTGGCGGGGCTCTCCTCTCACGGAGACGGCACCGTCATCCAGTCTTGTCGCGGCGATGTCTCAGGAGGCAGGAGCGGAAGTTGCCAGCGCGCAAGCAGCCAAGGCCGGTCGTGCACCCAGGTTGAGCTTCCTTGGCGGCAAGAAGAAGGACCAGGGCAGGCAGGTTAACGGAGGGGACCATCAGCAGCAGCAGCAGCAACAACAGTATCAACAGTATCAACAACAGGCGCCGCACCACCAGCACCAGAATTCGCGATCGCAGCAGTATACACAGGGCGCCCCCGCGTCTCGAGGGGCCCACGGCCACACGGAGAGCAGCGGAAATGTTTCCCTCAGCCGAAGCCGGTCCGCGAGCAGGGGCAGCAGCAATCATAACCATAGCAACAGCAACTACGCGAACGGCACAAGCAACGGTAATGGAAACCACGCGGTCCAAAACAACACCAACAGCAACGCCAACAACCGCCGCAGTTTCTTCGGCTCGCACCCGATCAAGGTACCATCGGTGACGCAAATCACCAACGGGGCTCCAATGGACACGACGGCGAGTGGGTGGCGGAATCGGGAGGACGCTCGAGCCTGGACATTGGAGACAAGGACGGCGACAAGGGCGTGGGGATCCACAAGATGGGAAGCGTGAGGCGGCGGCTAAGCTTGCTGAAGCTTGGCAAGAAGGGTCCCTCGCGGCCAGCTGCGATGGGCGCTCTCGACGAAGAGTAGGAAAGCTTCGAAGAGGGCGAGAGCAACGGCGACAGCGACGGCGACGGCAACGAGACATCAGCCGGCCTGGGGGAGGGGCGGGAATGCTGGTGGGAGGGAGATGACTCGGACGGCTCAGAGTTTCAGTGGCCGCTCTGAGAAGATGAACACTTGCGCCATGCCACACACACAACACACAGCAGTCACAGCGACATTTTCCTATCTTTTGCCCTCACCTCTCTTCTTTCGTCATTTGTCCACTTGCATACGGGAGAGAGACCCAGGGACATGCATCTTTTTCGTCCGCCAAACAGCCCACCCCCTTCCTCCTTTGATCATTATTATTCCCATATTTCCTTCCTTGACTATATTTATTTTTCTTCTTCTTCGTTTTTCACCTTTTTTTTTTTCCTGGGAGCTTCCATGCTCTCTGCAATTCCATTGTCGGTTCCAGCCATGAAGTCGACCTCACCCTCCATACGCCTTCCCTTCGTCTTGCCTTCTGGACTCTGGCTTCTCAAGATCCGACTTTCTTCTCCCCGTGGCTTACATAGCCTTTCTTTTTTTTTTTTCCTTTTTTCACGATAAACTTAGGAGGGGGATGGGCTGCTGGATGCTCGAAGCTTCTTTGGCTTGCGCATGTACGCCGAGTGTGTGTATAGGTACAGCCGCATGTTAGTCGGCAGAAGCCCATGCGCGCGAGTATGCATGCGCGAGTAGTGCTTAACATCTTTTTGGTTCTTTTTGTATGGCTTTGTTTTGATTTGTTAGCATTATATCCCTTGCCCGTGTCACCTCATTATTCCTTTGTACGCCTTGTATAGGTGGTCTGTCGACCGATGAATAAGACTAGAAGTTTCCATCTTCACTCTTGACGTTGCGTGCTTGCTGAACTAGCCCAAACTTGGAGAGTGTGCGGTTTAAAGGCATTGTAAAATCCAATATGTAAATATGGATATATTCATGGATATATTCTATATACCCTCCTGGAGCAAGCAACTTTTGCCATGCGGCCCTTCTTCTGTCTAGCTCGGTTCTTGCTCATGGGCCCATGGGCGTTTTTCTTTGGGGAGAGGCTCATATTACACGTTTGTCCCGTTCCTCCCCGACCCCTCGTGGACTCTAGTCGTCGTTTCATTGTTCATGTTGTCTCTTTGTTCTGTCCACCCGTGTGGTCCCCTACGGTTGGGGGTTTTTATCCTGCTTCCCTGGCCCCCAAAGCTCGCTCGCCTTTTTATTTTCATTTTGCAGTCAGCTTAGCACTCCTCCCAGACGGCGGCAAAGTGCACAGTGACGGCAGAGTCGTCCTCGGCGCCGACGGTACCGGCGGTGGCCTCGTCGCCCTCGCGGAAGAGGGAGAGGGACGTCTTGACGCCGATGAGGGGCACGACGCCGTCGTCGGCGATGCACTCGGACCAGACTTCGGAAGGGTTCTCGATGAGGGCCTCGAAGGCGCCGTCGGTGATGTCGGCGGGGAGGAGGACGATTTCGTTGCCCTAGAGGGGGTGGGGGTTGAGTTGTTAGTATGCATATTCTTTTGTCTCTGCGGCTCTGACTGTGTTCTTTTTATAGCTTGGAATAGAAGATGAACAAAAGCAAGAAAAGGAAAAGTGAATGGTACTCACGCCTCCCACCTCACCACCAATCGTCGTCTCGATCGAGATCCTCAACGCGCTCCCCTCCTCTAGGGCCGCCACGCCGCCCACCGTGACGGCGGGCACGCGGACCTTGTAGCCGGGAGGACCGCCGCCGAGCTTCATCTCCTCGACGCAAAACTTTTCCACCTCGGTCGGGGGTTCGAGGCCGGCGGCGATCTCGTCCTCGCTGAGGGGCACGTCGAGGTCGGCGAGGTCGAGCCCCCACTCGGAGAAGCCGAAGATGGGGGTGCCGTCGACGGCGCCGACGCCGACGCCCTGGCCGCCGCCTGTGGGGCAGCCGGTGCCGAACATGGCGAGGGAGTCGAGGGTGGGGAAGATGGGGGCGGCGGCGGCGGGGTTCTTCCTCGCCTCCTTCGTCCTGGGCGTGGGTGAGGAAGGGGAGGAGGGCGAATGGGGCGAGGCGGAGGAGGGTGTAGAGCGACATTTTGTTTCTTTCTGGTGAGGGGGATTCTCTTGTTGAGAGGAGGAGATGAGGAGAGAGATGGCTGGTAGGAGAAAAAAGTGAAGAAACGAAACAAAGACAAAAAAGAGTGGATGATAGGTCAGTTTGAGGAATCTCTTCGTCGTCGCTTCTTACAAAGGCTTGAAGCGGAGGACACACAGGGTTGGGGCGGCGCGGGGTCTTTTTATCAGGAAACGCAGTCACAACCGGGGCGGGGAGAAGGGCACAGGGTCACAATCGGGGCATGTGTGTATCCAGGCCTATCTATATCTATCAATATATCTACATCTATATATACACCCATATAGATATATATATGTGCGTGTGGGTATCTTTGTGTGTATCAGTAGCCATCTTCCCTCGGTCACGGACCGGGAAAAGAAGACGAGTCGTTTCCGCCTCTTCTCTTATCCCCTCGGCTTCGTGTATTAATGTGCCCCGACCCGGGAACCAGGGGTGCCAGGAACGGGTTATCGTGGCTAAGGAAACCGGCTGGAGGGCCGGTGGGAGCAAACAAGGCCGAACAAGTGGTCCGAGTCTTTTGTCTCGCTATCGGACACAAGACAAGAAGAAACCAAAAAGATACCCCCTCCCATCTTCATCTCGCCTCATCCGTGTGCATGTATGCCGCCGGGTTTTGCACCCCTCTCTCTCGTCTGTCCATTCCGCGTTGTCACGTAGTAAGGCGGTATAAACTATACGGATATAGGATATATAGACGAGTTGATATATCCAACGTATAGTGCATTGACGGGATTCCAAAGTCTATGGTGCTAGACGGGTTTCGTTCTTGTTTTCCCCTTCTCCCCTTTGGTCCTTGTTTTCCTTGCCTCGCGCCCGATTTGGTCCTTGCACGGGCGGGAGGTTGTTGGGCTTCCCGGAATCATCTCGTCGTGCTGCTTCGGTACTGTCCCCTGGAAAGGTATCTCCTACGTGAAGGGTTTCAGGCACGTGGAAAAGGTCCCGGGACCTGGAGAACACTTCAAGTTGGGAACCGATGAAAGCAGGAAAACCAAACCAAGCCCAAGATCAGATCAGATAAGAGCGCGTAGTTACAATGACATGTCAGATACTTTTGGGACCATGGGGATGCCATGCCTCGAGAAAGGCGACACAAGCTGAACCTGAGATTGCGGCTGCTGATGAGTGCTCGATCATATCACTTTTTAACTAGAGGGCCTTTTTCTTTTTTATTAATTATTTTTGTTCCATCCGGGCTATCTTGGCGGCGTCGAAAGCACAAGAGGCCTGGCGGGGTCTGAGGCGATGGCATCAGCCTTTTGCATCTCCGGCTATATTCACGAGAAAGCCAAAAGTGACGCGAACCAGAGTTCAGCGGCGTTGGGTCGAGTTTAAGCTTATAGCGGGCGGGTTTATATAAATTGAGGGACCTCGCAAAGACGAGATTTGATTTTATCCATTGGTACATGTATTGCCCCAATTCGCTCCCTCCCTTCTTTTGTTCGGGGGTTTCTTGTTCGAATTTCTTTTCTTGCTTGTCCTCTCCCCTCTCCACGACCCCGACTCCATTCTGGCACGGGGATCGGGGAAACGGGGATTGGGTTGTGTGGTAGGTAGAATATAAAAACCTCCAGAGGCTACATGTACATCAATTGTTGGCCTTGATGTACGGCCCGGGAGAGTAAGAAACTTGAACCCTTTTCATGGTTGGGTCGGCTCGGGTGGTTACTCGTGCCACCAGCCGATGGATCAATACTACCCATAAGCCAATTGAGCCCATTGAGCCACTTGAACATGGTTGACGGGGCTCGAAGCTATAATTGGGGGCGGGATCTCGAGAAGCGGATATTCTGGGGGTATTACCACCTGCACATGTACATGTAGCCTATTGGGTCTATCGAAACGTGAGCGTGGCGGGCTGAGGGAGGAATGGAGGAATGGTGATGGTGGAAGAAAACAATCGAATGGTATGTAATGATGGTGGGCGAGTCTACCAAAGAAGCATCCATGGATCAATTGATAAAGTACATATCTGTTCAAGGTATATTGTGTTTGTCAACATCCATAGATGCGTGTCTGCTTCCCCAGAAAAACGAAACACCTATGCATGGTAGAGGCTCTGGAGGTGACGTTCGCGACCGAAAGCGAAGAAGGCTAGGATCAAAATTCCAGGCACGATGGTTGAAGCTTATGCCTTGCTTCCCCCAAGCTCGCCGTCCCAATGCAGCATTGAACATCTTTTCCCCTCTTGGGATGGGGAATGGGTTGCCAACGAACCGGCGGCGTGGGCCGGATCGGCGGATTGCAGGGGAGTGAGTGCATTGAACCGGACGGCACGTCAGCGGGTAGGATTTATTGGTATTATCTGATGGTTGATCAGTGGCCAGGCCAGTGCCGGTCTGACTTGGGTGTGTGGAAACGAGGATAGGATGACCGAGTAGGGCTCGCAGTCGAGGACAAGGTGACAAGACGTTGTGGTGAGATAGAGTCGACTCGTAGATCCACGCGAGCTATTAGAATCGAAGTTGGTTACGAGGGAGGTTTGTACCGACATCTATGATGGATCCCATTTAGCTACAAGTAGACGAGGAATCTTGTTCTTTTCCCACCTACCGAGGTATACACTCTTTCCATGTTCTGTTGTAGGCAATTGTTGTGGATGGCGGGCGAGTGCTCGGAACAAACATGAAGCCCTCCCTCCTCGAGGGATAATCATCTGAAAATTACACAAGAACATCAATCTCTCGTCTCATCCACTCCTCAAGTCTGTTCCCTCTTTCTTGGTTCCGGTGAGTGGCATAATACCGTCCTTCGGGCTTGGATTTTTCTTGGCCCTCGCCCGGGTTCACTAAGGGAGGGCGTGTGGTGCCAGAGACTTGAGAAAAAGGTGGACGAAAAGAGGGCACCGGGATACCGTCACGAAGAATAGCCTGGGCGGCACGGCGTACAGCGTACGGGGCAAAGTTGAAGAGGGCGGTACAATTGGTACGGAAAGGGAAAGAGAGGATTCAGCAACGAGAAGAGAAGAAGAGGGCTGAAGCAAAATCGTCTGAAGTCTTGAGCGTAGGTTTATATTGATGGGGCTTTCCTATATTAAAAAAGATAGAATGATGCTAGTTTGCCCTCCTGCGACTATCTGGGGCCCCTTGGACGAGAAGATGTTTTTAGATAGGAAAGGAAAAGGGACAGATGATGGTGATGAGAAGCATGGTTCGCTCCTTCCCCGAAAAAGGAAAGCTCGTGTTGGTGACAACGAACAAGGAAACTCAGCTTCAAGTAAACCATTCAATTCCGCCAATTTTCCTACCCCTTGCAGCAACCCATGAAGGGGGCAAAAACAAAGAGAGAATGAAAGAAAAAGATATATTACCCCACGTGTCGACAGGTATTCATCCGAAGAGCCACGGGCGCGAGGTTGTGTCGAATGGTGTGGTGTGCTGGTGTGGTGCCACCAATTCCCGGGCTGAAGACGCAACCCGTTGACGACCACCACTCGGCTATGGCTCTCTTTATCCCGGGGATGCATCTCGATCCCGCTCCGCGAATGCGGTTCGGCGAGCGTGCGAGCGTGCCTGCCTTGCGTGTCTAGGATATATGCACGCACAACCCGCCCTCGCGCTTTTGGTCTCTCTTATCGAGTTTCGCGCCTCGCTTGCACATTGAGGGCTCCTTCGGGATGAAAGGGTAGCGGGGGAGAAGGAGACAGAGGCAGAAAGAGGGGATTTTGTCGCCTAGCGGGGATACATTTTGGATAGGAGGGGGCGGGGGCGGTGTTGGGGAAGGAGGAGAAGGGAGGGAAGCTTAGGCTCGGGATGAGGCAAGCGAGTAGGGTCTTGATGTGCCGTTTCCCTACCACCACGTAGGGGGCTCGGGAGGGCGTGTTTCCCTGCGATCGACAGGGACCCTTATCTTTGTCAACGAAAGCCGATGGCCGAAAGCAGGTCAGATCGACTTGCCCTGACTTTCTTGACCGAACATTGAGGCGTGCGGTGAACGCTCGGAGTGTCCTGATCGCCCGGTGAGAAAACTGGTGAGTAAGAGGTGGGCGTTTGGTGCTAGCGAAGGGCGGTTTTTCTTGCGGCCAAACATTTGCTTTCTCCTACTGAGTTTAAGACTGTTTAGCTCGGATCTCTCGATATCGGATGACTCCTTCAAAACCTACTAGACGTGACGAGTTTGCCATGCAGCGTCAGGAGCAAACCCGGGCAAACGAGAAAGCTATTTGCTACGCCGGAAGCGGGACAGGTTGACAATCTAGACAAGAGTCACCGACGCCTAGGACACTGTAAATGCGCCGTTGAGACTGCGGTGGCCTGTGTATAAATGTGCCTCCTCTCCACGCGATCTGAAGCTTTCCAGTCCCTTATACTCATAGAAACCAAGCAGTCTTTACTCCATCTCTTTTTCTTTTATCTTGCGCTGGTTACGAAACGGATTCAAACCCGTCCCGGCACACAAACTCGCGAAAGATAGTTTATCGATGGATATCCATTTATATATATCCCTACCGGTAAAGCGGGATGCGAAAAGTCCCGTATCGCAAAGGTCGCTGCTGGCCCTTCATGCTGCGAGTTTGACCACCCTACCACCATCTAGCCGAGGGTTTCTCGAGCCAACGCATAAAGCGCCCCGTGCCGTTAACCACGCTCCGGTGGGGGATCGAGCAGCTGGAGAGCCGGCTGGCTTCCTAGGATACTGGAGGAAACGCTCGTTCTGCAAACGATGGAATCTCGACACTGAGGCGCTGCACCGCGCCGCTTTTCTTTTCGCTCAAACTCCCAAGGCCACGGGGTGGCGTTGCCACAACTTCCATGGTGCCATCGCAGAAAAAGAAGACCATGGCACGACTTTTTGGGCATTGTTTGCGGGTAGGGGTAGCAGTAGTCCTCTACATTCACAGTCCCTAGATGATGTGCTATATGTCGCGGGCTCCTGCTGCCGCCCCGTAAGCAGGACAGAAAGTCAAACCCTAGGGCGGAGCTGTATTCACCAAAGAGGGCGGCTAGTCTACGCCTTGTGCTATGACACGATCCAAGTCCCGAAACCTGCCTTTTTGTTCGTTTTCGTTATATACTTGCCCCGATCACAACCGTGTCCGCGGCCTGAGAACCTTGATCACGACTAGCAATCTGATCAATTTGGGGCTCCCCTAACTATAGTTTGCGGGCGAATAGTTTCCCGCAGGATTCCAGCATAGAGTTTGCTCGGCGGAGGACATTAAAGTCACCATGGGTCTATAGCAGCGGGAATCGTTCATCTTCAAGGATTCGCCTTGTTTTCCCCGCGACCCAGACAATCCGGACGGCGTCGCTGAGAGGCTCCATCTTTCTGCCGTGCACTTCTGCGAGCCCTGTCTGGACTGCACACGGGGGCCTGCGTCGTGGTATGCTCCGACTCCACTCTCCGTCTCCGGACTTCGCTAATCAACTTGAGGTCATTTAGATTCCGAAAATATATAAGGTCTAGTCCCGCATGTCATGGTCTTTGGAAATCGGGTGACGCCAGAGTATCTGGCTCCTCGCGCTAACGGCACGCGCAGCCCTTCCGCGGAGGCTCGGTGGGAGTACCACTTTGTTAATCCGATGGTGGCGAATGTGCTCTCCACCATCGTTGACATGGTTCAGTGGGTGCCCGCCGGCGCAGCGGACGTGGCCGTTCAGACGCTCGTGGAGATTTAGTCTCTTCGATGTGTGGGGGATACAAGTCCCCTCTGGTCGCTGGTATGTTGTTGTCCTCCCTACCGAGCGCGTCCGTTCTCCGGCTGACTAGATTCTCATCAGCTTCCGAGCACGACCAGCTCGAACTTATCCCTCCCTGATAGAATCCTCGTCGCCTCGTCTCATCGTCTCCCCTCGCACTCGCTGCCGTCCATGTCATCCCATTTCCTACCGCCTTTGCTTGACGAGAAATCCCCACGTCCCTTTTTTCGCGTGTGTCAGGGGACCCGGGCCCACCACGCACCTGGCCCTCGGGCGGGTTGAAGCGCAACCTGTCTTGGGGCTGACTCTGGTTCTATCGACGAGACAGACAAAAAGAAAAGGCCGCCACCTTCACACTGGCAATAGTATAAATGGATTCCGCCCTGTGGGAGAGGCAGATTCCCGCAGACTGTGTCGCGTCGAGATATAATGGACCCTACGCAAATCCTGCGCGCCGCTGGCCGAGGAGAGGTTCGGCGCTCTATCGTCTTACCCCATCCAATCGTTAAGCAAGCGTTCTACGAGGCGATGGGGGTTTTCCGTATGGGCCTTTGCTGCCGTATCTGATTTATAGAGTCTAAAAAGTAGAGACGTTGAGAAAGTGGGACGCCTTTTAGACCCTTGCCGGGCCAGGTGAGGATGACCTCTTCAAGAGTGCGAGAGCTGACTCTGGGCCATGATCCTCAACTCGTCGCCAAGGATAACACAAAGGTGGCCGCGAGTGAAACGGCCCTAACGAGGCGAGCCATCTGGAAGAATTGGAATGGCTAAGAAAAGAAAAGGTCTATGCTCCATGGTGTGGATGGTCTCTCGGGCGGTCTCCCGGACAGCCTTTATATACGCGCCCGTTTCGGCGCCCTTGGAGACTGGTACACTTTTCTTCTCGGCAGGAAACGGGGTGTCTTCCCGCACGGTTCATAAGTGAATGGGACAGCAGAGAGCGAACACTGGCCTTTTTCCCGGTTTGGAGAGCTCAGCAAGATCCGAGTTCAGCTCGACGATTTCCCCGGCGGTGTACTCTCGCCCTTGTCCGCGTGGATACCAAATTTCCCCCTTCCCCACAGCGTCGAGCGAGGGTCAAAGAAAGGGATATACCCCTTACTATATATGGTTAGGAGAAACCAATTCACTATCCTTTTTCCCTCCACGGCTTTGGATATACGACGAAGGCTTGGCCGGGCCTCGGTAGGGACAAGAGAGCGAAGCCTAGCTTTACGGGTCCGCGCCGAAGGGAGGGAAGGCGTTCGACTGGCCCACCCGAATTCTCATCCCGAGGGACGGCGTGCCCAACTCTCACTCGACTGCTACCCGTCCGTTGGCGGATTACACCACGCGATAATGGCGCTCAATTACATTCCAGCTGATTGGGCGGCGTGGGGTTTCCGACCGGCCAGTACCCAAGTTCCTTAGCGGTGGCCTTGAAAACCTAGCTCGCCTTGGCTAAGATAAAACCCTACAGCCACCCCACACCATCGGGGCTCTCGGCTGCCGTTCTTCCGGGTCAAAGCGGTGTCGAGGCATTATATACGTCACAGAATGTCCTCTGTGATCAGTTATGGTGGTGAACTTCCGCCTCCATAAGAGTGTCTACCTAAAGATGTGGGACGACGGCCATCGGAGGATTACGAATTCTGGGCGGCACAAGGCGGCGGCTTGCAGTCTGCCCCCGGTCTCTCGCTGTGAAGCAGGTTTTGGGAATGCTGGGTACGGCTTAGGCTTTGAACTTGCTGCGGGACCTTTTGGCGCCCTTTCCTCTAGTGTATAAGGGCATGCGTAAGAGCCTCTTCAGAGCTAGGCCAGCTGCTAGCGAGTATTGAAGGGGGCGGGATTGGCTTTCCTGAAGAGAGCCGAGACGCGAGGGCAAACGTCGCCATGCGGCACCTGTGGCAAGCACTCTCTCCCTTGGGTAAATCGGAGTGTGGCGGATAAAACGCTCAAAGAACGCACGGAAAATCGAGTAAACAGAGAGGATGGGGGGCAGAAGGGGGTGGGCAGAAGGGGGTGGGCACTGGTTATCCGTGGCTTGATTCCGTCCTACGACAACGGCATGGAGTAGCATCTCTGCAGTATATCGTATATAAAGAGGCACGGCATACTGCCTTGGCCGCGTCGCTTGCGTTCTGGATCATTGGCCCAGACACTTCAGCGCCGGGCTGGGCAATTCCTCGACTTTTCACCTCGTTGACTTGCCTGGTGGACCGGGGAAACGTCCTCTTTGGCAATAGATTGCAAAGGCAGCCGACCTTTGGGCCGTGAGTATCACATCCTCCCCCTTTCTCTTTTAGCTGCGTCCAACTCTCTTAACTAACAAGCTTTTGTAAAGAACACTTAGAAGTTGCACTGGTGATACTGAGGCCATGACCTCACCCTGTCTCCTCTGACGCTGACTCAAGTCAGCCCTCCCAAGCCCGATGCGGTTTGCTTCACACCTGCCTAGGCCACCATGCCGCCAGCCTCAAGCGGGACAGGAGCAGGACCAACTGACCCGAGAATCGCTTCCGGTTAATGGCCCAGGCGAATGCTGCGTTTGGGTGTGTGGTGCTCCCTGACAACCCTGCCGGGGCCTCTCAACTTCGGCTCCGAAGAACCCGGTCGCTTCCACAAAATATTGAAGAAAGGGCCTCGGTGCCGGGGCGCAGGCAGATGTACGAAGATGTCGACGCGTGGGGACTAGTTTCGAGCGTAGCATTTCACGGCGTCAACGGGCCATTTTCCCCAACCGCACTCTTCCCTGCAGGGCCTGCCCGTGTTTTGCGACGAGCTTGGCTTTATATACCCGCACAGCTCTCCTACCGCCGGAAACCTCGTGCGATGGCGTGCCGCGTTGGGTTTCCTTAAGGGGAGGAATAGCTAAGCTTATGTCTATGTGGGAAAAGCAGGCGAACGGGCGGGTTTCCCTGTTTACGATTAAATATCAAGCGGAGTGGCAATTGCTTCCGACTTGGCCGGTCTTTTGTCCCCTTTTTTCTCAAGCTCAACGTAAAGCTACGGTCCAAAAGGAAAAAAAGAAAAAGCCAAAGCAACGAAACCGAAACTGGTCTGGGCTTTTCCAACCCTCACTCTCCAACCTACAGAGAGGGCTGGGGATACTGACCCCATCAAAGCGCTTCTAGATACACGCATTCGTCGGCCAGAGTATGAGTGAACAAGCCCTTGGATTTGCTTTCACATATATATATACATCAACGACCTACAAACGAGAGCCGCATCCAGCATCCCAGAGAGCCGGAGGACGCGCCATGTCTCAATGGGATGGCAAGCCATAGATCAGGGCATCAGATTGTCTTGTGTTCCTGTCCCCCAGTTCCCCCGTTTGGCGGGCGCAACAAAAGGCTATATGCCCGTGGCGGGTCGCGGGTCTTTTTCTCCCTCTTCTCCATATGGCTGACGCATACCAAAACGCCTTCTCTTTCGTTGCTCTCGTGCGCAGTTGGACAGCAGCACCCCAAAGATGGCGACGAGGAATTCGACAGAGAACAGCTGCGGGCCATGCTCAGATCTCAGGAAACGTCATGGTCATCTCCACAGGAAACAAACATGGCGGTGCATCCTCAGCTAAGGAATTCCGTGTCGCTGCCGTGGCCGTTATAGAGGGGCGGGCACATTTGACGATATCACGTACCTGGCATCCTTTGAGCCAAAATTACCCATATATGTCACCCTCGGGGCAGCCAACGAGTTTCCAGATTGAACAAGCTTGCGAGCATATCCCTGTAATGTGCGTGCCCTCGTTTGGGGAAGAACAGCGACCATCATCGGATCTTCAATACACGCCACCACACCTCGACGAGCAAGACAAGCAAGACGAGACCCAAAATCAATGGGTCGAAGGAAGAACTGGACAGAGATGCAAAAACAGCTTGTGATGAGCACCGACTTGGTAACACGCTGGGCCAAGACCCGGCCAAGTATGATGGACCCTATCCAGTTCCCTTTGAAGCTTTCTCAATCCTATTCTATGTCTTTTTCCATGTACTCCCCTTTGGTCTGTCTCCTTGACAGACAGTGTTCAAGATTCCAGTGAGGATAAAGCCTCTAATTGATCTATATCATAGACAAACTCCACCCCAATAAATCCATAGATGTGAAGGGCTTCTTCATAAAGACAGTCAGTATATCAAAGCAGATACCTCCCTAAAGTTTCCAAGTGAAGTTGTCTCCCTCCATCAGGCTTGCCCCCAGGTTCCTTCCTGGTCTGCAAATTCACCAAGATCGGCCCCGGGGCCACCCGGAGCACATCCGGCGCACACCCCGGGGCCACCCCCTTCCCTTCGACTGGTCCAAGGTCAAAGCCCTCCTCCTCCTGAACTGGCATCACCAGCGCGATTTCCTGGCCTCAACTCTCCTTCTAATGAAGAAGGAACCTCCCCTAATAGCCCACCAGCCCTAACCAGCCTTCCTTCTGTTTCTAATCCCTCCCACAAAAAGAAATCTCCTCCCTTTCTTCTCCCCTTGACAACAAACCATCTTCCCCATCCTCCCTCAGAAACACCAACTCTCTTCAACAATACTTTGACACTCAGAGTCAAAGTATTCAACCTCTTGCCATATCTTCATCCGAGTCCAGTCCTAGACTGCCTCAAACAAAAACCCCCTGTTTCCAGCTTCCCCATCTTTGGCATCTCGACCATAGAAAGGTACCCTAGACACTCGTCCCGAACCACCAGACGCGTCTCTAGCCATGTAAGCATCATCAAACCTGTCATGTCCATCGACATATGCTCGCTTCCCCATCTCTCTTCAGACCATCTAACACCGTTCTTAGACTTTCTCAAGTTGCCCAAGAGCTCACTCCTAGAATTCAGAGCGACGAGCCTCAAAGCCAAAGCCGCTCTTATCCCCTGGGCAATTTCAAACCCCCACCCCTTCCCCATTCCCATACCCAAGAATACTCCCGGTAAGCGACATCAAGACCGTCAAGATGAGCCGCCGCATCAAGTCCCTCCCGTACGCCGATCGGGACCCTTCCGCTCCCCTGCCTCGCCCGTCTCTCCCGTCGCGTCGCCCCCTCCTCTGGCCGCCATCCCTACTATGCCCGACGTTCCCGTCGCTTCGCCCATTGCCCCTCTTCCCTCCATGTTCTCTAGACCATGGACCATGCAAATACAGGGCCCATCTTCCCCATGCCGGCGCCCATTTCGGGGCCCAAGCCCAAGCCGATGCTCGCACAGAGCTTGCCCCCGAGGTTGGGGCCATGCCTGCTACCGAGGCCGACTCCCTCAGCGAAGGGGATCTCAGACTGGCAAAAGGATCGTCGCGGCCTGGTTGGCTGCTCTTTCTGACAAGGCTTCCAATAACGGAAGCGAACCTGATGTAAGTTTATTAGCTAAATCGTCTTTTTTCTTTTCTTTGCTACGGTACAAGGGCAGTTGCTTGAACTTGTAGAAACAGCAAAACTTGTACTCGGAAGCTAACCTGTCAATCTCTCGTTTCCCATTCCAGGAACAGCGTCCCGACGGATCAAATCTGGCGGCTGGCGGAAACAACATGGGTTTCCCCTTCTTTGAAAATAGCAGCCCCCAGTCCAGCGGGTCCGGGGGCCCCGGCGGCGGCGTTAGACTGACTGGAAACGCCTCGTCCATTTACGGTAAGTTTCTCTGGCAGCCCTTTGCTCCCCATGTTAGCAGGGCATGACATGGGCATAAACGAAGAATAAGAAAAAGAAACGTCACTAACTATTTAACAGGATTCGACATCTTGAACCCTAGTGGTGGTAGCCGCATCGTCCCTTACCCTAGCCAGGACGACTACAACCCCTACGGCCAGCGCGACCAAGAGGCCCCGTCCATGTCCGGACGCAGCGCGGGCAGCATCCCCGACGCCAATCGCTTCCAGGCTCGCCTGGGCTACTTCACCTCGTACATGGGTCCTGAGGCCTTCCTCGACTGGGACATCAACGAAGAGTCCTCCTCCGGCGAAGTCGAATCCGCGTCCGACCCCGAGCCCAACCCCAACCCCAACCCCGGGCCCGCGCGATCCCAGCAGGGCCACATCCGCGTCACCCGCTCAGAGACCAAGGCCCTCATCAAGCTCGCGATGGGCCGCACGTCGCAAGTCATCTTCCGCGACAACACCGGCGCGCCCCTGCTCATGTGGGACTTTGCAGACCATTCTTGGCAGTTTTATCCCGCGCTCACTCTCGCGGACGACATCCTCAAGTCGGAGAGCCGCTACGACTCCTCCGAGATTGAAAGTGCCGACGCTGCCATCAACGACGATGACGACAATGACGAGGAGGACGACAACGACAACGAGTCGGTGTCCTCTTCACAACGCGAGGCCGTCGCTCGCGTCAGCGCCTTTGCTGCTTCGGTTTTCCACGCCATCCAAATGGAGCAGGAGCAACCCGCGGAGGGCGATCGCGAAAGCTCGGTGGCTCGGTCTGAGTGCTCCAGTGACGAGGTGGAGATCTTGGGCTTCACCTCGCGCCGCCGGCGCTAAAAGAACTACACTATTTCGTGTAGTCATGTTGATGTTCGGGGGTTTCGAAGGCACGCACGCGCACACGAACGCCTACACTCCCCACTGGGAAACGCGTCTGCCTTCCAAGTTTCCAAACCCCCGATATCAACACACTGGTGACGCTCGAGAAGGCGTACCCGACCATCAAGTCGTTTCTGTTTTCCCAAGTATTTTCAACCCACTTTGTAAGAGAGTCTCCTGTCCTCCTTCCCTCTTTGCAGCAACACTTTCAAAAACCACAACATTCTCTTATTCATCTTCTGATTCATTAAACACAGTCACCTATCACTTCAGGGCTTTCCCACACAAAAACACCTATTTAGCATCGTTTTTATTTTCCTTGTGTTCGTCTTTCTTCCTTCAACACCACACTAGTTCTGTGCCTTTTTCCAACAGCCACTTCAACTTGGTCTGGTCTCGTTTCGTTCCATCGTATTTCCCATCACGATTCTTTATTCTTCACTATCCCTTGTCAAGCCCATAGTTTCAAACCCTCCCTGTCATGGGAAACAATCTTTCTCGTGGTCCTTCAATAAGCATCCTTGATCTGCGTGTGTTGGGAGTTCTAGACCAAACGCCCCGCAACCGTTACCAAGCTTCGACTCCCCGACGCCAACTCTACGGAGAGGCCGCAGTCCCTCTTGCTCACCCGTTTACTCAAAGGCTAGGTTCTACTGCCGAAGTCCTCTCCATGAAGAGCAACGACCGTCAGGGCCGCAGGCCTTCGAAAGGCATAAGGCTCGCTACCCCTGAAGAGGCTGTCAGCCTTTACCATTCGCATCAAGCAGAACTTGCTAGTGCTCTTGCTGCTGCAGCTTCGCAGCAGCAGCAGGAGCAAGAGCAGCAAGAGGGGCAGCAACCTGCTAATCAGAGTGCCGAGGCAGAGCAAGCCGATGCAAACTCTGCCAGTGATCTCAGCCAGGCATCCCAGAATGCCACTCAGGGAAGCAGCCAGCAGAATGGCGGCCAAGGTAACAACTCCCAGGGTGCCCCAGCGGGACAAGCCGGGAGCGGTAGCAATACATTGCAAAACTCCTTGGTGCAGAATGGCTCTGGCTCTGGCTCTGGCTCTGGCCCAAACTTGAATCTTGGGCCGTCTGCGGGTTATCACGGCCCCGTCCATTACTCTACCATCATTGATACCCCTCTCCACCCCTCTCACCCCTCTCACCCTGAAAGCGCGAGTGAAGGCTTGGTCCTCGGCTATCAAACTCACAAGCAAGGGATCCCTCCCCAGTACAGTATCTACCACGGGGGCCGCAGGATACCCTTGTTCATTAGCCTTCAAAACGGCCATTCGATGAGCGCGTATCCCATCATTCGAAACAGGGCTGAGTACCCCTGTGAGAACCCCCTCGCCGAGATGAACCCGCGAGCAGCCCGCGACCAGTCACGCGCCCAGACCATCCTCGGTTGAGCGGTCCTGCGCAGAGTAGACAGCCCCCTCCCAACAACGCGGAGTATTGGTCCAGCCTGCAAGGGCGATGCCAGATCGCCGGCCAGAGAGTCCTCGAGGATCGAGCCAGGATCCCCCTCCCCCAGCTGGGCCAACGACCCGAACCCTGCCATTTTCTTCAGTCCCACCATGGGGGCTGTCGTGACGGTCAACGTGCAGGCAACCCCCGGCTGAACAAGAGCAGCAGAGCGGCGTCCTGGGCAGCATCACGCGGTTCATCACCCAGCCTCATCCAGGACGTGATCGGCCCAGAGGTCGAATTAATCGCCCCGCCACTCCGTATCCGAAGAGGCTCCCGCCCCTCAGGAACTATTCCGACGGCGAGCTTCCGCGTCGAGAATATAATATTCTCGTCACGGGAGATCGCCGCGTCGGCGTCACATCGTTCTTGCTGTAAGTTCTACCCTTTTTTTCTTTTCTTCTTTTCTTTCTCTTTTCTTCCTTCCCTTAATTACCGATTGAGGTTGACCAACTGTTGATACAGCACGCAAGTGAATGGTCGCTCTTCGACGGCCACGAACTACGTAAGTCCCTTTTCCTTTCCTCTTCCAACAAGAATTCCAACCGTGTGCCCCGAAAAAAACGTAGCGCTAACCGTGTCCATCTTTTTATTTAGTTGAAGCCCGCAAACTGCTGGCGGAAGATCTTCCGCCAAGTCAAGTATACGACGCACGTGGTCGTCAACAAGAAGAAGATCAAGGTTGTCTTTTGGGACATCCCCGTCGCCAGCCTTGACAAGATGCATCTTACCAACGATGCTGGTTGGGATGGCGCCATTTTGTGCGGCGACGTGGGTCGTTTCGAGACCTTCAAGCCGTTGGCGACTGGGTTAGTACCAAGCTTCTTGCCCCTTACCTTTCCCCTTCCCCTTCCCCAAGGAAAAATTTGAAGAACACAAACAAAGGCCCAGCTCTGGAGAAGAGGTGAACACTGGCTGACGTACCACCTTTTTCAAATATAGTGGAAGACCAATCGCGGCAGTGTCAAAGCCGCTGTTCCGGGGTCCTTGCCCGCCCAGGTCGTCGGGCTCAAGGGCGACACCTTGAGAACGTATGGCCAGCACGTGGCCAACGAAGAGCTCGCGTATTTGAGCGAGACCTGTGCCGACGCCAAGTATATCACGGTCTCCTCCAAGCTCAATGACAACGTTCGGGAGTCGTTTGACGCGCTTCTTGAGCTAATCCACAAAGAGCGTCGGAATTAGATCGTGGCGGCCGCGGGCTCAATCTTTTCATCCTCCATTGAGCCTTGCTTCGGTGCCCACCTTCTAGCTCCGGGCGTGGATGCTCCAAGAACCGCACCAACGATTGAGGGTTGCTCTTGGCGTCTTTTTTCCTTTTCTCTTTCTTTCTTTTTATTTCTTTATTTCCTGTTTTTTTTCATTTGTTTTGTTATTTCCTTTTGCTTGATTTTCCCTCTCACGAGGTTGATCGTTTGCGGGCTTCCGGGTCCTCAGACGTGTATTATTATTAACGTCAGCATTTTTCTCATTTGCTTTCCCCCGGGTACGGCAATGGGTAAAGTGTTGTACGATTCCACTTTGCTTTCTTTCCTTTGTTTTTGTTTTTCTTTTTCCATTTGTCTGTTATTTTCTTTTCTTTTCTTTTCTTTTTCTTTGTGTATTTTCCGCAGGCGTTAAGGAGCATGAGGGACAAATGGTATACATACGGAAACCAAATGCATAGTTAGAGGGCCATATGGACCAAAACTGCTCACGACTGCCATGATAAGACGGAATAGTTTTGTTTTTATTTTTATTTTATGTACGCGTCTCGTTTACAAAAATAATAAAGCAATTCGTTGCCCCAAAACTGCGCTGTGAGAACAAGAGGCACTCGCGATTACAACTGTGATACTTCCTTCCACAAGAGGTGTCGTTGAAAGTGGGTTCTCATGAGGCGACCAAGAACGTACCCCCGCGGGTGTCCGCATCAACCCATTTTCCCTTCCAGCGATAGGCTTATCTAATCCGCCACCTTGCGCCCAAAACGCTCCCATGTGCACCATCCGAGAAGCTCCGTCATCAAGAGCTGCATCTACAGTTGCGAATCGCAATCTCAAGACAAACGCTTTGTATCCTTCAACCGACGTGCCCCCCTTCCTCTCCCCTTTAAACCCCGACCACCAGAAACAGCCCCTCTGTTCCAAGGTCGAAAGGGAAAACAAAAGGAGTAGACCTACAACCCGGGGAAAGAGAGAGAGAGGGAGCGTACGAAAGAAAAGAGAAGAAAAAACCACCACTCACCCACCATGGACCCTCCCCCTCCTCCTCACCATCCGCTTCTCCGCCTCCCACCCCGACCTCCCCCTCGACATCCCCTCCCCCTCCACAACCCCCTCGCCGCCCTCAAGCTCCTCATCCGTGCCGCCCTCCCCGCCCTCACCCGCCGCCGCCTCCGCTTCATCCACCAGGGCCGCATCCTCTCTCCGGACGATGCCTCCCTCGCCGCCGTCCTCGACCCCGCGGCAAGGGAAAAGCCCCGCTCGCCGAACGCCTCTTTCTCAACTGCTCCATTGGCGACGTCCTCCCTCGCGCGGACCTAGACGAGGAGGAGCGCGTGGCGAAGCTACCCCCAGCGATGCCCCTCCCATCCTTCTTCTTCTTCCTCTTCGTCTGCCGCGGCCGCCGGTTCCTCTACCACGGGAAGCCGAAGAACTCGCGGAACGCCCGGCGCACATCAGACAGAGACAACCAGGCGGAGACGGGGCTTCGACCGACTCCTCGACGCCGGCTTCTCCGCCGCCGAAGTAAACCAGCTCAGGCTCCAGTTCCGCTCCATCCACGAGGCCCGGCACACCCCGATACCATGCCCGGCCCCGACGTCCTCCAAGACCTCGAAGACGCCTGGATCGACGACAACGGCGCCGGTGGTGCCGGCGGGGCTGCCGACGACGCGGCGGGCGACGAGGCCGGCGCAGGCGCGGGCGGAACGGCCATTGGCGACCTGCTCGACGTGTTTATCCAGGGCATTGTCGTTGGCTTCTTCTTACCTCTTGCTAGCATGACGTGGCTCCTGAGAGAGGAGGGCATGTGGTCCAAGAGACGCCAGGTCGCTGTTCTCTTTGGCGTCATGGTTAGTGTTATTATCGGGCTCTTTAAAGCCATTACGGGCGATGTCGATTAAGCCGTCTTCTCGCATTATTTTTGGGGGAATTCTTTTAGGATATTCATTCTTCGTTGGAAGGGCCGACGATCAGACGATTGTTGTAGGACTATAGAGGGCGGTTGGCTTGACTTTATGAGTGTAGTAAAGGTCCGCTACACCTTTTTTTAATTTTTGTACGATTTACGGGCAAGGAAATAACATCATGATGGGACTTCATAAATATACCACAAAGGAAACCGGTGTTTTCAATCATAATTATCGCATAATCTTTTTTTTTCCCTCATGAACTTTGCCAACAACGTACGTCCCTGGCTGTTGTCCCTTCTCCTCCAGCGCTCGCTTGATTCAATTAATTTGCCCAAAACGGCGTCGACCCGATGCACATATGTCTTGGTGTTTTGAGACCCACCAAATAACGAACAAAAAGAGGCAAGGTGCCAGAGTGGTTAATGGGTGTGACTAGAAATCACATGGCTTCGGCCGCATAGGTTCAAATCCTGTCCTTGTCGAAAATCTTCTTTTTTTCTTCGCTTATCCCATAAACCTCACCCCCACGAAATGTATTAACGAATGCTACGTACGCGCATCTCCCTTCTTTTATTTTTTTATTTTTTACACTTAGATAAAAATGGCATACACGAGGTCAGTTCCGCATCAAAGTGAAAATGTAAAAAAAAAATCGTCATGAAAAAGGTATCACGAATAAACTCCCTCGGGTGCCAATCGAGTCCATGCATGTTCCCATAGTCCCTTCTCCGAAATCTTCCACACCTGGCATCCTTCTTTTTTGGTCCTTCACTCTTCGTCTTATGATGCTTCGCCCTAAAGGCAAGCTGCGTTTTATACACACAAATTCATCCAGGCCGTCCGGCCGATGTAGCCGCATCTTTCCTCCTCGACCGTCATATGCTCTTCTTCACTCTCCCACCTAATCAACTCCCCCATCGCCTTACAGGTACAAGCTCTGGGCCGCGACAATGTCACGTCGGATCTTGTTCAAACTCTCCTCAAACTTGGCCGTGAGCTCCTCGCTACCCATCACCTTTCCAGCCTGGGCCATTTGTCGCAGAAGCTCTTCGAGCCGTCGGAAGTGCCTGATAATGGAGCCTTCGTAGACATCCGCCATTTTACTGTGTTAAGGGAAAGGTAGAGTACCACGTTAGCAATGTTCTCAAGTAGCATAGAGTCATAAGGAAGAGAGATTAAAAAAAAAAAAAAAAAAAGACTTACCAAATTTCAACAAAGGGCTTGCCCTGCGCCCAAGCATAGACCAGGTCCATGAGCTGCCACTTGAGTTTCTCCACGTACGCATCCTCGTCCACGTCCAGCTTGCTCTCCTGGCTCACACGCGCAACGATGCGCGCCTTGGCCACCACCTCGCGGTACGGCTTGGCCAGCGCCTCCTTGAGCGCCGGCGCGTTGACCTTTTCGTCAAAGACGAAGCAGCTCAGCACCGACGCGCACATCTCGGGCGTCATCTCGTTGAAGAAGCGCTCAAACAGGAGCTCCGAGAGGAGAAGCTCGTGGCCTTCGGTAGACGAGATCTCGCACGCCACCCGCGCCTTGAGCTGCACCACCTCAGCCTCGTTGATGAAGCCCAGGCGGCGGAGCACCCGCTTACGCGACTTGAGCTCGTCCATCTGCACAATGTTGTGCGCCTTGGCAATGGCCGCCTTGGTCTCCTTGACCTTTTCCGAGAGCTTGAGCTTCTGCCGGTACAGCTCCCACAGCCGCGGCAGCTCGGGGAGCCGTGCAGCGGGTTCGACAGGAGTCGCGCCTCGAGCACCTCGATCTTGCGAAGAAGCTGCTTGAAGCTGTCGTCCGTGATGCCCATGTTCTCCAGCGGGTCGAGGATGGGCACGCCGTCGGGGAACCGCCTCTGAACCTCGTTGAGCGCCTTGCGGAGGTTCGCCCTCTCGCTCGGCGAGTCAATGTTCTTGGGAACAAAGAGCCGGATCTGGCTAAAAGACTGGATGCACGTGAGGAGACACGGTATCCGCTCGAATCGCGTCTTCTCGCCGGGGCGTTCCGGCAAAACGTTCTTGGGCAGCGCCAGGTCTCCGCTGGGAAAGGCAAAGTTGGTATCGGTATCGGCCGGCACGTTGACGAGGATGTCGAGAAGCTTCGACTGCTGGGCGGGATAGTCGTCTTCCGTGTTCTTGCTGCGATGACGATCGGTGGAACGGACGATAATGCCCCACCCGTAGTCGCGCGTCTCGAGGATGTCGCCCTCGTCGCCGGTGAATCGGGGATCGTATACCCGTACGATGCGGCCCGGCTGCAGGAACTCGGCGCAGTTGGCGGGGTGCTGGATGACCCAGCGCATGTCTTGCGTATACGAGTTGATCTGCTTGCGCAGGTTGTAGTACTCCTTCATGCTCGACTCGTCCGGGATCAGCAGGCCGTCCCGGTCCACCTGCAGCGAGACGAGCTGCCTCTCCAAGGTAGGGACGCTCGCCGCATTTTGGAACTGGAAGAAGCAGCGCTCCAGCATATACTCGGGGAGACGGCCTCAATACGGAGGAGGTTCAGCACCATGTTGTAGCCGAGGTAAAGGCCGAGTTGAGCCGCTCCTGCTCGCCCACGACAATCTCCCTGGCGACCTCGGGCTCCATGGACTCGTCAATCATCATGATGACGATACCTCGCGCGTCGAGACCGCGACGACCGGCACGACCCGACATTTGCACGTATTCACCGGGTGTGAGCGGGCGCCTCTTAATGCCGTCCCACTTGGTGACTTGCGTAAACACGACCGTCTTCGCAGGCATGTTGAGTCCGATGGAAAAGGTCTCGGTGGCAAAGAGAACCTTGACGAGGGATTCCTGGAACAGGATCTCAATCGTCTCCTTGAGGATGGGGAGCAGGCCCGAGTGATGCACGCCGATGCCGCGCTCCAAAAGCGGGAGCAGGTTGGCGATCTGGGGAGGTCGCGGTCGGCCTCGGCCAAGCTCTGGACGGCGTTGGAGAAGACGCGCTGGACCATCTTCTTCTCGGAATCGTTGTTGAAACAAATGTTGGAAATGGAAAGCGCCAGGTTTTCGCATTCGCGTTTGCTAAAGCTGAAGACGATGACCGGGTCAAACTTTTGCGGATAATCATCTTGATGACCTTGCTAATGTCAGATTTGGAGTCGGCCACCTCGTTGCGGCCGCCCTTCTTGCCCTTGCCCTTGCCCTTGGCGCCGGGCCGCTCCTCCGAGTCCTTCTTCTTCTGCTCCACGAGGGCCATGGCCTTGTTGAAGTTTTGCTCCTTGAAGTTCCTCTTCTCGTCGACAACGAGATAGATGCCGTCGTGGCCGGCGGGGAAAAGTAGTTTTGCAGCGGCGTCGGTCGGAAGTCGGTGTACACGACGTGGCACGCCTGGTGGTGAATCTTGGCGATCCACTCGGCGAACTGGAAAGCGTTGGGGATGGTGGCGGAGAGAAAAACGTAGCGGACCTTGTCCGGGAGCAGGATAATGGTCTCCTCCCACACCACGCCTCTCGTCTTCTCGCGGAGGTAGTGCACCTCGTCGAACACGACCCAGGCCACCTCGCGCATAATCTCGGAGCCCCGGTACAGCATAGAGCGCAGAATCTCCGTCGTCATGACGAGGCACGACGCCGTAGGGTTGATGGTGATGTCGCCCGTCATCAGGCCCACGTCGCCAAAGACGGCGTCGAAGTCGCGGTACTTTTGGTTGCTCAGCGCCTTGATCGGGCTCGTGTAGATGACGCGCTGGTTCCGCTTCAGGCACTGCGCGATGGCGTACTCGGCCACCACCGTCTTGCCGGCCGACGTGTGCGCCGACACCAAGACGCTCTCGTCCCGCTCGATCGACGCCACCGCCAGGCTCTGGAACGGGTCCAGCTTGAAGCCAAACGTCCGCGCCGGCTCCGCGGGCGGCCTGTGCTCGGACAAGGGCACGTATTCGTAGTCGAGATCGGGCGGCAGGGCGACCTGGTGCTGGATGTTGTGGGACAGCACCAGCGACGACTCGCCCTCGCCGCCCTCGTCCATCACGAGGGACGGCGCCCCCGCCACCTCGCGCGAGGCGGCCGTCTCAAACGTGTCCGTCAGCACCGGCTTCTCCCTTGCGTCTTGAGTCGCTTCTCGTCGTGCTCGTCCGACGCTGGCGTGCTATCGCTGTCTTCTTTTTCGGCGGGCTGCCTCGTTCGTCGGGCTTCTTCTGGGTGGTGGTGCCGTTCTTGATGGCGTCGGCCTTTCGCTTCTTGCTCTGCGCGGCGATGGCTAGGTCGACGGATTCGGATTCGCTGTCCGACTGAGGCTGGGCCTCAAAAACGTCGAAGAGGTCATCCATCTGGGGCGAAAATGACAAACAGATGGGATGGGGAATTCGTCGTGGTGACGTAGGAATTATTTTGTTCTCCCTTTTTTTCGTTTCCCTTTTCATCAAAGGCCAAAGGAATAAAAAAATAAAAAAGTTGGATGAAGCTCGCTTGGGAAGGCGCTAGGTGGGACGGAGTGGGCGGGCAGAACTTTCAAATTCAACGCAGAGAGTGGCTAACTAGGAAGGCGGTGGGCAACTACGGAGTTTATGCGAACATTTGCCAGGCTTTCAAGGCAAGGAGCATTGTTGGATTGCACCACAAAATCATCATCACGATCTTGGAATGGCTCTAATTGGAGTCGAGGATATCGCTTAATAACGAAAAGGGGAGGCAAATAAAAACCAAGATTGATTCTTGTTACCGAGGCGAAGCCACTTGTACATTTGCTAAAGGTTCAAGTCGCTCCCGGGAATTTTAAGAACGAAGGAGTATTCCCAGGTCTCTGCAGTTCATGCAAGTGAAAAACCCACCCTAGAATTCAAAGACGGAAAAGATATAACAATTGTCTCCGGAATGTTAAACTCAATTGTCCTCGAAACTGTCAGAACTTCTTAAGAAGCGAAGGGTGAGAAGCAACCTCTTCGTAAACACAAATAGAGGGACTCAAGATACACGTAAACTCTACTTGCCACTAGCGACGAGTCCTTTGATATTGTCATTTAACGGCTCTCGACCGTCATCGGAACAAGCCAACACCTTGATAGTCGCCGCCTCCAGGACCAACTTCTATCCCTTACACGTCACACAAGAATCACGTTCCACTCAATTACTTCACTCAAACGAGCTTTTGTGCAATAAACCTCTTCTTAAATTGTAAATACTAGTGCTCTCTGCTTTTGTCACTATCCAACCCCTCCCATCAAGTGTTCAAGCCAACGTGGGATATCTACACGCAACACATGATATAAAAAAATCCAAAAAAGTAAAAAATAAAAAGAATATAATAATACAAAGGGAAAATAAAGATTATGTCAAGAATGTAAAAATGGTTGTGTTTTGCTGCTCTCTCTCTCCTCCCCATCTCTCTCACTCCAGCTTTACAGCACAAGTGCCAAAGCCGCAAGCGAAAGCGCCAATAGGCTTCCGCGGAGCTGAGTCGATCCCGCAATCTGCAAAGGCGTCGAGGCAGCAGCGCCAGCATTGACGGCGCTAGGACCCGCACCCGCAACGTTGGTAGTGATGGTCGAGAGGCCAATAGGAGGAGCATCGGCGTCGGAGCCACCGGCGGCAGCCTCCGCGACGAGCGCCGCGCTCGGGACGGAACCAGGCACGACGCTCGCGGTACCTAGGCCGAGAGGCGGGGAACCAGCCGAGTCGCCGCCCACGGCCGCGGCATTGCCGGGCGTGGGAGCGGCACCGGAGGAGATGGTCAGGGTGGCGAGGCCGAGAGGCGCGGATTCGAGAACAGCACCGGCACCACCAGTAGCGGCCTCGGACGACGCCGAGTCGCTAGCGCTACCAGAGGCACTAGCGTCATCGGCGCTGGCGGCGGCGGTCGTGGTGGTGGCAGCGGAGCTGGCGCCAGCGGGATCCCGGGTGATGAACCCGAAGCCGGGGGTAGGGAGGGGATCCCTAGTGAGGGTACCGAAACCCACAGGAGGCGCCTCGGAGACGGTGAAGGCGGCAGTAGGGTCCACGGTCACAGTGGCAGTGGCGGTCTCCTGGACGACTTCGGTCCCCGAGGCGACGGGAATCTCACGCGTGTTGGTGACGGAGGTGGGCACGAGGGAGTGGCGTCGGTGACGCGGCCGAAGCAGGCGGCGGAGCGGGTGGCGGCGGGCGGGCAGACGGTGGCCTCGTAGGTAACGGTAGAGCGAAGCTCAGCGGGGCATACGACGGCGGCGGTGGCGCAGGCCACGGCGGTGAGCTGGGCAACGACGCCCTCGGTGCGCTTAGCGAGGACGACGGGGGTAGGCACGGTCTCGGTCCTCTGGACGGTTCTCGTGATGTGGATGGTGGTGACGGGATCAACGACCACCACATCCGGCGGCAGGGACACGCCGGGAGCCACGGCCGAGGCAATGGCCGAAGCTGGGTCGGACACGAGAGCGCCGTCCGAGGAGGAGGCGGGGGCGGCGGGGGCGACGGCGCACGAGCTCGCGGTGGGCAAGGGGTGACGCGGACGGCGGGCTGCTGGCCCAGAGGCACGAGGCAGGCGGTGGGGATGGGAAGAGCAAAGAGGGTGGTGGTGACGGTGGGCTCGATGCCGAAGAACTCGTCGGCAAAGGAGGCGCCGATGCGGGCAAAAGCACCGACGTTGACATTGAGCTCGGCGCCGGCCTCGAGAGCGCACGAGTTGGAGGGGCGAGGTTGCCGTTGAATTCGAAGACGTTGATGAAGGCGCCAACCTCGGCACCGGCACCGATGACGGGAAGGTCAATGAGGGGATGTCGATGTCGCCGACGACGGGGAGAGAGACGCCTTGGTCCGTTCCGGCAGCGAGACCCAGGAAGCGCGGAGCTGAAGGGCGATCTTGATCTCGGCGGCGCTGGTATCGCGGTTGATGGTGATGGGGAGGACCTTGGAGACGACGCCAGTGCTACACGTTTAAAATTAGCCATCTGCGCAGCCAAGCATCACAAGACATGTGGGACGACAAAGAAAAAGAAAACAAAAGATAGAAGGTGGCAGGCATGCGTTGATGGGAACTTACAAATCCTCAGAGTGAAGCCCCTCCTCGGTGATGTCAATCTCGAAGAAGGAGCCATCGGGGATCTTAAAGTAGAATCCACCGCTCATGTCCACCTCGCCCGAAAGCTCGAACTGGAGGACGAGGTCGACGAAGAGGCCCGCCTTGAAGCCGGGGAGGGCAATGTTGGCAACGCCGGGGGCAGCTTGAAGAAGGGGATCTCAAAGTTGGTCTCGGCGGAGACGACGACATCGAGCTCGACAAGGGCCTCGACACCAGTGAGGTCGATGCGGAACTTGGGGTTGACAATGTCGGTCAGGTCCGAGGGAAAGGTAGCGTCAACGCTACCCTTGGAACAGCAATTCCTGCAGACAACCTCGATAGAGGGACCGGGGAAGAGAGTGATGTCGGAGCTAGATAAGAAGCAACACAGATTAACAAACATAGCTCTGTTATAACGCAGCTCACCCTCTCACTTGTTTGATCAAGCAAAAGGTGGGACAAGTCATCAGTTTGTACATACCTGTTGAACAGTGGCTCGTTCTCGAGGGTCTGCTCGAAGCTGATAGACCGGGTATCAGTCCTCGCCACAAGCCCATTGCGCCTCACCATAGGCGCACCCGGCTCCCTCGAGACGAGCGGTCCACTGCGCACAACCTTGGCCCCAGCACCGTACATCTTTCCGTCCGGACGAGGAGCGGAAGGGCTGGCAAGAGCCAGCGGCGCGATCAAGCACGCCGCGAAGAGTGAAGCCCAGCGCGTCATGGTGTTCTGTGGAAAGAGAAAGGGAGTAGAAAAGAAAGGGGGCAAAAAGGTGCAAGTCGATCAAGTGGAAAAAGTTGGAAGCAGAAAACTGGTCAGGACCGGCCCTGGTAGGTAGAATGGAATGATCAAAAGGGTGAGAGAGAAGGGAAGTGAAGAAAGAAAGTGACTTGGTGATACCAAGATCACAAGAAACGAAAGAAGATATCCTAGAAACGGTCACCAAAACACGCAGGAAACAAGAAGGGAGTTGGGACGATGGAAACCATCGTCGACCGGGCTGGGCCTTTCACTTATACGACTACTGTTGCTTGTCACGATAAAGCCCTAGCCAGGCTGGGGAGGGAGACTTGGGGGCCAGGGGTGGTGGGGGAAGGTAGTCTAGACACACGAAAGCCCAAGAATCCGAGAGAAGGATCTTGCCCTGCATGGCGAAAAAGTGCTGGAGCGAGCACGATGGCATGCTGGCTGCACCACACCCCGCTCATCACCCCCGGCCAGAGACTATCCCAATAACACGCTTCGAGTACTACCCTCCTCCCTTCTCGCCTTGAGGGGACGGCTCGTTCAGGGGGGCACAAAGATGGAAAGGGGAAAAAGGAAGAAAAAAGGTTGAGCACCCTCCGTACCAGCGGGACAGCCATCTCCTACCCTGGTCGGTCGATAGATTTTGGGCATGGGAGAGGGCCCGGCGCCATTGCAACTTGCACATCCAAGTCCACTTCCACTGCGGCCTTCACCACGCAAAGGACGCTGGTCCGTGACCGAGGGAAAAAGAAATAAGAGTGGCCGGCATGGCCCAATTCATTCCCCTCTCGTTAATGCCGCGCCTCGAGCACAGGTACCAATCTGCCCAAATAGCGACAGTAAAGCTACTCGCAGGGAAGCGCAAGGATGGGACAAAGGAATGCTCGTCATCCTGGACGAGAAGATCAAAGGGGAAGGTCAGCCACGTTGCGCGACGATCATCTGAAGGATTCAATCCAGGTACTGCTGGTGGCAGCTTCTGGGAGACGGGGGAGAGACGGGGAGAGACGGGGTGCAGCTTGGTTGTCGGAAGAACGTTTTCCATTTTAGGGTTGGCCAATAACAGGGGACGAAACAACGAGCAGGTTACCTGATTGGGAAAGGGGAAAACGAGAGTCGTGGGAATTGGGGCAGAGGGGGAAGAGTCTGCTGGTGAGACTTCAAGCGGAATGGAATGTAGAGAGAGGAGGGCGGGGGCAGGCTTTAGCTTAGGCGGGCGAACAAGAGAGCTTGGTAAGACAGCAGAGAACAGGGATCAACTCATTCACTCGCTCGCCAAGGCCAAGGGGAACGGAGACCAAAAGGCTCGAGATCCTCCAGAGCAGTCCAGAACCTCCAGAGTAATACTTCGTAATACTTGTAGCCACCAACTTGGGGGTTCAGAGCTAGCAAAGAAATCAATTGATGGCAGAGTGGCAGTGGCATCGAAGCGAAAGACACTCGGCCCAGGGCCAGGCCTCGAGCACTGGTCGAGGTTACATTTGGGGCAAGTTGTCTGTTCGTGCCCACAGGGGATCGATACACTCCGAGTTTCAGAGCGTGTCCGCGCGCCATGGGGCACGTGCGGGCTGCTGACTGGCGAAACACCAACGCCAACTTGAGCACAGCTCCTGCATTTCGAGCTCGAGCCTGTCGACGATGGCAATCGAAAATTGAGCCAACGGCCGAGAGAAAAGAGATGGGAGAAGAACCCCCAAGGTCCTTGATCGAGCAAAGGTGCAATTTAGGAATGGGCAGGGAAAAAAGCAACGAGGATGGGGTTAAACAACTGGATCTATTGATAACGTAACGAAGAGAAGAGGGACAGAGAGAGAGAGAGAGAGGAGAGTAAGAAAACGACAAATCCATCTGGATCACATCTCGCACACAGACATCCATGGATCTTGGCTCCTCCATGGGAAGATCTGGACGTGACCTCGCAAGGTTGATCGCTGAATGAATCCGCGTCTCCAAGGCCTGGTTCGTTGATTTTCGGCTGATCTGCCCAAGTCAATGCCCGTCATGGTCAGACCACAGAACAGGGCAGAGAACTGTCCCTATACCGAGGTATACCCAGGCTCCAACATTGAAAGGAGCCAGAGAGAGAAAGTAAACCCAGCAGCGATTCCGATGGCCGGCCTTTGCGCCGTGCCACTTGTTTCAAACCGGGCTCCTTCCGCGAGGAAGAAATTCCCTGTAACCCGCCCGCTCAACCCGCTGACATCGCGACGATCAACGTCAAACTCGGCGGCCGCCGACCTCGGGGCCTGCGCATTGCATCACCGCTCGTCAAATCATTCTCGACAACTAGCCGCACGCAAGCAAGCCTCTTTCAACTCGGTCTCTAATTGTGGTTTCTTGCAGGTGGCTTCTTTTTTTTTTTTTTCCTGGTCTTCGTGCTCTCTCATAATACTCTTTAGTAAATAGTAAAAGTGAAGACAAGTACATGTAATTCCTTTGATGAGAGGGTCAAGACCTATTTTTGCCTTGTTCAACTCATAGCGCACTTTCAAGGGCATGAAGCGGGTGTAAGCCATCTCAATCATCAAAGGGGACGGAGTGTGTCGGCTCGGATCACATCTATGCCTGCCCAGGGGCTCACGTCCTCACAGACGGTACAGTCAGCGGCACCGAAGAAAAGCACAGGAATCCTTGTGAAGATCGCTGCTTCGAACTGTAGTAGTCCCGCAAGAGTCCCGACAAGATAAGCTTCTCTTTGGAATTGACAAAAGGGTTGCAATTTGTGCTCCCAGGCCCCAAAGAAGAAAAGGCTATCAAGGTACAATGACGGCGTGAGATAGTCGGTCATTTTGTCATTAGAGCTACTTCGTACGTCCTAGCTTGCGAATACATACACCAGGTCGAGCGAGTCTGCTCTTACGATTGCTGTAGAGATTCGATTCAGTCTTCCATTACACTCTCAATCTTGAATTTGTATCTACCATCAAGTCCTAAGCTCTTGATCCTAATACCTCAGCACCTAGGATATAACGGAGAAAGACAACGCACAAACGGGCCCAGATACAGATGCACAACGTCAAGTAGGTATAAACAGACATGTAAGCAAGGTTAAACGAGTAGAGACGACTTGTTTTGATCGCCGAAGTCATAGCATCGGGCAGCAAAATCTAGTGTAGACAAAACCAACAAGAGCAAAACGGACATGAGTGTGCTAAAGAAACCGACAAAAAGCAATATTAAAGGTTGGACGACTCCACGAGGTTCCAAACGAGGGCAGCAGTAGGAGGGGTGGGTGGGGTAGTGGCATCAATCATGGTATTCCCTTTTCGATCTTTCCCAGATCATCGCAAAAACAAAAGGAGAGGAAAAACAAAATGCGACGCGGGAGAAAATCATGAAAAAGAGACGGCCCCTCAAGAACAGTAAAAGCATGTAAAGCGTTCCCCTTTGCGCCCCAAACACCTCGTTAACCGGAAAATGCGTTTGATCACGAGCTCCTCCTCTTCTGTTTCCCCCGTCATTGAAGTTCCGTCATCATCCCCAGGGTCAAGAAGCGAAAGATGGAAGAAAAATAAGGAATGGGAATGAAAAGAAACACCAGAACAAAGAGGTAGAAACAGAAAAAACACAAAAGATAGCAAAGCAATGCATCACCTCCATTTAGGCGGTGCGGGCCTTGCTCGCCAGACGTCCGGTGGGCGCGCTCATATCCCTCCTGTCGACGCCCTTGACCATCTGCCTTCTCGGCGTGACGGCGCCCTGTGCCGCGCTACGTGCACGTCCCCTCCGCTCCCGAATCTGCGCGAGCGCCTGCTCCCGCGTCATCGTTGGCGTCAGCGCCGGATTCAAGGCATCGAATGACGGATCTTCCGCCCTCGACCGGCTCCTCACGTGGCTCTGGAAGCCCGACTTCTTGGCAGTCTCGCGGAGAGGCACCGTCGTCGTCGTCGTGACCGTGTAAAGGCCGCCGACGCGGCGGCGGCGGAGGCGGCCAACTCTTCGCCGTCATCTTCCGCTCGAAGAGTTGCGCTCGAGTTCTCGTAGATGGCGTCATCGCCTCCATCTCGGTTTGCCTGCTCGTCGGGCATGGTGGGGATAGTCGGCATGTCTTCCGTCTCATCCTCGTCCGTTTCCTCGTGAGGTGCATTGAGGAGGGAGAGGAGGGAGGTGCGCTCCTGGGCGAGGAGGGCAAACGAAGGCGGGTCGACCGAGGGCGTCCGGGCGTACTTGGGAGGGTTCGGGTGGGCCTCGACGGGCGTGGGCGGCTCCGTGTAGGCATCCTCTTGCAGCTTTCGAGGGCTTGTACCTTTTCGAGGGCTTCGGCCTCCTCCTGTGATACCGTGCGGAAGATGCCCTCTTTAGCGCAAAAATGGTGCTTCGGCGCTTCCTCGCGATTTAGACTTGACCTCGGCAGGCCCAGGCACCGCCTCCTCCGCTTCCTGCTCTGCGGCTTGCTCCTCCTCAGTTTGCTCCTCTACTTGTTTCTCCGCGGCGCGGGACAGGCCCAGAGGGGGCAGCTCCGGTACGTCCTCGTCGGGAGTAGTGGACCTCTGCCTAAGAATGGCCAGGTCGGCGCTGTCCAAAATCTCCACGGGCGCGGCGACGTGAATGCGCCGGGGCGAGAGCATGCCGGTTCGCTCAGCGGACTTGGCGCAGGGGCAGCAGCGGAGCTCGCACTCGGCGACGAGGAAGTCAATCTTCTCCTGCGCCCTGTCGGCGCGCTGCTTCTCCCACGAGAGCTTCATGGCGAGATCCTCAATCTCCTGTTCGCTGGCGGCAGAGGACACGACGTCCGCCACCGACAGGCGGGGCCTCTTTCTGGGCGAGGCGAACTCGTCGTCCTCGTCCTCGGTATGTGGGAGGGGATGCAGCCCTCGGCAGCGATGCGGGCCACCTCTTCGTTCTTGGCCAGCGTTTTGAAGGCGTCGCGTTCCTGCTCCACGACCTTGATCTTTTCAAGAGCCTGGTCGAGCTGTTCCTGCACGCCGACAATCTGGTAACGCGCCTTGAACGCCTCCTGCTCGCGAGCACGACTGCGCTCCTTTTCCTTGACGAGGCTGGACTCGGCTGATCTCAGGGACTCCTTGGCCAACTTGAGCTCTTCCGCGTGCCTAACGCCAACTGAGTGAGCTTTGAAATACTCCTTTCGTTGTCGTCGAATCTCCTTTTCCCAAATGGATTGCGTGTGCTGGTGCATTTCTTTTAGGCGAACGTATTGATCCTGTTCAATCATCGTTAGCGCCGCTTCGTTGGTAGCTTGGTTGGCATCGGCCTCCACCGGGAGGCCCCGCCGTAACCAGCACCCCCTGCTGTGACTTTTCGTCGTCATGCCATGCCGAAAGGGCTAGAGTGAGATGCTTACCATGACCTGCTCCATCCGTTCGCTAACCTTCTTTTCCCTGTCCCTGCTCTCATCTAGTGTCCTCTTCAGGGACTTGACCTCATCGCGTGACCTCCTCGCATCGCTCTCCGCCTCCTCGCGGCCCAGGAGAGCTCTCGTCAGCGCCGCATCGGCAGTCTTGCGCTCCAGCTGCTTGCCCTGAGTCGCTAGGCTGTTGAATTGGGAAATTTTCTCGTGGACGGAGCTGTCCCGGAAGTCGCTGCGTATCGAGGAGAAGAGGGCGGAGTGTGGCCTCTGCTGGTTCACGCGCTCGGGGAACAGGTGTTGAGGGGTCCCGGGACCCCGAGATGCTCTCCGATAAATTTGGCGTGTTTTCCATCGGGGGATTCTGTGTTTGTGTGTGCGGCGGGTGTCAGAGTAGGTGCCGTCCACCTATGTGTGTACGCGTGCGTACGTGCGGATATGTCGTCGTCTTTTTCGTGGACTGTTCGTCGTAGGAGTCTTGAAAATAATATTGTGGTGAAGAATTCCTCACGATGCTATTGCATCTTCAAGAAAGCGAGGCGGTAAACAAGTCCAACCTTTTGTTGGATATTAATTCTTTCTTTCAGTCTTAAGCCCTGTTAGGTTGGATGGGGGTTTGGTCTTGTTTTTTGGCTGCAAAAGGAATTTGGGTTAGATATTGAAAGGTGAGGTTAATGTTAATATCGCTTGTGCCAGTTATCAAAGTTGACCCCTTTCGCGTGTTTATCCCACCCCCACCAGATTTGGCAACCAACATGAGCGTGTTGACTAGAGACGGGACCTAGCGGCGCCTCGGTGACGCGAACTGGAACAGTAGTTATCACGTGATCCGCGCCTCCCGCTCCGGGGTGCCCGTTCTCAAGTCCCCAGATTGGCCAAATGCGCCTTCCACAGTCCCTGTACCATTGAGCAATCTTTAATCTCCAGGAATTCAAATAATATGGAAAGACCAGAGATCACATCTTCAATTGTCCTACTTGCCCGAAAGGGAATCTTGAGAAAGCCTTCCCTCTCCTTTCAAAACTTACTAATATACTCATGGCCTGCTAAAAGGATTGATTGGCTGCACCTATGAGCAGTTGATAGCCTGTCCGTCTCAAGCACTTGATTCTAGACATGTAAAATTTACATTCTTTTATTTTACAGCTTCAAGCCAGCTCCATACCCCCATCACAGACCATATATCCTGCTTGCGTACCCATATCGAGATCAATCCTTGCCATGGTCATTGCTGCTGGCCCTGTAAAATAATCATGGGTGGGCTGCTTACCTCTGACAAGTCTGCAACACAACCCAAATGCTCCTTGACCAACCCCTAGGACCCGATTGGCCCTGGCGTCCCGCGATCCAAGGAGGCCATCGATCATCCTATATTGTGGCGTGACCTCTCCCTGTGACTGGTGTCCTTGGGCCCCCTTTCCTGCCACAAGACTGGTGGGAAAAGCAACCTCTTGAACAACCCACCTAGAGTCTGAGGTACCCTGTTTTTGAAGATCGCTGGAGCTTGCATTGGTGCATGTGGTTCTGCGACGAGCACCCGGATATTAATGAGACAACTGTCCTGAATAGCACACGCCGACCGATCCGTGCCCTCGACAGTGATACTCCTCTACTCTTATTTTTTTTCTTTCCTCCTCTCCGGGGTTTTAGATGCTTTCTCCCATCCCTTCTTCGCCCATGCTCTTCTAAAACACTGCAGGGCATCAATTAAACCAGACTGCTCACGGCGCAGAGCACCCAAGCAAAATACGAGCTGCCCGTGATCTTGCTTACCAGTCCCGCCCAGTCACACACAGCGCTTCATAAGCGAGGCTGAAGCTCAGGTTTTCTTCCTATCTCCTCATACATTCGGCGCAGAAGCTCCCAATCTCTCCACCCGCTCCCAAAAATGGCGGACGCCAGCTCTGTCCGGCAGCGCAAGCCCGCCCCGGCCGACAACTCGACCTCCACAGTGACCAAGACCCAAAGGAAGGCCAAGGACGAGGACGAGCCCTCGATTCTCATCGATGCCCTCCGCGTCCTCACCTTCCTCCTGCTCGCCTCCTGCGGCTTGAGCTACCTCATCAGCGGGGGCGAGTCCATGTTCTGGGGCATGAAGAACAAGCCCAATTACATGCGCGTCGACTGGTGGAAGAGCCACTTTGTACGTCACAGCTCCTTATACTCTCCCAATCCCTCCTCCCCTCCCCTCCCCCTCACCCAACCCGATAGAGTCAAGGAGCAACGTCCAGCTAACTTTTGTGTGTTCTTTTTTCCTCTTTGTCCCCGAAATCCAGCAACCCCCTCGAACTCACCCTCGAACAACTCGCCGCCTTCGACGGCACCGACGAATCCCGCCCCATCTACCTCGCCATCAACGGCACAATCTACGACGTCACCGTCGGCCGCCGCATCTACGGGCCCGGCGGCTCCTACCACTGGTTCGCCGGCTGCGACGCCTCCCGCGGCTACGTCACGGGCTGCTTCGCCGACGACCGCACCGCCGACATGCGCGGCGCCGAGGAAATGTTCCTCCCCATCGAGGACCCCGAGATCAACGCCCTCTACACCAGGGAGGAGCTCCGGGATCTCGCCGCGCGGAGCTCAAGGAGGCCAGGGCCAAGGTCCACGACGCCCTCAAGCACTGGGTCGACTTCTTCGCCAAGAGCGACAAGTACCCCGCGTCGGCACCGTCAAGCGCGAAAGGGCTGGCTCAAGAATGAGCCGAGGAGACAGCTCTGCGAGGCTGCCCAGCAGGGGAGGGTCAAGAGGAAGGCTCCGGAGCGGGGAGGTGAAGATGGCAAGGCACAGTAGAGAGGCAAAAGAGGGAGAAAAAGAAAGAAAAAAACGGACTCATCGCAATCTGGTGGTGAGTGGGTTTCTGTGTATCGTACTTTGTGTGCATTGTCATAATTATATGTTATCATGGGTTACGTCCTTTCCTACGTAGACTTTTCCTACATATACTTTGAGATGACAGACCGTCTGCCTGCTTAGAAAGGTTGGAATGGGCTGCCTACCTATCTCCAAATAGCACTCTTATTTTGGGCGCACTATTTTCTTTTAGAAAACTACGCCGAATATAATATTCGATGGATGAATACATTCAACGCAAGAACCGTAAAACGGCGCAAGCCAACCTCAATGGTATCCAATCCACGCAGACCGATCAATTGTGAGCGCCACGATCCATAAAAGTAGACAAGACCCTCGCTATCAAGGGACCATTATAATGAGACCAGATTCAAATCACAAGAAGCACGGCAGAGATGGCATCAATACGTGGGAAGTATAAGTTCCAGAAAAAGAAAAATTTGAACTCGATTCATGCAGTTATCGGTATGCAGTACACGCCGCCAAAGTAAAAAGAATAAATATCCTCGGGTCGCCTCAGTAAAAGACGATCCGCCCAGGAACCCGCTTGCGAAGGCACCTCTAGCCAGGTATAAAGTAACTTGAAGAAGAAGAAAAAAGGGACGGGGTGGTTTCGATCCTCCAGCTCCCTTCCCCTTTTCCAAGAGACAAGAGAGAAGAGGGCATCTTGGTTTGTTTTTAAGAGCATTACTTCCCCGGAGACCTCCACTTTTGTACATTTCGTCTCTCTCCCCAACCGTTCTCCTTCTCACTCATTGCAGAGTCAGAGAACCCCCGCTTTGATAAATCAAAAAGAAACGTGACAAAGAATGGTATCTCTCCTTTACAGGAACATGGCAGCACCGGCAGCGACCGCGAGGAGGGCAGCGGGTACCCTGATGTCGGCAGCAGCACCGGGAACGTTGCCGTTGTTGTTGTTGTCCTGGGTGTTGTCTCCGGTCTGGCCGCCGTTGTTGTTTCCGGGAACACCGCTGGGGAGGGTGGCCTGCTGGACGGTGGCGGCGAGGGTGCGGTGGTTCTCGATGGAGCGAGAGCTGTTGGCGGCGGTGCTACAGAGGGTGTTAGTCTCGGGATTCTCACGTTTTTATATTTGCACACAACAAAGGGCCCTTGCCCAAAAGAAGAAGCAAACTCACTTCTCGTTGATGACCATGACCATACCGCTCTGGCAGTGACGGCCCTGGGCGCAGTAGAGCCAGATGGGGCGGGTGTCGTTGATCATGATGCTGTAGACGGGGATCTGACCAGACTGCATGGCGTTCATGGCGGGGACGTAGCCAGTGTTGACACCGACGGCAGAAGCGTTAATGGCCGAGATGGGAGTGCAGGGCTGGTCGAAGGTGGACTGGGTGACGGTGTGGTTTCCTCCCATGAACTGGAACTGGACCATGGAGCCGACGGGGGCGGTGACCTTGTCGGGCGAGAAGAAGGTTCCGGCGGTACCGTTGGCGTTCATACCGACGAGGACGGGGATGACCTCGACCGCTATAGAATTCTCATGTTAGCCTTTCCTTCCTTCTTTGCATTTCGTTCCGTTGCCTTCCATCTGCGTACAGACAAGGGGATCTCGCAAGGGGTTTTCGACATACCAGAGGCGGCACCGAAGAGGGCGGCGGCGACGATAGACTTGAGCTGCATTGTGAAAGAGTTTTGAATTTTTCGATTCTTGGGATATCTGGAAAAAGAAAGAAAAAAGAATAAGGATACGTCTAAAAGAATGGACGGTCTTCCGGAGAGTGATCAAAGTTCGTTGAAAGAGTAAAAGCACTTAAAAGCGTCTAGCGCTGTAGTTTTCAAGGACTAGCCTTTGATAGAGAATGAAAGGTGAAAAAATGGGGTGAGAAAGGAAGACAGAGAGACGAAAGGGAGAACTTTGGACTGGAAGTGGAGAGAGGGAAAGGAAAAGAGAAAAGGGAAAAGGAAGCCAGAGGTTATCGGCAAGAGGGGGAGAATCGCATGAATATATGGAAGCTCGGGATCGCCCAAGACTCAGATCCCACCCCTGTCGTGGATGTTTGAAGACGACGAGAGCCAAACTGCCAGGGGTGTGGCGCCGGGCTTGGTACGGAAGGGTAGGGAAGCACAGGAGGAATGGAGATGGGAGGGGGTGGAGACCAGGGAGGTCCAGATTCCTCGCCCATGTCCCCGTGCGAAAAAAGGAGGCAAAGGGAAAAAGAGATGTGGTGGACATGGGTGTGTGCCCAAGTGAGGGTTTTGAAACACGTTTGGACCATCTCAACTCGACAGACTTGTCGCCGTGGGTACCTGAGCGGTTCGAGACCCTGGACTGGCCGCCGTCAAAAGCCAGTGCTCGAGATGCAGAAACGATGGCCCTGAGCTTTCTTGGATCTTCGGACCCATGCTTGAGAGGCCCTTTTGCCTACCGTCGCTCTCAAAAGCAAAAATTAGAGACCTTGAAAGGAGGGCAGCGGAGATTTCGATATTCTAGAAGCTGCCAGCCTAGCGAGCTTGAGCAAACGATGGCGCGATGCTCTTTGCCTCCAGCCTCTCTTCTCAGACCGAGAGCGGCTCTCAACTACTGCACGAAACCGAAAGGATGGGGCCGACATTGAAACTTTTCATTGCCTGCGAAATGCTGCCGCCACTTCCACACCCTCCCGTCTTCTTAGTCCTCCGCCGCGACTCGACTGCTATGGGAGCCTCAGCTAACCATCTTTATCTTACCCCGTACTACACCTTCCCCTTGGCAAGCTAAATTGCCAGTGAAAGTTGCCGCATCCGAGCATCCACTCCCGGAGCCCGGCGCTTCGCCGTGGGATAACCCCACAAAAGAGAGGCAGGCGAGAAAGAGCCAAGCCTCGTTTTTCCATTGCGTCCTCTACCTGCGTCATCAAAGTTGATTGGTGAAGGAAGAGGAAAAGAGAAGGCAAGAGACTAAACCCTGGTCAGGGGCAAATGCACATTCCCTGCGGCAACGGAACAGCCCCTTGGAGCTCTGGGAAGGGGGAGAGGAGATGGAGATTGGGTGCTTGCCGGCGGAGGAAAGGCAAGCCGAAATAAGGTTAAGAAGGCGTTAGGACTGACATAGCACCGGCCCTGCATCTTCCCACGCTAAGCTCCTGGTGAGAGCTCCATAGTGACAATAAGCGTAACGCCAAAGGGGAAGGGCAAAGCTCCGGGTGGCGGGACTGCAGGAAAAAAGGATAATAGAGAAAAAGGGGTGGGGGAGGGGTAGCTCGGCAGTGTGTCAAACCGGCGTGGCTGCGACGTCTTCAAAACATGCAACTGTTTCAGCCAACCACCACCCACCACCCACCACCCCCGGCCCGTCTTTTTGGTCCTCTTTATCCTTTTGATCTCGAGTGCAAGCGCCGCGAGGCCTGCAAACATGGCCCCCGAAGAATCCTATCTCTTCAAGCACAACCCTGTCAGCTCCTGCCTCTGACAACCAAGTCAAACCAATTTCGCGCGGATATGCTTGAAGCCCTCGCGTGGAAGCGCTCGATGCGGGCAGATCTTCATCGGGATCCGCCCTTCATTCAAAGAGAAATCTAATCAATAGGACAGTATCGAACCGTAGCTGTAAGCATTGCCAAGCATGGCCATTTTTGGGACCGAAGATAAAAAGAGTAGGAAAAAGGCCAAAGAGAAAGAAAAGGCATCCGCCTGCATGCGGCGCGTAAACCGCAACGACTGGTGACAAGCGAACGTCCCCGCCCTCGTTATGCCTGAGAGATTCGTCCGAAAGCTTGCTCAAGCAGGGGATTGGGGTCAAATCAAAGAGAGAGTCGCCCCGAGCGAGAGCTCAATCGATGGAGTCGATGTACCAATGTATCCTTCTGATTAATATTAATGCAATGCATCGCTCGAGATGGATGCACCTGCCAGTGGGATTTCCAGGCCCTTGGACCTCTGATCGCGCTTGCCCCAAGCGGGCTTCCTCCGCCTGCGCACGAACTCTCCTTCTCCAACATGGTCTCCACGTCAACCCCGTGGTTTCGACAATTTGTCCGAGTGTGCAAAGGAGCGACTACGACACCAGGCCAGGCCAGGCACTGAAGGGAACGGCGAGTTGGGCGGGCAAGCTGGGCGGGCGGTCAAAGCACACCTCTCTCAGCATTGGCTCTGGAACATCACAGGGCCGCCCTCCCAAACACTTTTTCATCAATTCTGCCTTTTTAGCCTTCCCCACCAACTCAGCACCATGGGAGAAGAAACCAATGCTACCCTCGGTGACCGCACTAGGGCCTCACGATGCAACGGGGCTCCCAAAATGTTTCGCCTTTCGCTCATGTCGGAGGAGAAACAAAAACATCCATGCACCTGAATCGAACCCGACTTTTCCTTCATCCCTCCCTCCCCCGCCCCCTTTGCTGTCGCCGTCATAACTGACATTGATGGGATGGCCGAGGATCCTTTGTCCTGCACGGTCTCAGCCCTCGGTCAAGGAGTGCCTGTCTCTCTCTGTCTCCCTCTAATATAGCCGAACCAATCCTAGTAATAATATCAAAGAGGCATCTTGTGGGGGAATCGGCTCGTCTTATCTGGGCACTTCAACGGGCGCTTTCTGGGGGAGGACGAGACCATGCCTATTAGTTAGAAGAAGCGATGATATCAGAGATGTTTCCCAAAGGAGACAAAGAGACAACCCCAGCGTAGAAACTAAACTCTGAGAGGAGCTACTGGAGTGCCGAGGCAGAGCTTGGCGTTTCAAGAACTTCGTAGTCACCAACCCCCTCCCCTCGTCTTGCTCTTCTTCCTTCCTCTTTGTTACCACACTCACCGGATTTCCCAGATTTTCCATGCATCAGCTATTGTGTGCTGACATCTCCGGAAGAAGACCCGCCAGTGAGCCTTCCCGCACAGTCGCACCATGGAAAACGACAAAGGGCCTCCTTGCTCTTGCTTTCACTTGTGATGCGCGTCCCCGAAATCATACCGAGCCCAGCTCACCCCGGCACTCGAGGCGTCGAGAGGACGGTGATCGCCCGGGCCCGGACCGTGATGAAAGGCAAGGGTCCGTACATGTAGTGTTTGAATGTGACAGCTGTGAGGCCGCCAAGGGTCGATGCCTCCTTTATTCACACTAGCTCCAGACTCTAAAGGGCAAGATCCTTCCTTGTAGGGAGAGTTCCAGGATAAATGTTCATGTTAGAACAGCATCACTTGGCGTAGTATGCTCACGTTGAAGGGTTTATTTATCTTTGTGTGTATAATACGGCGGCAATAGAGGGTAGCCCCGAGTGGCCTTGTCTATTGCAGCAAGTTCAACTATGAGCATCTATGTTATATCATCTTGGGAGACGATAATCATGGATATAGTGAATAATTATCCATGTAATCAACTTATTCGAAATACTCTTTGGCGCTCGTACAGATGTCGTGCATACGTCTATGCAACAGGGGCCCTCTTGCTCGGCAATCGGCAAAGTCAGGAGTAGTCAAAAAGAACGCGCGTGTAAAAATGATGGTTCAACAGGGAGGGAGGAGGGGAAGGGGGTTTCTCTGTCCGTCAAAACGCTTTGTCGAACCACGCCCAGCGTCCCAAAGCACATTTTGCGACGAAACTAGTCTTGGATGGATCTACGACCGTCCTCCCACTCATGACGCGTCGCCTGGTTCGCGGTGACACACTCGAGCGGCTATCTTCATGAAGCATCAGCGAGTGGGGACGGGCTTTGCTGTCGAGAGGAGAGGCGGCGCAGTCTAGAGAGGCTGCAACTACCTGAGAAGGCCACCGTGATAACGCGTCTTCGTGGTCTCCCTCAATGCCTTGAAACACCGAGACAGTTCTACCAGATGAGCTCGCTTAGGAGATAGAGCAGTACCTCTCTCCATAGGCCTAGGAAAGGCAGCATGGGGTATGAAACAGCCTAGCCTTTGGGCCAAGATTGTCATGCCCCTCAGGATATCGCATACCAGTCCATCTCCATCGTCAGAGATCCATAATCAGCTGGGGTGTGATCTTTTCCAGATCCTCGACCTATTCGGATCAAAGCACATTAGCAATGAGAAACTTCAATCCTCGTATAGGAGAGCGCATCTTCAAGCAGGAAGCGGGCAAGAATCAGAGAAGGAAAAGCACAAGGAAAAATGGGAGAGAGAGAGAAAGAAAAAGAGAAGAAGAAAAAAAGAACGTCATCTCACCTCCAAGAACCGCCCATCCCTCTCCTGCGCCGTCCTCGCAATCGCCTCCTGCACAAATATCTCAAAATACCGTCCCACCGCCCGGTTCGCCGCCTTGGACATGCGCGTATCCTCCTTCCGGAAGGCCTCGTGCAGGATCCGCGTGAGCAGCTCGTCCGGTATCTTGGCGGCCCCGTCCTCCTGATGGCCTCCGTCCGACTCCACCTCGGCGTCCGCGTCCGCGTTCGCGTTCGTGTCCCCGGCCCTGCTCCCCGGCTGAGGCCCCTGCCCCCGCGCGACGGTTATCGCGGTCGGCGCCTGCGTCGGCACTCGGACGCGGCCGTGGCCGGGCGCCTGATGCGGCCTTGCCGCCCCGAGCGGTGGAGGCACGAGGCATTGGCTCGGAAAGGGTCGAACACACGTGTGGCCGTAGTACCCGCGGAGTGGCTAATTCAACTGGTAAAGGCAAGGCGAACGCGATGCTCTCACAGAATGGTGTTGCAGGTACGAGTCGGAAGACACTCGCTGCCAGAGAACAAGAACGCGGCACGTCTGGGTGGGTTATTTGTACCGGAGGTGGGGCGAAAGTTAGGGACCGTTGAACTACATTGCACCCGCGGATAGACGCCAGAGCACGTGAGCAAGCTCTCCAGCCTGGAGCTGCAACCATCGAGGTTTTGCTAGTCCCTCAGAGTGCAGCTGCACAGCAAGAGGAAATGGCGCGGACAGCCGGTAAAGCAAAAGTCACCAAATTAAACATACATTTTCACAGATGCACAAGTCAAAGGATGGATTTCAATAGAATCAAGGGAAATTTGCGGTAAGGTTATATTACAAGGGTTGACTGGTTGGCCCATTACTCCAGCACCAGAAGTAAAGGAAACAAAGTCGAAAAGAAACCCTAAAAGCCGGCTGCTCAAAATGCCAAAGAGAAGCCCTTCCCAGCAGTCTCCCTCATGCAACTTCTTCCATCTTCCGTTGGAATAAACAAAGCAAACAGTCATCCATTTTTTTACCCCTTCTATTGCAACCACACCCACTGTCCTAAACGATTGCCGACACCTGTGTAATCATGACACGCTTATTTGAAGGCCTTGCCGAAGATGAGGACCTGGAGCTGATCGTAGATGGAAAGGACACCAGCACCGGCAACACCACGGAGAATGTTGGCACCGGCACCCTTGAAGAGAGCGGACACCCTCCTTGGCGATAATCTGGGAAGCAGCATCGAAAGAGCTCTTGTACTTGACGGCCTCACCGGAAGTCATCATCATGCGACGACGGATGGTGTCAAGAGGGTAAGAGGCGATACCGGCACCAGTGGTGACGCACCAACCGAGGAGGAAAGAGGCAAGGAAGTTGTTGGCGAGGGTACCAGTGAGGACGACAGGCTTGATGGAATCGTACATGCCGAAGTAGAGACCACGGTAGACGATAATACCAGCGACGGAGGGCATGAAACCACGGTAGAGACCGGCAATACCGTCGGAAGCAAGAGTCTTGCGGTAGACGTCAATGAGACCGTTGAACTGGCGGGCGCCACCACCCTTGGCGCTCTTGGCGTCGTTGGCAAGACGAGTACGAGCGTAATCAAGGGAGTAGACGAAGAGGAGGGAAGTGGCACCAGCGGCACCACCGGAGGCAAGGTTACCAGCCATCCACCACCAGTAGCCATCACGCTCCTTCTTGAAACCGAACATCTTCTTGAACTTGTCGCGGAAAGCGAAGTTCAAGGCCTGGGTAGGGAAGTAACGGATGACGTTGGCGGTGTTACCACGCCAGAGGACATGACACCCTCATCGGCGATGGTCCTGCGGAAGCAGTCGGTGATACCGTTGTACTTGCGGTCGAGACGGCCCTGCTTGAGCATCTCATCCTATAGTGGTTGTTAGCAAATGAAGTCTGCAAGCTGATAGTGTGCCCGTCATCGGTTGCCAAACTCCTTGGCAAGCACGACAACAAGTGGACACGATGGAACTGTGACAACTAACCTGGTTCTGGATGAGAAGCTTGACACGCTCGATGGGAGCGGCAGCAGTCTTCGAGACGGCGGCGGAAACACCACCCACTGTGTTGCTAGTTAGTCGAGCTGTTCATAGTATTGGATGCCGGCATCGGCGTCGTGGCGCGAAAAGACGAAGGGTGTAGTTTGATAGAGAGACGCGGCAAAGCCAGCGCTCAATGGTGAAACGTACTCAAGAAGTCAATCATGAAGGGCTAATAGATGATTCCATGTTAGCGAATGTGTTCTGATGGCAAGTTGGTTGATGGATGCGAGGAAGAAAACTTTTCTCTTCCCCAAACACCCGGCAGTCCTCGGATCGCCGAGGCCATCGCCGCCAGGGCTAAGCTCGCAGGAGCTTCCATCTCGGGCCATTACCGGTGCCAATTGGGCGTGGGTGATGGCCATCGAGATGCCGCCAGAAGGCAGAGATGGCATGCAACCGACAAATCGCGTGCGGATGCCGTGGCACCGTCGAGCGAGTCGGCGACGATGGCAACGAAACGAGGATGCAGGAACAAGGGCGACGAGGGAGAACTTACCGGAAGCCCGAAAATCTTGTTGTCAGACATGGTGAAGGCTCGGTTAGGACAATGAATCTCGACCGAAAAAAAAAAAGAGAAAGAGCGGAGATTGATTCCGGATGAAAGGAAAGGAGGGGAGAGGGTATTTAAGGTGTCGTTGTGAAACTGCTTTCAACAGCGATTTTTTTGTTTTGGGAAGATGAGCAGGAGGAAAAAATTTTAGGATACGAACACCTTTCGGACTTTTGGCCGGCTGGGACTAAAAAGAGCGCAGGGACCATTGGGTGCCCCCACCTGTTGCTCCTTTGGTCCACTGGCACTGGCTGGAACCAGTGGCAGCCTCTCCCTTCTGCCAATAACTCCCACAAGTCCATGTACCCAGTAACCTCGCCTCCCGCTAGCCCAGCCGCCCGGCTACTTCCACAGCAACGCGCTCCACAGAAATTCAGGAGGTACCCTACCGACCAAGATATCTAGCCGATTTGCTCCGAGAATTTCTCGGACCAAGCCCATCTCACTCATTCTCGCTCATTCCGCACTGTACGGTAGTGACCTTTTCTCGCGTCTGACGCGCCCTCAGAGGCCCCGTAACGCCCAGTATGGAATGTACTGTTTCGGCATGCGTGGAAAACGCTGACGAGATGAATCGCAATCGAAAATGGACGGACTCTTTTTTTCTTCTTTTCTACTGTCACCCGCGGCTAAGCACGGAGGGCAGGCAGATGGATCTGGGCCATCGAAAACTGGTCTGCCTCGATTTCAAAACGCTGCTTACCCTCTGGTAATCACAGTTGAGCTGAGGAAAGTACGTCAGAAAAGTGTTTTTGATCACCAGGACAGGAGGTGGCTGGCCGTAGTAGACGTCAAAATTTTCTTTGGGTTAGATAGCAAGGTTTTTACTTTTCCTTGATGCCACTTTTGCTTTGCGCTGCCAAATGATTGAGGTAAATCCGGCTTTTTTCACTGTATTACCCCTTCTTTCGTTTTTCCTCTCTTGTTCCTGGTGCCAAATTCCATCTCCCGGGTAGTACACAGTACGCGGCACGGTCGTTGTCTCTTTCAACGAATACCAATCTCGCATATCTCCGTAAGCCGTAGCCGTAGCCGGAGAGACGAGGTTAACAGCAGGAAGAAAAAAAAAAAAATTGGCCTCGCGTGCGGAGCCACACAGATCCCCCTTCTTTTGCCTCTGCGCCGTTCTGAATCGAAACGCCTGGCCGAGCCTCTAGCGGCGTCTTGCCTTATCTCCTTTTACCCCTACCCCATTAATTTCGATGCCCCTTTTCAGGAACTCGGGAAACAAAATCACATGTATGGGGCAGGACGAGGCGACCCATGTTCGATCTGCTCTCCCAAGACCCGTTGTTTGTATTGGACATGACAGGGATTAATTTTTGTTCTTTCTTCTTTTTGATGTGGTTCCATTCCATGGTCTTGTCACTTTTTTGCCTCGCCGGTTATAGGTCGCCCTGAATCCGGAGAAGGAATTGGCAAAGGGGCAATGAATCGTTGCCGTTGCCCACTTGTGCTGTGCGGCGTGGTGCGGTGCGGCGCGGTATTCTGATGTGCTATACTAGATTACTCTGTGTGCGTGCGTGTGCATAGTGTTTGTGTGGGTGCGTGAGCGCGTGGTTTTGAATCTTCTCTTCCAAGATCTTGTCCGCGTCACTTTGAACGGCCATCTCCATCTCAGGCTGCTTGCCCCTTGGCTCAGTCTCCCTCCTGGCACTCGCTGTCCTCTCTCGCTATGAGAACCCTGACTCGAGACCTGCCCCCTCGTGCACACTCTACCCTTTCTGTCATAGTACTGAGACATCAGGGCCAGTTCCCCTTTCGATCCTTGATTCAAAGGACTGTCAGGAGCGGAAACTCAAGTCCGTCGGGCCAACCCCCTGCTTGCGGCACCACCATAGGCGCAATACCGACCGAGAAGCGGCGTGGGTTTCCATCCAAATTTGGGAGCCGAAGCGCGTATGAGGAATAGACGCCGCATCCGTTTGCCCGCCGAGTCGTATATAAACATGGACGCCTCGAAGGAGCGTTCACGGTACCCCTAACTCGCCCATCATCTGTCGGGAAATTGGCTGTGTCCGGACCGTCGCGATACCAGTTTTCCTTTGTGAGGCATTCCCTTGAGGGTTCAAAAAGGAGAAAGAGTCGAGAGAAAAAGGATGGAAAGTGAAGTGCTGTTCAAGTGAGGGTCCCTTGCGCTCTCAAATACTGTGATGTCCAATCCCATACCCTCCTCTTTCTAGCCGCCCCGTCGCCAGAGGTCAATATTGTTGGACTTGAAACCAGCAAAATCCAATTGCTGGGATCCGTTGTCTATACCGAGGCAAATCGCGACCAAAGCTGGCCTCTTGATGGAGTTAACGATGCCAATTCGGATGCGCGGAAGCAGACCCTCTCTTGACCATCTCGGACAGGATATGACGTGTGGTGTCGAGTTAATCCGTCGTTCGCTCCCCATCCGTACTTGGGAAGATAGCCAGAGACGACTCCCAAGCAGTCGGTGGCCCTGAGCACTTCATATCCTGGCTAAGATGTCTCGTCCACATGTCACAGTCATTGTATGTTGGGCAACAAAGAGTTGTTCATCGGGCGATTCTTCGGCCTGGTATTCGTATTTACTACCTTTCGATCAACGACGGTTTCCCGTGCGCAACGGGGGTATATCAAGACATGCGAGGGCAAACGAAAGGATGGTCGTTGCAAACAAGGATGTATCATTTCCCTATGCTGGAGCGTGTCCGGGGCAAATGCCGCGCGGAGAGAGCAAACTCATTGTGAATGCATGCCCACTGCCAAAGCCGTCCGTCTAACTAACCCTCAGCCTGATATTTTGTTTTGATCAGAGTAACTCCTCCATGAACCCCAAAAAGATTTACATAACCGGCGTGAGAACTCCGTTGCATTTATTCCGCAGCGACGACCGCGCGAGCTAAAGAAGACAAGTTGTGTTAGCGATCCGTTGATTATCCGTGAGGAGGGGCATGATCGTTGCGGGCTGCGGTGTCCACTGAGGAAGTTTGCAAGACTCGTCCAAAGTGCAATGGATAGATAGTCCCGGATGGTGGGGTTGTGACATACTGTAAATCTTCATCTTGCTGTGCTCAACAACGGGCTTGATGAGACCCCTCTCCTCGAGATCCTTGATGCACTTCCTGGCGAGAGAGCCGTTGATCTTCATGCGGTCGACAAGAGTGGCGACGGTGACGAGACGGTAAGACTGAACATCCTTGGTGAGCTTCTCGGAGGTGGCCTTGTCGAGAATGACGGCGTGCTGGGCCTTGTCCTTGACCTTGCCCTTGGACCTAATCACATCGTGTCTCGTCAGCAAGTTGACTTCTCCTCCGTGAAGTGATCTTCATCAATCTCGTCCTCGGACGGGCGAGGGGCAGCCCGCCGAGGGCGGCGGCGGAAATCGTGAGGAATATGGTTAAATGAAGACATACCACTTCTTCTTTTGCTTCTTAGCTCCAGTAGCAGGCGCCTGTGGTGAGGGTTAGCATCGTGCTTGCAGAAAGCATCGCAGGACCAAAGTCCTCGATCTCGTTAGGCGAGGTTATCGACCATACCATTTTGTATATGTATTTACCGTTGGGTTGACGACTTGACGTTGGGAGATTGAAAAAGAGGGCAAGAATTCTCAAGAGGCAACTCTTTACAGAACGAAGAGGGCCGCACATCCACACAGTTGTCTGACCACCCAGAAAGGCGGGAGGGCAAGCCCTACTAGCAATTCTGCGCGGTGGGGCTGGCCTGCCACCTCTAATTGGCCAGACGCGGAACCCCCAATTTTTTCCCTCCACACAGCAAAAGTGAGGGCTTCAATTCCACTCGGTCGAAAGTCTGCTACATTTTCCAATTACTGACCGACGACTAACCCTTCGACACCCCAACCCGAACTGCATTCCATAGAGTCGGTTGCGCCAAAGAACGAGGCCATCACCAGCAGCTCTCGTTCACTTCGCCTTTTCCTCTTCCTAACCCTTCCCTCCCCAGGAACAGTCAATACCGCCAGAATGTCCGACGCCGGTGATATCGAAGTCGAGAACGTTGAGTCGTTCAACATCCTTCCCAAGGAGGTCGCCCAGGATCTCGGCACCGTCAAGCTTTTCGGTCGTTGGGACTACGACGTCGAAGTGCGAGACATCTCTCTCACGTATGCATCTCCATTTTCCCAAGAAATAGAAGCAGAGGAATGAAAGGAACGAAGAAGAAAAAAAAGAAGGAGCACAATGATAGCCATGAGCGACTATCCGCTTGCCCAAGAGCGAAAGCCACCGTGATCGAGCCAAGGATATCAGAGGAGAACTGTCTAGCTAACCAAAACTCCCTTTTGGGGATATCTAGTGACTACGTCTCTCTCCGCAACCCCGTCTATGTCACCCACTCTGCTGGCAAGTATGCTGCCAAGCGCTTCCGAAAGGCCAACTGCCCCATCATTGAGCGTCTCACCAACTCCCTCATGATGCACGGCCGCAACAACGGCAAGAAGCTCATGGCCGTCAGGATCGTCGCCCATGCCTTCGAGATCGTAAGCCTCCCCAACACTGCTAGAGCACAGAAAACAGAGCTCTTCAGTTTCGTGCATGTGAAGCCATCCGGATATCATGTCTAACAATACCTCGTTTAGATCCACCTCATGACCGACCAGAACCCCATCCAGGTCGCCGTTGACGCCATTGTCAACTGCGGTCCCCGCGAAGACTCCACCCGTATCGGTTCCGCTGGTACCGTCCGTCGTCAAGCCGTCGATGTCTCTCCTCTCCGCAGGGTCAACCAGGCCATCGCTCTCCTCACCACCGGTGCCCGTGAGGCTTCTTTCCGCAACATCAAGTCCATTGCCGAGTGCCTCGCTGAGGAGCTCATCAACGCGGCGAAGGGAAGCAGCAACTCGTACGCCATCAAGAAGAAGGACGAGCTCGAGCGTGTGGCCAAGAGCAACCGATAAAGGATTTGGACCCGGAGTTTCTGGGGATTATTCGAAACTGTGGTTGTTGTCGTGGCTGGCATTCGGCGTGGTTCCTTGGCATCTTTTTTCCAAAAGCTGCTTTTGCATTTCTGCGTTAAGGGAGGGTCTTACGAGGAAATGGCATTTCTGTCAGATAGGGCTCATGGGAAATTCTTTTCAAAACGAGAAAGAGGACGCCCGGACTCGGTAGAGCAAAAAAATAAAAAGTCTCTAATTCAGTGTCCACCCAATTCTGAAGAAGCAGAAAAACTTTTGTTGTTTGTTCAAGTGTCACGATCATGATATCGGTCTACATTTACGCAATAGGAAGAAGAGAAGACATGAAAACTTTGGCTGTGCATTTTATTTCCTCAAAATTTCATGGGAGGTGGTTTATTTTTTATTTTGATTCCTCTACCTCTTCCTTTGGCTATCTACTCTCCATGTACCGAGGTAGTCGCGCTCCCCGTCATAACCTCGTGATACCGTCCGTGTCTGTCTGACATCTATCAGGACTCGCGATAGAGAACAAAAAGAGAAAAGGTACAGGAAAAGAAAAGGGACGGCGCCCAAAAAGGAAAGGCCTCATGTACTCCTTTGCTATAGGAGGGAGCAAAACATCAGCCTAGGGTTCGTATGTGCAGCTAGCTAGCCGTGTTGCCGTGTATATATTAGTTCAAAAGGCATTGACGCCCATCAACGGGTGTCGGCATGTAGGGTTGAAAAAATTCTTGATTCACCGGCAAAGTCGATACCACGCAGCTCACTCGTAAAAGCAGGTATCCCCAAGGAGAACCTCACCAAGCGTGCCAAGGCTCAAAGATTTCGAAGGCAGACTAAGACTCCGCAACGTCGCCTTGTTCAGCCGCGCCATCCCCAGCTTCACCCTCGAGGCCCATCTCCCGCCGCTGCTTCCTCTCCGCCTCGGCCTTCATCATCTTGGCAAAGGGATCGCCGGGGAACCCGACCGGGGCGATGACCTTCTTGCTAGGAAGGGGCTTATCGATCTCGAGGCGGAGAAACATGCCGACGTGGCGGATGCCCTCCTCCCACCAGACGCCCATGTCCTCGTCGACCCGGAACCCCCAGCGCGCCCACGTGGCGGCCACCTGCTCCTGGGCATGCGCGCACACGAGGCCCTTCCACTGTGGGACCGGCGCGTTGACGGCATCCAGGCGCGCGAGGCCCTTAGCCACGACGCTGGGGTCGAAGTAGTTTGGATTCTCCCGGAGCCACTCCACGGCGGAGCGGACGAGGAAGCCCGCCATGCCCTGCCCGCGAAACTCTTTGACGACGGCGAGGCGGCCCAGCTTCACGTAGGGTTCTTGACCGTCGTGAAAGGTGGTGGGCCGGTCGGCAAAGTAGCCCAGTTCGGTGCGGACCGGTTCCGCGGCGGCCGCCTCCTTCTGTCTGTCCGATTCCTTTGTATCCTTCTTCTTGCCCCCTTCCTCCGTCCCCTCTTCCATCTTGCCGCCCCAGTACTTGGCGCCGCTAACGGGGTGAGGGTCGTGCGGAAAAGGCACGATGCGAATAGTGCCGACGGGGACGCGGCGGGCGTCGCTGACGCGGGGCTCGACGACGTTGCCCTCGGCGTCGAGGACCTCTTCGCGAATGGTGCGGCGCACGCTCGCGTACACGCAAAGTGGGTGCTGCGGCTGTCGTCGTCGTCGAACTCGTTGTCGGCGGGGACGCCCTGCTCCTCCACAAAGACCTGCTCCCGGATCTCCATGGCGTCGAGGAAGATGGGGCTCACGGACTCGGACTGCTGGGCCCGGGGCAAGCCCCGTTTGTAGGCCCGCAGGTTGCTAGGTAGCAGGGTCGACAGGAACGGGGTCGCCATTCTGCTCTTGCGCTCTGCCTCACGCTGGCGAGCGAGGAGGCCCGCGGCCGAGGGGGACGCCGACCATGTCGCGCCCGTGGAGCCTACCAGCGTTGTGGCGCCGCTGAGCCACTGGGAGGGCTAGACATCCAAGAGTGTATCCCTTGGGTGTGGCTTGAGGTTGGGGTCACGTGCCTGCTCGTTTTCAGGCGTGCGATGGATTTTTGCTCTTTCTCCAATGAAATGATTTTTGTGTGCTCGATCGCGTTTAGGCAAAACTATTTTTCCGATCCTGGCTCGGTCAAGGATCTCGGTGAGTCTTTTTTCGAACGAGGCCTAGCCGTATTAGTACAAATATATGGGATGCCTTGAGGCTCTCTTTTCTTGGTCTGGCTTACAAGCTTTTGTGATTCCTATGAGCTGTTGTCAAAGGTGTTGTTATAAGGGGGATTTTCAGGATAAAGAAAATGAAGAAAGGAAATTTTGTAAGGAAAGAAAAAGAACCTCTATAAGGTCTATTCAATGCCATTAGTGATTCCCTGGAGCAACGCAGACGAAGCATCACGATGCAAGCTATCAGATTCACATCAAGTTGGTTGGGAGACTGAATAGGTTCCCCTGCTATCTTATTCACCTATACCTTCCCCTTTTGAAGGCTCTCACCATTCCCAGCCCATCTCATGAATAAAGATTCAAGAGTATCAAAAACTATTCATTCTTTAGCTTTCGTCTCAGCCAGCATCAAGTTTTATTCCAAAGTTCTTGTGGCACAACATCGAATGATGGCGCGACTGGTCCCGGTGCTGTTTGTCCCCAGCCTGTGCCTTTGCTGTCTTTCCCTCTCGACATCATGAGGAGGTAGGCTCTTGGTAGGTTGAAAAGCGTGGGGACGCCATGGCATGGTGAAGCCGAGGTGCTTTGTACGACGATGTCTTGAATATTGTGCTTCCTCTTGAGCCCGCCAGCTTCCGTATACCATACGAAACTGAACTAACTCAACGAGGAGATTGTCGACTCATCCATCTGACTTTTACGTATAAATCAATGCCCTTCGTTGAGACCACCACGTGCCTGAAGCAAGGCAAAAGATCGACGGCCATCGTCATGGGCCTCCCGATGGTTGAACAGGATGGCCTTCCATTTTCAAGCAAAAGCCAGAACGGATCTCGTTTTCCATCAAGCCTTTTATTATCGCAACTTCAAAATCGACAATTCAAGGCCGGTCTCGGAGGACAGGGATCATCCCAACCGCCTGCCTGCATCGTGACGCTTGTCTGCACACAAGCGCCGCCCGGGCGGAGACCAAACGTCGCGATGCTCAGGGCCTCGTGGGCGGCATCCGCGCCGACCGTTGGAGGAGCGCACCCCGCCCCGAGCGGACGGCAAGCAACCCCATCACCCCGGTGTCCCAAAATGGACTCGCCTTTTTTTTTTTTTTTTCCTTTTCTTCTTTCCCTCTCCGCCGGTGGGGGAAACCTGAGAAATATCACTTACCATTGCGCGCCAGCATGTTCCCCAATAACATTCAATTTGCCCAAGAACGGAGCGAACCTTGGGGAAGACTGGGGGTATGTTGTAATCGACGGGCGAAATTTCCCAGATTGGGATAGGAGCGCCGAATGCCCACCAAGCCCCCTACCCCTATCAAAGCCACAAATGCCTTTTCATGCGCAACCACCGCATTGCTACCCCATCTCCCGCTTGGGGTGAAGGCTTCGTCACCCTTGCGGCCACCCTCGGTTTGCTCCGCGAAGCTGGCATGTGCCGCATAGCGAAGGAGCTTGGTCCATGGAGGCTTCAAATTGGAAAGAGACAAAGCGCATCTGAACTGCACATGGCCAAGAGAAGAGGGAACAAAGAAATGTATGCTCTGCTCTATGCACCTCCACCACTAGAATACCATCACTTGTCGCCCCGTCTCTTCAAATCAACAAGACAACGGAACAGCTGGTCCTAGCGTTCTAGTCATGGGAGCCAAGTGAGTGAAAGAGGAAAGAATCACCGGTGCGACCTCCGAAGATCCACTTGCGTCGTTGGGGTAGCGTCGCCGTAGCTAAGGACGAGATCAATGGATGGATGCCCCTTTACCGCTCAAGTCATGCTGCCGGAAGCCGCCACGAGAGGGAGAGGGTGCATGCACCGCATTTGTCGATGGCTTGTCTGCGAGTGCCGATACCGATCGGGTGGACGCAACTACTTGCTGTGTATATATAACAAGTCCCCGGATTTTGCTCGCTCATGGTACCGCTTCCCAGATAGCATTCAACCGCATCGACCGCTTCGGATAACCTGCTACCTTGACCGTTCACTCTGTTCAGGCCCAGCAAACGAAAAACATCTCACACGATGCAGCTTCAAGGACTCCTCACAACCTTCTCCGGCCTCGTGGCCCTGAGCGGCCTCGCCACCGCCGTGCCCGTGGAGAAGAGAGCCGTGATCGCGCATGATGCCGTAGCGGCATTTGCAGAGACGGTGCCCTCGGGCACGATTGGCCAGCTGTACCTCAAGTACAAGCCGCTTCTCAAGGTGTTCAACGGATGCGTCCCGTTTCCCGCGGTAAACGCGAATGGCGACACAAGGTAGGTTTTTACTCCCTTGCTGTCTTTTTCTTTCTTTTCGACGGGGCGAGGGCGGAACGGGATCGACATGCTTTCATCCGCAACCTTTCTTCCAGAAATCTAACATGCGTGTAATTATCTAGCGGCGGTCTCTCCCCTCTGGGTCTCCCGAGGGCGGCTGCTCCAGTAGCACCGGACAGGTCTATGCCCGCAGCGCGACGTACGGGTCCTCTTTTGCCATTATGTACTCGTGGTACATGCCCAAGGACTCGCCCTCTTCCGGTCTCGGCCACCGCCACGAGTGGGAGAACGTCGTGGTCTGGCTCTCGTCCGCGAGCACGTCGGCGACCGTGCTCGGCGTCGCCGCCTCTCAGCACGGAGATCACGTCAAGAGCACCTCGCCCAACATGTCGGGCACCCGCCCGACCATTGGCTACATTAGCTACTGGCCAGTCAACCACCAGATGATCTTTACCTCAACTGTGGGCGGATCGCAGCCCCTCATCGCCTGGGAGAGCCTCCCGGAGGCGGCCAGGACGGCGCTGACCAACACCAACTTTGGCGACGCGACGGTGCCTTTCAAGGACTCTACCTTTACCAACCAGCTCGCCAAGGCAGCGCTTTAAGAGACGTGACTTGGGAGAAATTGTGGTGTGGGATTATGATGACGAAGGAGACGGGGATAATGCATCTTTGGAGCTGGCGTGGCTTTTTTGTTCTTTTTTTTTTTTCTTCTCTTCATTTGGACATGAAGGAGATATGACGCGTAAGGAGTAATATCCAAGGAGGAGATATAAGCTTAGTGATTCTCCTTATTTCCTAATGAAATAATCCCATCTTGACGAATAATCCCGCTTTAACGCAGAGGCTGAGGGACAGCTTTGACTCCCAGTTTTAACACTTACGATGATTCCCCGATGAAAAGAGAAAACCTCAGAGTTCAAATAATAGCTCGTGGTACCGGCCTAGACGCGCCTTGCTAGGACTGCACATCTGTGATATGAAAGAGGCACAACCCGGAGCGGATCATCTCCTTGTAAGACATCGAGATGGAATTGGTAAAGATAAATCTGGGAACCTATATTCACCCAAAACGGGAGGCAAGACCAAAGACCAGTAGCAGCAAAGCTCATGTTCTGGTCGTTATGCAGATGGAATCCCGGAAGGGAGGGTACGAGAAAACAGTCGAAACAAGAAGCAATTGATATACCTCGAGATAAGATCTTCCGCAGATGACCGGCGATCAAATGCCAGCGTTGGTCACCCATCCGTGGTATTGCATCCATGGATCCCTTCCCCAATGGCGATAGGCCCAGGCGCGTGTGCGAGACGAAGATGTGTGCCTGGCAATGTCGGTTCTGCATGCGCTTAGTCAGGACGTTGCCTCGGGTGCTGCCGAGCGAGAAAGATGACGAGGGATGGATGAATTCGATCATGAGCTTTCCCGAGACCTCCACTACGCTCCTCGAGGAGAGAGACGAACCTGTTCGCGGATTGATGACCCACTCAGTACTAGTAGAAGCTTGTTCATCGGCCATTCGAATATTCCATTCCCTTGCGCAATCCTCTTTCCCCGGCCGTGAACGGATCACTTTTGCGCCCCTGCGGAACTTGCCTCCATTCGATTTAAATATTCTTTGTTACTTTTTTCCCCGCAAAATCAAGGCCCAGGGTTGAACAAGCCCCGCCCAACCTCGATCGCAGTGTGTCCGATCCGCCTTTTCCACTTGTGCTGCCTCTTTGTGATCTCCACTTCTTAAACGAGCCTATCTCCTCTGAAACGTCAAGTGCTTCCCTTTCCCTTGTCTCAGGCCCCAAGCCCAAGAGCTTTCTTCGACTGCCAGCTCTGCACGCCGCACACAACCACCACCAACCTTTTGGCCCCCACCACCTATTAATACGATTGATTATATACAAGAGCCTTCCGAACCTCACGCACGCGTGCACACCCGGGCCTGATTGATCGTTGCGCTGCCCCCTCTCTCTCCCCTCCCTTTGCACCCCTCTTCCCGAATCTTTGGACCGAACGAAAGTAGAGATAGGATTGGAGCTGGACCTATATCAAGCCCCCCACCATATCGCAGCCCCTAGGCTAGCTCTTCTTCCCGGGCTGAGAAGGGGAGAGAAGAAGAAGAAGAAAAGAAAGGAAAGAAAGTTGCTCGCCATGGACCTCACACCAGATTTCCCCGGCGGCGACGGCAACGCGCACACGGAAACGACGATTTCCAGGATCCCCAAGATACTGCCCCACGAACGAGTCTTCCCGATACAAATTGGCACCGAGCTATTCAAGCTGTCGGGCGCTTCTCTCTCTTCTGACGGTAGGTTAGGGACCGGAGCCATCCCCTCCCCGCTTCTGGACTGCCTTTACCTTTTTCCTCGTCGTCTAGCGCTTTCTTGGACCCTCTGTTTTCTCCGTGCTGACTGCTAGCTCTCGGTCTTTTCTTCTTCCGTGGCCTCGCCGAATAGCTCCGTCCTACTTTTCGCAGTACTTTCTCTGCCAGCTAAAAGCGGCAGAGAACAATGGCGAGGATCCTGGCGCGGCCATCCGCACGCTCTACATTGATCGAGATCCCGAGACCTTTCGAGACATTGCGCTCCACCTACAGGGGTACCATGTCGAGCCTCGCGACGGAACCCACTTTGTGCGGTTATTCGCTGACGCGCAGTTCTATCACCGTATGCATCCATCATGAGACTATCGTGCACGTTCTATTTCGCTTTCCATCTACCCCTCTCCCTGCGCGGGGATCTTTCAATGTGCGGAAAGAAGAAGTCCTAACTAGAACATTACAACTTTTGTAGTACCGAGGCTGATTTCTCAGCTCTACGACGAATCCATCTTCATCTCCATCGGCCACCGCGAGTTCCAGATCCCTCGAGATACCTTTAGCGACCCCGGGAACTCGCCCAACTTCTTTCGCTAGGCTACGCGGCCTTGTTCACCAACCCCACGACGTATTCCCCGGTCTCGAGCGCGAGGGACTGATACGCCCGCCCTCCATCTTGCCGCCGTCGGTGCCGCGCCGATCGGCCGATACGTTTGCCGAGCTCTTGCATCTGCTCAAGGGGTACCCCGTCCACGTACGCAACGATGCGCATAGGGCGGAGCTGCTGCGAGACTGTCGCTACTTCAACTTCAAAGGGTTGGAACAGCGTCTGATTCCGCACCACGCGAGCTTCAACCAGGCGCGCAATAAGAACGAGATCGTGATCCGGCTGGAAGACATATTAAAGAGCGGCATTAACATCCCCATCGAAGTGCCCGAGTCTCCGGTAAACTGGGTCAATTATGCCCGGCCTTTTGTCGACAAGCAGGCGGCAGAGCTAGTACTAGAGATTGGGGGCGAGACTACGCGGCTACACTTTAACAGCGGCTCCGGCCCGCGGGCCGAGTTCTTTGGCGACGTACGGACGAGGGTATCGCGCCTCTTCGAGGTCATAGCCACCAAGCTCAACTTGCCGCCCACCACTAGGCCGCTCGGCCTGTTGATGGCGACGGGCGGGGCGAGCAGCCTGCCGCCCTCGCCCGGGAGCACGCCCTCAGCGACGACTTTGTCAGCATCATCATCGAGCCGGAGACGGCCATTGTTCTGGACGGCGAACCGTACGTCTACGACGAGGGAGGGGTGCCCAACGGGACGACGTCGAGGAGCAGGAGCATCGACACGTTTTCTAGACCCGCTGCGGTGCCTCCCTACAATGAGTGGACGGTTAGCCGCGGCCAGTGGCGTCTCCGCTTGCACCGGACGACCAACGGCAAGAGCCAGTTCGAGTGCGTGCTCGTTGCCGTGAAGCTCGAGGCTGTTTCCTCGGAGAGGGGAAGGAATGCTGCGCGCGGTTTCTTGAATTCCTAGCAGGGGTTGTTCAGGAAGGGGGCAGGAAGGCGAAAGAGCGGCGGGTTGGCCCACGGCATTCATAGTGTATGGCTTTGTCCTGTTCCATCATTTCCTGGGAAGGGGTTTTTTTATACTTTTGTGTGTCATCTTTTCTTTTTGGACCTTGTCATGTCGTAATGGATCTGGGCGCGGTGTTTTCTGGTAGGACTGGAGAAAGGGGTGGTTTCTCCCTCACCACTCTTATAATAATACAAACGAGTCTCATTCTCGCTCTACTAAGGCAAGAATTTCAATGAGAGACATGCTGTCCTTGGGATTGTCTTTGTTACCATTGAACTTGTGGTTTCTGTGCCTCCTTGCGTGCTGCGTAGTTGCTGACAGCAAAGAGGCTCGCGTGGCGTTTTTGCATGACTGCCAAAACCAAACCGGATGCCTCTCTCGCGACTATTGAACGTGAAGCGCCTTTTTCATCCTTATTCTTTTTATTTTTTTATTTTTTATATAAATCTTGGGTTGATGGAAGCAAGTAGGAGCAGGCACATTCTCATTTGGCCTGCATTGCATGGGAAAATGGGCTGATTTTGTGTTGCTCGCGAGTGTGAGCTGTCACAAACGTTTGGCTGGTGGTTTCCTTCCTTTTCCTCTCTTTTTCGGTGGGGAGGGAAATGGAATAAACAGGGATGGAAGCTTGAGCAGCTTTCGGCCGGCCGTATTCCATTCCATCAATTGAGCTATTGCCACTTTTGCAGACCAGGCCATTTTTCGTGTCTTTTGTTTCCAAGTAGGCAACTAATTCGTGGGAAATCGGCACACTAGGCTCTGCATGCGTCCGGTCTGCCTGCGCAATGATAACATGGGGCATGTGTCGAATCTATCGAATCTCATCGGCACACCTTTGTACATATGATAACTTGGGCTCACAACCTTTAGGAAGAAGAGGCACAAGGGAATGGGGGATAAAAACGGAAGCGAAAAGTGGGAGACTAATAGACCAAAAGTAGAGAGGAACACATAAGACAAAACGAGGTCATTTGAGCCATTTGAGCCATTTGAGCCTCGACCTCCGCCAGGGCCGTCATTTCCGCGTTTGCGGGTCTTTGGGCCCGTTCTTGGCATTTCCCCAAACCGCGCGGAAGGGCTATTGGAATACCGGGGCTCCGTGAGCTAGTGGAACTCGAAGCGTCGATGGGCAGACCGATGGGGTGCTTTTCCATCTCTTGGCAAATGTTCAGTCGTCGGAAGTGTGTCCGTTAATCGCCTCACTGCCCTTTTTTCTCTTCTTTTGTTTTTTTTTCTTTATTGCCCTTTCTGTTTCTTGGTACCTGGTTCTCTTTGTCGTGGGCTTGCTCTAGCGGGTGATTCGTCGCTCATCTCTAGGTCTCCTGCTGTTTCTTGGGCCGGGGAGTGGAACGGGAGGTGGACTGGGAGGCCGTCGCCCCCTCACTCTCCGCCCTTGGACTGGGCATGGAGCAGTTGATTGATCGATCCTATTCGCCAATCCCGTAGCCCAGCTCACCCGTAAGCGAGCCGGGGCAGTCCGTCCTCTCTTCTTTGCTTGCCTAGGTCCTATTGAGAGGCTCGGTCAGATGGTTTGGGGGCTTTCTGTCTGGGTATTCGGCATCGTCCGACCCTACCCAACTGCCCACTTGAGGGTTGGGTTTCGCCCATCAGCTCACCGATCCTCGCCAGGCAAGCCAGCAAAGGAAGAAAAAAAAAGAATGGTTGCCCACGCTTCTTCTTTTGTGCAAAGGGCCAATGTCCTAGTTTTGCTCTCTGTCTCTCGTGCATCTCTGGGCCCCTCTTCCCTTCCCCGCCACCTTCCTGCAGACGCTCCATCATTTATTCCAAGCTGTTCTTATGCGTCAGTGTGATGACGATGCAGCAGTCGGGGAATTGGGGAGGATGAGTGGTTAGCGCAGACCCCCAAGTTACTTCCTCCTTGTCGTCCGTGGTGTGTTTCCAAGGCACGAGGAGCTGCAGTCAACGCTTCCGCCCGCGTCCTTGCCATGCTAAAAGCCCCACCAACAAGACATTGGATACGAAAGGAAGAGCGTACGTGAAAGTGATGATTGCTTTCCCCCCCCGACCCGCCCGCACCGGAACAAGGAGACTGGGACTGGGGGAACGAACCGAGAAGACAAGGAGAGGAAAAAAGTATTTAAAAATGGAAGGGAGGACGCAGGCGTCAAAGACCCGACGGTTCGCTCGGTTTCTTCAACCTCCTCGATCTTGTCTGCAACCCTTCGTCATCTCTAGCACTCCCAGTTCGTGCGGATTCGGGCCCTTGATCCGCTCGCGAGTCCTCGTTCGTTGTCTCACCACTCGGCGTGGAGTGTACAAGTACGTACATTCGAGACCAAAGCAAGAAACACGCGTTCAAGCCCGGGGAGTTTTGGGCCTAAACCAGCCCCGCACCGCACACGCTTACATAGCTCCCCCGAAGCTCCTTCCCGCAGACTTGACCGAAGAGTAGCTCCACCATTTATAGCTTTGCGGATTTCCTTGGATAAAACCGTTGCTTTCGAGATCTCGTGGTTCCAGTCCTGCCTGCTCACATACACACACACGCACACACACACAAGATCGAAAGTTTTGGTTGTCATCCATTTTGTGTAGACGCAACAACACGACATCTCGCGAAGCTAGCATTGAAGCTTGTGCCACCACGCTAACGGCACTACGGCACCTCGACCACAACCTCCACTCCCCACCCGTTCCGCCCCGCCTGGTTCTAGCTGTTCAGGGAGGCATATCATCATCAGGTTCAACACGACCCCGAAGGCACAAAGAAACGAGACAAGATCAATATGGTGCTCCTATCGTAGGCCTGACCCCTCCATTTCTACCCCTCCCCTTCCTCCCCTCCCTTTGTCAAACTCAAATTGGTTTTTCGTTTTTTCTTTGGCCCCTCTCGTTGTTGAAAGACAAAAGGACATCGAGGTGCCCATCTGATGTCACCAGTTCCTTGATACTTGCATTTCTCACGCGCTTGCCCACTCCCTCGCATCACGACGTATTGTAAACCGCCATTGAAAAAAAAATTCGCTTCTCGTTCTAACAACGATACTGTAGACACACCGGTGATTCTCCCGATTCTAGGCAAAAGGCCGATTCGACCTCTGCTCCCGAAATCACCGTCGACCCCGGCAACATGGTCCATCTCGCCTCTCCCGGCCATCACCAGCGATGCCGCCAATCGAGGCAGTGGCAGCGGATCCTCATTGAGGATCCCCGGCCCAAGTCCCCTCTCCACCTCGTCGAGAATTCAGACTCCTACACTACCAGCGTCTACGGCTCCCGCTTCGCCGGCGAGAATCTTCCCAAGGTGGAGATGCCCGAGACCGAGATGCCTAAGGAGGTCGCCTACCGCCTGATCAAGGACGATCTGAGTCTTGATGGTAATCCGATTCTCAAGTAAGAACTATGAACACCACTCTTATTTCTCCTTCATTTGTGAGGACTTGCGCTAAAGGAGGGGCAAACAAAAACGGTGTTTAGCTTGGCTTCGTTTGTGACCACTTACATGGTAAATTCCACACCTGCCCTTTTCCCCGCCAGCTCGGCGACCCTGGATTGCTAGAAGAGCCGCTGACCCCCTTTGTGTAGGAAGAAGAGGCCGAGAAGCTCATGGCCGAGTCCTTTTCAAGAATTTCATCGACTACGAAGAGTACCCGCAGAGCGCCGATATCCAAAATCGATGCGTGTCCATGATTGGCCGTCTCTTCCACGCCCCCGTAGCTAGCGACGGCAGCGGCGCCGTTGGCACCTCGTGCGTTGGTTCCTCGGAGGCCATCATGCTTGCCGTGCTAGCCATGAAAAAGCGATGGAAGAACAGGCGCACCGCTGCTGGTCTTTCCATCGACAAGCCCAACATCATCATGTCGTCTGGTAAGACCTTACCCCACTTGGTCCCCCTTTTGCCGGCTTCGAGCTAGGACCTCATGCTAATAGTGTGCGTGTGTGCGTGTGCGCACTCGCCCGTCTATACCAGCCGTCCAAGTGTGCTGGGAAAAGGCAGCGAGATATTTCGAGTTGGAGGAGAAGCTGGTGTACTGCGCGCCGGACCGATTCATCATCGATCCCGAGCAGGCCGCTGACTTGGTGGATGAAAACACGATCGGAATTTGTGTCATCTTGGGCACTACGTACACTGGTATGGAGCCCGAGACCAGGCAATCTTCCGCTTTCAACTGTCCCCCTCGCGACTAACACGCACCCACTAGGCGAGTACGAGGACGTCAGAGCCGTGAGCGATATCTTGGTCGAGAGAAAGCTGGATGTTCCCATCCACGTCGACGCCGCGAGCGGTGGCTTCGTCGCGCCCTTTATCTCGCCCGAGCTCGAGTGGGACTTTCGCTGCGAAAAGGTGGTTTCCATCAACGTCTCGGGCCACAAGGTACTTACCCTCTTACCCCTCCCCTTTCCCCTTCTCCCGCCAACGGTATCCGGCCCGGTGCTAACAACAGAGCCTCGCAGTATGGCCTCGTCTACCCCGGCGTAGGCTGGGTATTATGGCGCTCGCCCGAGTTCCTCCCCCAAGAGCTCGTCTTCAACATCAACTACCTCGGCGCCGACCAAGCCTCCTTCACCCTCAACTTTTCCAAGGGCGCCTCCCAAGTTATTGGCCAGTACTACCAGCTGATTCGCCTCGGCAAACGCGGTTACCACGCCATCATGTCCAACCTCACCCGCACCGCCGACTATCTGTCCGAGAGCCTCCGCCAGGCCAACAACTTCATCATCATGTCCAAACCCGCCGGCGAGGGCTGCCCCTCGTCGCCTTTCGCTTCAAGGACGATCCCGAGCGCGAGTACGACGAGTTCACCCTCGCCCACCAGCTGCGCGTCCGCGGCTGGGTCGTGCCCGCTTACACCATGGCGCCCCATACGAACAAGATGAAGATGCTCCGCGTCGTCGTCAGGGAGGACTTTTCCAAGAGCCGCTGCGACAACTTGATTGCCGATATCAAGCTGTCTATTAATTTCCTGGACAACCTCGACCGCGAGAGCATCAAGAAGCACGAAGCCTATGTTCTGAGGCACAATACCGCGAGCGGTCGCGCTACGCACAACCCCCTGCCTACTCTGTACGTCATTCGCTCTCTGCCCTCTCTTCCCTTGCCTTTGTTACTTCTCTCCCCTTCTCAAAGACAAGTGCTCGGCTAACTAGGGACTCTCTGTTTCTTCTTTCCCTTCTTTCCCCCACCGATAGAATGAAGAGCACTCTCTCCAGGGCCAGACTGGCAAAACCCATGCGGTGTGCTAAGCTCATCGATTTTATAACGAAAAGAAATGCGATTGATTTGGTGTGACGGAATGTGTGATGTCGGGGTAGTCTGGCAGTTCTCATGATGGCTGCCGAACCTTGAGAGCCAAGGATTGAGTGTTAGGGTGCCCATGGATCTTTTTTTATATTTATCTTGCAAGTCCTCCGGCGTTTGTTTTCTTTGCCTCGTGGGCACTCCACTGCCGGCCGGTAAACCAGAGGTATCACCGTTTTTCTTGTTTAATTTGACCTAAGTTTTCAAGCGTCGTCAAAGATGTCCTCTCCACTTGCCCGTGTAAAGTGAGTGCACATGCGCGTCGCGCGTCACTATCAAGGACCTCGATATCTCAAGGTGAGAGAGTAGACACATGGACAGGGAGACAGATAGGGAGATAGAGATGCAAGGGAAACAAAAGGGTATTCTTTTTGCTTTCTTTTGCCAACGCGCCGCCTCACCCTTTTCCTCCTAGCCTTTTCTACCTTGACCGGGCTGTCTACCTAAATCAAGTGTGATGGACAAACCCCCGAAATGGCCCTCCTATCAAAAACCAAAAGAGAAGGGGGAAAAAGGGAAAAAGGAAAATAAAGGAAAGGATGAGGGGGGCAAGCAAATGGAAATAAAATAAAGGAAAAAAACAGGCCAGGCGCCTTAGAAATGAAAGGCTCTCCACACACTATTTTGACACCCACCCGTACTCCTCTGATTAGTACCTATCCCGTCAAGTACTTGATGCCTCTCCATCCCATCTATATAGTCCTCCCTCCCCGCCCAATCCCTCCAACCCATTGACCGTTTGGCATTAGACATTGGGGAAGAACAAAAAAGTAAAGTTGATAAAAAAAAGGATGAAAGGAATGAAAAGGAAAACAAGGGGGCACAAGAGAAAAGAAATAGAAGAAGTCATGATACAGGACTGGAAACATCTCGGAGAGATTTGGTGGAGGGAAAAAGAACAAGGTGGCAGTGGTTATCGGAGAAGCGAAAACAACATTCAAGGCCAAAATCCACTGGTGAAAAGAAAAATAAAGATAAATAGAAATAAAAATCGTCATCCATTTTTCATCCTTCATAAAACGGCATAAGACGGCGAGAAAAGAAGGAAGAGGGTTGTGGAGAGAGATTTGGATCAAAGTCCCCCTCTTCTCTCTCTGCTCGCCCCCTGGCCTGCTTGCCACATTCGTACTCGTTTCCATGCTTGTTTATCCAACGTGCTTCTTCCTCGATGGTAATCCCAAGCCTCTCTACCAGGGCAAGGGACGTACATACTATTGAAACCCCAAGATAGGTTCCATCCTTGCACCAAGATGGACAAGAAACAAACGAGGGAGGAAAAGCGTGGCAAGAGAGCCGTGGGCAGAGGGTTGCGAAGATCGGGAGGAGAAAGAGCTAGGTAACACTCGAGGAAGGGTAGAAAGGTATCGCGCTCAAACATGGCGGTAATGGATATATGGAAGGGGAGACGTAGTCCAGGTGGCATGGTGGTATGAAGGGTGTATGTGAGGATCCGTGTACTTCTCCGTGGCGCGATGGGCCCGCCGTTTCCTTCGGTATGCGGTGGCCCCGCTTTTGACTGCGCCGAGGCTCGTTGGGTCGGCCGGAGGAGAGAGGAACCCACGATGGCTCGAGCGAACAGAGGTAGGTGTGTGTATATATATGCGAAGGAAAGAAAGAAAGTAAAAAAGGAAAAGAAGATATCAGGGGAGTGAGTGACGGAGATAGAGGGGTTAGTAGCGCAGCGAACGGAAAAAGAAGTTTGGATAATTAGAGAAGCCACCGAATTAGTTCATTCCTCGCCAGGAATCGCTCCGAGCAACGGATTATGTCCAAGTTCTGGTTGTTCGCTTCGGCTGTAGCGTTGCGATGGAAACAGCCGTGAAGAAAAGAAGACAAAAGACACAAAAACTAGTAGAAGACAAAATTGGAAAAGAAAAAGAAGAAAAGAATGAAAGTCCAAAGAGAAAGAAGGAAGCAGAAGGATAGAAGACGTCGTCGTGGTCGTGTTCAAGAAGAGAAAACAAATGACGGTTGAAAGCGACCCTTGTTGGATGATATCTCGAGTGTATGGCGCAGAAAAGGCAAAGAAAATGCAATGCTCCATGAGGCCCCCAGGGCCCTATGATAAAAAAACAACCTTTGATCAGATGCGCCGGATGCTGATGACAGGCCAGATCCAGTGGGGAGGGTGAAAGAAGAAAAGGCTACACGTTGTAACTCGTATGGACTTGCCAATGTTTCCTGCAGTCTAGATGATGTTTGCAATCGAAATACGCTCCTGTCCCTGATTCTTCTGTTTGGTTTCCGCAGGGCTTCCCTCTGTAGCGAGCGTTGTGGTCGTTGTTCCCGGCGTTGGCGGCGGTCCGAGGTTGACCGGACCCCCGCCCCCACCCTCCGGCTTGATAGGCGCTGCCATCGACCCGCCCATGGCCGGCGGTGCCCAAGTCGCGCTTGTCGGCGTGGGAATCGCTCCTCTCCCGGTGAGGGACTTGATGGAGGCTTCAAGCCTGTCCCAACCTCCCCACTCTCGAGCCTCGTCCTCCGAAAGACCAACTCTGTGCTCGAGAGACCTGAGGCAGTTTCCGCTGCTACCCGTCCCTTGTGGCGTGGGGGTTGGTCGTGCTCCGCTCCCCCAAATCCACGATCCGTCGAGCGAGCCTTGCTGGTCGGCTGAAACGTAGACGAGTAGCTCTTCGTCGCGAAGGAGAAGCTCCTGTAGCGGCGTGGGTCCGGGTCGGCCGTGGGGTGGCGCGAATGGCTGCGGCGGCGTGGTGCGTGCCAACATGGTTGCGTATTCCGCCCGCTTTGCCGCTAAAGTCGATGTGAAAAACGCTAGGAACCGCCCACAGGGTATCGCAACGTCCCGTTTTCCGCTGATGCTCGCCAGCGCCCTCACACAGGTCATCGCCCGATCAACGTCACCTAGCAGGAGCAGGTAGAGAACACAGCGGAAGGTGTGTATGGCAAAGAGCTCCGTGGCCGAGTCCGCCAAATCTCGGCTGGTTCTTGCGATGAGGCTGGCCGTCTCCGAGGCCGTGTGATAGCACTGCTCAACCGCCGTGAGCCGTACGTCCGGAGGACACGAGGGGTTGAGGTTGTGCCGGTGCAGGATGAGCCTCGCGTTGAGGAGGTAGGTGAGGGGCAAGATGAAATGGGGGCTAATGGTACCGTGTTGGCGGGGTCACAGGCAGGGGGAAAGTGCGCAGGCATGACCCAAAGTGTTGGTCGAATGTTGCTAATCGAGTCGGTGCGATCATGGGGCTCCGTAGCGTCTTAAGAAGCGCTGTATAGGATCTCGTGACGTGGATGATGGCGTGGAGGAAGTGAGTAAGGGGCTCCTCGCCGTTTGGAACGTGAATTCCCTGCTCGTGAATGTAATGATCGTCTACCGGCGCTGGAAGGGGCACGTCGCAGTCCTCATCATCGATCGCCACAGGCCGTCCGGACTCCAAACTGAAGCTCCTGTCCAATGCATACATGGTCCACCAGACTCTCTTACGCATCTCGCCCTCGACAACAGGCCATGGACCGGAGTCGAGGTATAGCCCCAAGTCCTGCCCGATTCGGATGGCCATTCCAAGCCAGTGCCATGCCGCAGATTTCAGATTCATCTCGTTCAAGCAGATGGAGATGAGAACACATGCTCTTGAGCAGTCTAAGCTGTGTTCATCCTTCCAAGGATCAATCAGCCGCTTTGCTTCCTCGAGGAGCTCCGGCGGCTGTGTGAAGCGATCCGTGTGTGCGTCGTTGCTGAAGAGGGCACCCGCCGCTAGAACGGCGAAAAACATGGAAAGAAACGTGCTGGATACCGAGTACGTATTATTGACGGCGTACATGTCGTCTATAGCCCGTTGAAAAGCGGGCCAGTGAATCATCGGAAACATCGTGTGGACTGCGGCATAGTAGGAGCGAAGCAGACGCTCCACCGCGGGTCTTTGGGGTAGAGGCGGTTGGGGCCTATTGCCACCCACAGCCTGAGGCGCCTGATGAAATTGTGGAGGTGACTTCCAAATTCCCTTGAGTAGGTCTTCATGTTCGCCCGGGCTCTCGACAGGTCGTGAATGGGGGCCGCTCGTTTGCGCCGTTTGGGATCGGAGCCTATCTCCGGGAGATGAATGGTCAACTGCTCGAGTCCCTCAAGATCTAAATCCAAATGCCCATCTCGGTCTTGAAGCATGCGCCTCAGGCTGATATTTTCACGGCGCATTCGATCCATCTGTTTCTCAAGATCCTGGACTTGCTTGATGGACGACATTCGCCTGTTCGTCTCCTTGGTGAATTGGCACTTCACGTTTCGACTCGAACATTCGGAACAGCTAGTCGTCTCCGTGGCATCGCATTTTACCTTTCTTTCCCTGCACGCGTCGCAACTGGGGTCTTTCCTCCGCTGTCGATAAGCTCTCTTCTGGGCGCCTGCCGAACCATGGCCCGAGCTCAGGCCTGCCAGAGACTGCGCCGGAGTGTTCGCAGTGGAATCTCCCGACGGAAGTGACTCGCGACCCATTGCAGAATTCGCTGTAACGGGCGTATACGGTTGGAATGGCCCTGCTTGGCTCCCTGGTGGCATCGGGGGTGGTATCCCAATAGGTTGAGGAGGCGGTTGGGCCACATTTCCTCTTGGCGCGGGGTTCATCGAATCCATTGAAGAATGGTAGGCGGGCAAGGGCCGCGGCGAGGTTGCTGAAGACACTGGCGACGAGTCGTATGATCGCGCGGAAAGGTTTGGTGATCGGGGGTAGGATGATTTGAAGGACGGAGACATGGCCAAGCCCGAGCCCCAGTCGCTAACACCACTTCCTCTAAACTCGAGGCGCCCAGGCGCCAAAGCAGGCTCCCTTCTTCGTTGAGCGATGGACGGCTTGATGTCCAGAAACATGCAGACTGCTTAGTAGGTTGCTCGATAAAAATCTCCGAACAAGAAATATTCGGAACGACAAGCCGGGGCTGAGGGGATCCGAGATGAAGCCTTTCCGTGACAAGCTCAGATACCCCCACGCCTTGGTGAGTCGCAACCGCCGAAACCGAAGGGGCGGAGTTGTACTCGGCAATCTTATCAACCGTTGCACAAAACGAAGCACAAGAGATCCCGGAAGAGCAAAGAGATGGACTGAGGAAGGACGAGGAGGAATGAGAGTGCGCGCACTCGTGAGAGAGGGGAAAAGGTACAGAGGAAAGGGCGGGGGAAAAAAGACCGTGGGCCAGCCTTGACACACCGGCGTCGTCTTTCTGCGGTACTCGAACTGTCGGTGACGGTAAGGACTTTGGCTGCCGGATAATCGGTAGGGCCTTGAAAGGGTAGCGGCGGGTTCTTGATGTCGCTTGAGTCAGACCTGAAGCAGGTTAGAAGGAACTCGATGTCGCAAAAACGAGAACTACAACGAAGCACTGATCGTTGAGGACGAGAGCCGCGTCGCGGAGAAACGAAGTGGCAGAAAGCAAGGCGCAATGTTATGTTAGGTAATGAAGGAAAACAAGATCCAAGGGGGCCCAAAGACGCCAGGTGGGCTGCAGAACGCGAAGACAACCTCCAGAGCAGAGTGGGGATGAGTGTTCAGGAAAGCCGAAGGAGAAGCGCCATCCAGCAGCACACTCGAGCAACAGCTTCCTAAATCTCCTCTGAAGTTCTCCTTTTGGGCGGGGAGAGTTGACGGAGGTTTCGAGGACTTGGATCTGAAGTGTAAGTCATCCGCTGGATGGGTTGAGAAGATATGCGGAAGTAAAAAGAGGTAGAAGATGTGGTTGACGAGGAAGAATGGAGGGGATGTTTGGTAATGGAAGCCACCTTATTGACAGATCGTTGACCCTATGTATGAAGACCTAGAGCGTACGTACGTGCGTGTCTGCCCCATGCTTGGTACGGTAGTATTATGGACTGTCACTCGATGGATAGGGAGAACCAGGGAGAAGAGGGGCGCTATTATCACACCCCACCTCCAAGGACGGATGCACGACTGACATGGACGGAAGGGACAGGGTGGAAGAGGGTGTGGGACAGATGTGGGCGTGGGGAGTGGGATCGGGGGAGGGCGTCAGAAGTGGGAGTGGCGGTGGTAGCCTGGACCTAAAGAACAAGATCCGGGACAGCCACCCGGTAATCGACTGGCGCTGGTTTTCGGGAACTTCGCTAGACGGCTTGACAGAGATTGGCAAGAGGCTCCGTGAGGCTACCTACCCTCGCGCAAAAAGAGCCAAAACCGTCCCAGCATAATTGTCAAGTGGCATAGAGTTGGGGTTGCAGGGCTAGGGCCATTGATGGGAGAAGATCAGTTCGGGTGATGTTGTGGGCCCCAGCTTGAGCACAAAACTCGGACCAAGCCAAATCTTAGGTTCTTCACCCATGCTAGTGCACTCGAGGATCGAAGGACCCAGAATGCCTTTTGCGCCGATGTCTTGTAATAATGCTATGGGGACAGAAGGGAAGAGAGGAAGGAGAGCCGAGTTTCTCTCATGCGCAGCTTTTCCGCGTCTGGAGTCGGTACCTGAACTTCATGCGTGAACTTTTAGCAGTTCGGACAGTCTTTACCCAGACCAGAACAGACCCAGTTTTCAATGCAACCTCCACGCCCTCTCTCTCCTTAGTCTGCGTTCAACGAACCTCGGTGGAGTGGTAGATACCTGTTACATGGTGGTATGGCATTCGCGGCTTGCGAAACGGATATCGGAAGAAGATACTTGTACTTTGGCCGCTTCTCTGGAGATCTAACATCTCCCTACAATAAACGTCTTGTCCTGTAAGTCAGGGTGGCATGTGTTCTTTCTCCCCGGCGAAGGTAGGACATGTTCATAGGGTGGTTACAGATCGTGCGTAGCCTTGCGTCTGGAAAAAGATCTTGAGTGATAGTCGGCGCTTGCCACGGCCAGGCTGCTCAAGCAGGGTAGTTTTACCTGCATCGTGCGTGCTTCTAGTGAGCAACCTCGCCCATTTGGCATGAAGATGCGGTACCTTTAAACACACAACTTTGGCCAACGGTTGGCCGCTTGATGGTTGACAGACAAGCGGCTTTATCTTCAATGCACTCAAAGGAAAGCACCTGCTCGACCAAAGTCGGGTGTGTGTGTGGATATGTGTTTGGTTTGTGCTTGATGAGGAAAAGAGGAAAATTAAATTCTGCTCTTCTCCCTTTTCCAGCCGCGTAGAATCCGGAAAGTCGTGCAGGGTGCTTTCAGGGTCTGAGCTAAGTGACGTACCCTGTATTATTCGTCTTGGAAAGGAGGATCTTTTCATCTCGGGGTACTGGAGCTAGTCCTTAACCTCCCATTTCACCCCTGTTATGTTTTCCTTTTTGATGTTGAGAGGAGACAACCAGGCCACTAGGCCTTTTTGGGCAATGATGTGCATATGTATTTGTTGACTAATTTTGCAACCGACCCAGCTGTCCTTCAGTGGATTGAAGAGCTGGAGTGGTGTTGCAGCTTTTCTCGACTTGTCACAAAACCGCAGCTTGCCCGGCCAGATAAACCCGCCCGGCTCCACCCCTGGCTGCCTGGCTAGTCGGGATATATCTCAAGCGAAGGTACAGAGGGGCGAATCGAGACTAATGGGTGCCTTCGTAAGACTTTTCGGGGTCTCCATAGACAAGAAACAAAGCCCTTTCAAAGGGGGACAGGAGGGGGCATCGTGGCATTCGATGAGGTGCGACGGATGAAGACAGTAGAAAAAAGAAAGTGTTGGGGCGGCATCTAGAGTTCCAAAGCCCAGTGTTCCGCCGCGAGGCACCGAGATGATGTTCAAGGCAAAAGGCCGAAACAGAAAACAGAACTAGATCAGAATTGGGTCCAGCTAGCTGCATCCATAGATCTTTGTGTAGGGAGGCTTCCGCCGAAACTAAACGGATTGAGCCCGAAGACTACAGCGCCATGGAATTCCCGGGCGGCGCATGACTTGTGGAGACAGGCCACGCCCAGCAGGTAGGAGTTCAGGACGGCACTGCCTTCGCGGCGGACCGAAGGGCGATGTTCGGTGTCTTTTGCCGGGTTCCTTCTGATGGAAGTTCTGAGCCACATTGACCCATCATGCACGCTTGTGGCACTCGAATTTTTTCCTTTTTTCTTTCGCCAGGGGGCTAGGAGTCGAGCCGGGCCCACTAGGGAGGTGTCGCATGGCTGCCCGGTACCTGAACCGGGAGGAACCAGGATAGATGACCAAACTAAAAACGGCCGTTTATGATCCTCAGAGCCACCAAACGGCAAAGAACGGGGCGAATTTCGTTCGACGCGGTTCAGGAGATCACGGGCAGAGGCGTGGGGAGAAACTGGGCGTACCAGCGGATAAGCTTCGCCTTTTTTGTGGACTGGCCACCAAGTTTCCTCTGTGGGATCGACAGGGTATTGACTCTTCGATGTGGTGGAAAGGTGCCTTGCCCTGCATCTGCGGCTCATGCTAAAACCAAACCATGGAATAACCCGATAACCCCAGGTGTCCGTCAACGGTTAGTTGTGGTTGTAAACTTGTACCCTGCTGTGTGCTCGAACGTATCAAGTACTGCATAATACACACGGCTCGTCTTCTTACGCTTCCTGTAGCATATAACACACGGGCGCGAAAGGGAAAAATCCAAGTCTTCCCCTGAATGTTCCTCCCCTATATCCCCTTCCTTAGTGGCGCGGCCCTAGTTGAGTAAATTTTTTTTTGTTTTTTTTTTTTTGGCCCCATCGCCCTCGGTGCATCGAGATCTGGGAGCGTACGGTATTGAGCGGTCCAGCGGTAGGTCCGATGAGGGATCATAGCTTGAGACGTTACTTGAGGGCGTAGAAAATGAAGAAGAAAAGAAAATAGCGATCGCCAGTCACTCCTCTACTCCTTCGGGCCCCAAAATTCGGAGAGGAAGCTTGCAGGAAGAAACATTCAAGTGTTTTCAATGTCTCTGTGCAGGTCAAACACTGGAGCACTCGACAACCTCATTTTGCTACCCTCTCTGCCACCACCCGCGAGAGGGAGCAAGTCTGCCGTTAACGCTCGGGTTTCCTTATCTCCACACGTTGCTCGAAGCTAGGAGGGTGTGGGCGGAGTGGAACGATATGCAGACCGCAGATCAAGGCCAACTTGCAGAGCTGTCAAAGACGTACGCTGTGCCCTCGCTTCGGGTATGCCCCAAATGGAGCGCTCGGACAGAATAACTTGCCTTGTCTTCGAGATATACACAGATACAAGTACAACGAGGCTGGATGAATAGAGGAAATATGCTCTTGTAACGTCGCCACAGACCTTCCAAAGATTCCCTGGCCGAAACATATCAGGAAGGAGCGGGCGGCGGTCGACAAACTAGGATACATAAACTACCTGCGCATCTACGTTAGCCAATCTTTTCCAAGAAAGAAGAGGATGACAGGAGTTTGGAGGTTTACCCCGTGCGCCTGCCGTGCTTGAGAGACAAGTATTGCTCGCCTCCGTGCATTCCATTTTGGGGGAAAATACAAGGGTTTCCGAACACCTCCCCTTCTCTCGGAATAGGATAAACTCCCGGGGCCGTGCCTTAATGCTACAAGGAGAGAACGCTCTGGGTCGCAAGACTCGGAAGAGGAATGCCCTGCGGGTGATGCAATAATGAATATGAATAGGCATGAGATGGATTAAGCCGGAACAATCGAGGATAACGCGCAAATAGATGGAAAAGATCGCCAATATAGCCAGTTCATGCCTTTCAGTAATTGCACTCGTCACCGTCGACTTCCTCTTCCCGACTGTGGAGCGGGGAAGTTAATCTACCCTCCCGTCAGAAATGTTTCTCGGCTGGCACTTTCCCGCACCTTCCCATATCCAGCAGCAAGAGCGATCTGGGCATTGGCATGGCCCAGGGCACGCACACCTAGAATAGAAAAGCCGAAGAGTGCCTGCTTCAAACGATAATCATAACCTCCGAACTAGTAGTGTACATCAATGAATGCAACCAACGTGCGCAAACCTCAGTGGTGGGTGTGCACAACTCATTTTAGTCAGTGGGTCCTCTACAGGGTGTCCCACTTCACACCGATCTGGTTTCCGTCCGTCCAAAGGTCTGGAGGCCACGACATCTCTGAGATTTGAATGACAAGACGGGCAAAAGAAAAACAGGGCATGTCGAGGCGGCGACTGCCCCCAGCAGAACCTTGATCCCTTGCTCTTTCCTTTTGGTCAGGAAACCCCAGACAGAAGTCTCATATGTCGAATAGGCGTATGCTCCCACCAATACATTGAGAGCACGCGCAGTGGTGCTCCATACTCACGTAACCCTGTGTGGCATTGAGGGGCACCTCCACAGATGAATTGCGACCCTGGGGATAGTCATCTCCCTGTACATGTCGCAGTTCCTCAGCAGGCCCTAACTTTATTAAGGAGACCAGGAGGCATCGCCGACAGTCGTTGAGACGGCTTTGGTGGTGATCCTTCTCACTTTCTGTAGGATGGCACAATCCTGGTGTCTCCGGTGGTTTGTTCCGTCAGCTTAGAGTCGTGGCTTGTTTAAAAATGTCGCGGGGGCTAGGACGTGATCACCAGGCCGAGGTTCCCCCACAACGCAGTGTTACTCTCGCCCGTGCGACGGCTCAGGCTTCTCAGGCACTGACGATAGACTTCGGAGCCTCGACTCTTGCGTCGTATCACTGCGGTTCACCAGAGCCAAGCAATCGGCCTGCTTCCGAGACACATCAAGCCGAGGGGGATGGATGGGACGTGTCGCGCAAAGGATGTTGTCCTTCGTGCTGGACCCCGGGCCTGGGAGATCAAGTCCCCTCCATGGGCCGATCCCTTTTGAGGATGGTGGAGTTTGCCTATCGCCGCAATTCTGGGTTTCGACAAGGGGTGGACGTAATAGGGGTAGTCAATGATGAGCGCATTATCTCAGGCTGGGGTTCCAGCGCGCTTGAGCCCGCC